GTGCAGTGACACTCTCAGTTCTCTGCAACCCACCTACTTCCCTGGGTTCGCGTTCTCTTGGCTCTGTCTTGTTTCGCATCGGCTCTTCATGCCAAAATTACTGCTATCTGAAAACCGTGAGGTGAGATTTGCCCTTCAATTTTGGAGAACTTTTTTTTGATGGTTCTGTTAGGGGTGGTCCGCGTTCCACAAGCTCCTTCTTTCCCTCTTTAAGTTTCTGGCTCCGTTCTTGAAGGAGGCTGATCTCCAACTCGCATCTCGTGATCTGTATCGCGGCTCCCTCCGACTCCTCCTCGTCCTTCTACATGATTTCCCAGAGTTCCTTAGCGAATACTACTTTAGTCTCTGTGATGCCATCCCCCCGCGTTGCATCCAGCTTCGCAACATCATCCTCAGCGCGTTCCCTATGTCTATCATCCTTCCTGACCCCCATCTACGCAACATCAAATTTGACTCGATTCCCGAAATGGGACCGATACCACCCATTCTATCAGACTTTGCTTCAGGTCTCAAAAGCGCTGACCTCCGCAACAACCTCGATCAATACCTCCTTAATCGTGGAACCCCTTCATTCCTTACAACACTCAAAGATCGCTTGAGGCTACCCGGCATGCCAGAGGGTTCAACCGAGTCGTACAACCTGTCACTGATAAACTCCCTTGTCATGTACATCGGAGTATCGTCAGTTGCTCAGGCCAAGGCGAGGAGTGGCTCCTCTGTGTTTGTCGCGAGCGACCCTGGCGTCGTTGCTTTACAGTATCTTGCTGCTAATTTAGATGTTGAAGGTGAGTTCAATGAATTCACTAGTTTATATGACATAAATCGACGCGATATGTAGGACAACACCACCTCTTGAGCTCCATGGTTCTCCATCTGCGATATCCTAATGCCCATACCCACTGGTTCAGCTCTTTACTTCTCTACCTCTTTGTAGAGGTGAAGGATGATCGCTTCCGTGAAGTGATGACTCGCGTCCTTTTGGAGCGCTTCATCGTGCATCGTCCTCATCCCTGGGGTGCCTTGGTCACCTTCATTGAGTTACTCCGCAATTTGAAGTACGAGTTCTGGAACAAGGAGTTCATTCGCGTCGCACCCGAAGTCACCATGTTGCTTGAGAGCGTAAGGCACCCCGCTGTTTAGTTGAAACCTTTACTCAACAAACATTGCAGGTCGCGAGGTCCATCTATCAGCCATAGACTCATTCCGTCTTTGTTCCTGCTATCTGTTGCGCATATTTGTTTCTTTGGGTTTTTTTCCTTGTCCTCTAACTGCACTCACTGTATTGTAACAACCTTTCACCGTTTTCAAGTGTTGAACAAGGTGTAACATGAACTTTGATTATAGCAAACCTTCTGCACAACCTTGTAGACACACCTCTGGCTTGTTGATGTTTATAACGCCCTTTAAAAATCCCTTACGTTTACAATACTATGTACACCTATGGGCATTCTATGCTAATTAAGCCATGACATACGGGCGTTGAATCCCCACTTTCCATTGTTTGACCTGCTAGCTGATCCCCAAACACTGCAAGCATGTCTCAGTCAGAAGTCTCATATATGAACCAGAACTTACCCGGCTCCCTCTGTGCCACCTGCCCCGATCCTATCTGCTCTCTCATCAACTACCAACCAGTCAGGTACCAAGACACCTGTGCGGATGGGGAATAATCGTAGCGCACGCTCGAGTCCGCCAAGGTCAGATGATTGCAGAAACAAGCGCAGTGTTTGCAGTATTTGATGTTCTCTTGACAAGGAAAAGTAAACCTGCAAGTCAACTTTCAGTGTCTTTCAGGCTTTCCACGTCGATTCGACCCACCAGAAGTGGGGTTGTCGAACTTTTTGTCGTTCAAAACCCAAGCTCCTCCTTCGTGAGACCATTCACTCTGACTGCGCCTTAGAAGATCTTTAACAAGCAAAGAGTCTGCGCAACCAATGACAACCATATTACCCCCGCATGCCAGACCGTTTTCTGCTTCATGTGCAGAAAGTATTCGCGCATCAAGCAGATGGTAAGTTCGTAGGTTGTGAGTAATCCGCAAGGCCACAGACAGCTCGGAGGAGTGATGTAGCGATGGAATCACGATATCGATGATTCTGTCTGCGCTGAGAATAGCCTGAGCACGTCCGTACGGTTGTTGGAAGTCCTCCACATAAGAATCCACGGCCTATTTCGACAGACCATAAAGGACGTCCAGATATCAAGATACACAAGAAGATATTACCTTCCAACCGGTTGAGTTGCCTTGCTCGAGCCAGATTGTTCCAGCTTTGGCACTGGCATGCGCAATACTCTGATTGTTGATCACAAATTCACTGACAGAAGCCTTGCTTAGGTCGATGGAAATAACACTGATGTTCGAGGCCTTGACATTCACTCCTCCTTTGTCATCTTCGCATACTTCCAAACGACCGAGCCTGGGACAAATTGTCGTTGCGTCAAGCTCGTGTATGAGATAAGAGGAGAGTGCCACAGACCTCCCGGGCACCTCGAGGGCGTGCACCCGCCAACCTCCCATTGGCCCGCTCTCTGCAGGGACAGCAACAGTAAGTGTGAACTTACGACATTTAGTTTTTGGCGCGTCGTACGAAGAACAAGAAACGCGGTCAAGAAACGCCTGAACACGAGTATTTTTAAGCACCTCGAACCACCAGTGAGGCTGACCAGGCTCCTCGTAGTACCTTCAATGCATTAACGAGCCGTCATCGGGGACCAAAAACCAGTATAAATACATACGTGACGTCTGCATCTGGATTCCATTCCTTGAGGACACTCACTGCCTCACGAGTGTGCCACGGCGGGACATTATCATCCGCACCACTGATCGGTGGTTGAACAGCCTCATCGCGAAGGAATCATTACTAGACGCACCCATGTATTGCGAGCACAGGCGTGTGAGCGAGATTTGAAAGGAACAGGTCATTGTCATCTGGCAGGAGCGATGTTTCTAGAACAGCTCGGAGCGCTGGGTCAACGAAGTGGGCGAATCTGCCAAAAGGTTGGTCAGCCCTATGGCATAGAAACGAAATTTCATGATACCTCGACATCGTCCATGGGACATATGCCTGCGACTTGATATATCCCGCAGCGGCCACGACTGTGTTTCACCATCATATTAATTATAACCTCAGATATAATCTGTCAAACACACCGGCTTTCACCTTGTCCGGCCATCTACTTGCTACGTACCATGCTCCTTGCCCCCCATTCGAATGACCCATGACAATAAGCTCTGTGTCTCGAGGATAAACCCAGTCTACGAATCCTTTACGTAGGATATCGTGCAGGGCTGTCACCGCGGCAAAAGCATCAGCAGCAGAAGGACCATGCCAATCGAGGCCCTGCCGTCCATCAATAAAATCACTAAAATAGGCACTGAATGTGAATTACCCAGGAAGTTCGACCAGACGGAATGATCACCCATGCCTTGTCTTGTCGGGGGAGGCTGTCTGCCCAGAATGTTTGGTTGACAATGTCGACACCTGCGCCATCTAGAAATGTTGAATGGAAAAGAAAGTCAGCGTCCAAGAAAACTGGGAGTCATCAGATGTAGACTATAACATACGCAACGCTAGAATTGGCTCTTTCAGCCCCACTTCACCTTCTTTTTTGGGATATCGAGGGGGGAGTACCAAGAATATGGTTGGATTGCTGAAGCCTAAATTGTACGTCGCTCTGATGGCAGTGAAACTGACAGAAGTCCACATGGGAATGTGTCTGATAGGAACATTGACTCTAAATATTCGTTGCTCATCAACATCACTGCATGCAGATTCATCGTGGAAGGGAGAGATTGTAATGTCGACCGGAAGCTCTGTAATATCGGTGGGGATCGATCCCGAATCGGGTTGGAACTCCAGCGTTAGTGTATGTGTTTGAGTCGGGGCGAGCCGTATTCCCGTTAAAAGGTTGCATAATGAAAGCCCCAGCCCCGCACAAGGTGGAATTGCAGCAGACACTACTGTCCACCATCCTGATATTGATTTAGTGTTACGGCAAAAATCAACATTTCGAAGCCCAATTCCTAGCGTTGAGGAGAACGGTCGGCCATAGATGAAGTCTGGTATGACATCGTGAGCAGGTGCATGTAAGACTGGTGTCGCCAGATAAGATGATGTTCCAAGTGATGGAGGGGTATCAATTGAGATAGTAAAATTGATGCTCAGAATTGGATGTTCTGAGTTGTATGACCGAGGGTCACCAAAGAGTCTTATCTATTGATAGTGGAGAACTCAGATAACGTTCCAAGTCTTCGAGAAGTCGGATCACCTCGTAAGATCCACAAAGAACCACTTGATATCGGGTGGCTTTGGCTCTACAAGGAGATGTTGGGAATGAGACGAACTGTACAGGGGCACGCTCGAGAGCGTAAACATTCCCCATGTGCCATTCCGAGACATGTGTTGTCCAAGTTGTCTCGTCACCTGGTAAGATGGAGAAATATGCGCCCTGGAGGCACTCGACACGCAGGCGTGGATCAGCCTCGGTCCTCTCTTGCTTAGAATCTGGAGGATAGACGGTGAGATACGTCCGGAGGACGTTGTGATGCTGCAGTGCTGCCCATCCCTCGGTCGCACGAAGCTGCTCCCACCGAATATTGGGATGAGACACCTTGAGATTTCCGTCTTCATCTGAGCTGGCTTCTGACCAAGAGACATATCCGCCATCAGCATAGGCAGATGGATAGGTGCGGGTCAAATCTATATTCTTAGACACTTCAAAATCCATGGCAGATTAGCTCAAGTTCATAGTATACAATCAATATGATTGCCCACAGTCAAGGGGAAACGCAGGAGAAAGGAAGTGTTGTTCCCTGGCGTGGATGGGGAAAGGTCCGAGAACCTGAATCGCAGCGACGCATCAACAACTTGCACGTTGTACTGCATCCCAAAGGAGTTGAGGCAAGAACGCACATCCCATTTTTGAGAAATCTCGACACGCCATTCTCTGGTGCCACCCATGACCTGTGGCGCCTTGACTAGTAGTAAGTTCGGCTCAAACTGAGAGTGATCACTATCCATAACATTTGGCTCGGAGCGGAGTTCGGAAGCTGTAGACTCCAATATTCCCTAATTTTTTTCTGGCCAACACACAAACAAGATGATCGTACGACGATAACGAAAAGTTGCTATTTGCTACAACATGGACGAAAAAACCGATACAGCGGTTTCTGGAACCGCTGGGTGCCAAAGACGTTGATCTCCAGAATAATCACTTAAGAAGTGCTTTCGGCATTAATTGCCTTCTGTTGTGCACTGAACGTGGTAGACACGATCGGACAGCCCTTGCCAGCACCATTTAAGTTCTGTATTGTAACAGCAGCAGCATTCAAACGCGCATTTTGCGAGGCTGTAGTATTGTCGGTTGGAAATGTGATTTGCACCGTGGGATTGAGGATGACATGGCCGGCGCGAATATTAGCAGTCAGGTTCTAAAAGAATGTTATTCCCTGAGAGCATTTGAATATGAAATGAACAGCTTACCGCGATATAGTGCGCCTGATCAGGGGGACATTGACAGGGTATGAGTATTGGTTTCCCGTTTGTACCATTGACGGCACCATCACAATTACCAGTACCTAATAATATTTATATGTAAGCTTCTTATATATTAGCAGGCGTTCAAAAATCACTGCTTACCGTCTGGGTTGATTCCAGCTTGCCATCCAAGTGGCGGAGCCAGAGTGGCAATCTGCTCATCAGTGGGCGAAACGGAAGTGTTGGTTGAAGTGACACTTGTTGGGACGGCGGTGCTCATGCCAGAAGTGCTCGTTGGGACACCGCAATCTGCGGGTGTGGTTGAAGACCCATTGGTAGAGGTCTCTGCACTGATCGCTTTCCCCTGTGCAGAAAAAGTGGTAGAAGAAATTGGGCAACCAACACCGGGACCTTCAAGGTTTTGCAAGGTAACCGCTGCTGCATTTAAACGAGCAAGCTGAGATGCAGTGCTATTGTCTGTTGGGAAAGATAGCTTTACGGTGGGGTTTGTCGTCACAAAGCCCGCCGCCACGTTTTTATTAAGATTCTACCATAGAAGTCCGTAGTCAGCAGTAGGCAACACTATCCTTGACCGGAAGGCTCACAGAAAGGAAGAACGTTGAATTTGGCGGGCATTGGCAAGGCACTAGGATAGGTTTCCCATTAGTGCCGTTCACAGCACCGTCACAGTTTCCGGTGCCTTTAGAAACATGTTAGTGCACGATGTCGAAGCTCAATGTTATTTTTGTACTCACCATCTGGATTAACACCAGATTGCCAACCGAAGGATGGGACTAGCGCAGGGTTGACATCCCGCTTACTTTGACGGGGTGGGACACGATAGGGGATGGCCACAACTGAACCTGCCAGTATGATGGTTGAAATGACGTTAACAAATAACATGTTTAGATAACTTGAAGGCCTGCGTGAAATGAGTAATGTTAAAACACTGTCGAGTGCCTTGCTCGAGCTGAAAGTGAGTGACGAAGAAACAGAAATAATTGAGACGTCGCTCGCGACAAAGGGCTCGACGCAGTCGAGGGAGTTCAATGAAGATGAGAGAGTGAAGCTGGCACCCAGGTCATATATTGCAATCATAATCACTCCACATCCTTTTGTTCGACGTTGTCTAGAAAACCCATTGTATATGCAAATGGAAGGTGTCTATCTTCAATTGAAGATTATGTAATGTACCTGGACCTATGTAGGCCCTGGAACCTTGAACTGACCCGGAGGCCCTGCAGGGCGGATTCGCAAAATGTTATTAACTTATTGTTCAAGTTGAGCGTTTTCGTTGTGACAACTGGTGGAAAAATGCAACCATCCATTCATCCAAAACAGTTCAGAAGTACTGTGGTTAGTACTCTTTGCAGCTGCGACCGGTGCGGGACCGCCGAGACCAGCCACGGGACGTATTTGAGTGGAGGTTGTGACAATACTTATAATTCATCACCCTTAGGCGGCCTCAGGTTGTGATCATAGGTATTTGACATGAAATGCACAGTGCTATTAGAGCAGGTCGTAGTACGAGGATGAAATATCTGAGGATAACTGCAGCATGGCATGCCGTGGCGAATCGGCAAAGTGCTGCCAAATCAGGTCAATCAGCTGTGCTTTCTGCAGTCTGTCAGATTCAACGATGTCGAGACAAGGTGGAAAGCTGAAGCCTCTAAAGGTTGGTTATCTAACCGCCTCAAGAACCATGCTAAAACCTCGTTTGAAATTGCTAGGCACCAAAGAAGGAACACAAGGATGAGGATGAAGAAGATAAGGCCTTCAAGGAGAAGAAGAAGGCCGATGAGGCTGCTCTGAAGGCCGCAAGGGACAAAGGTATCTTTTAACTTGCCAAACTACAATACATGCTCTAAGCAGAGGGATTTTACAATTTGCAGCCGTCAAGGGTGAGTATTCAACTTGAAAGCACCTCATCAGGATGGACTCCGATGATTTTGACAGGTGGTGCTCCTGGTGGCGGAATCAAGAAGTGCGTAGAGTAAAACCTTCATCTTGGTTTATCTGATTGGTCTTTTTCTTTAGATCGGGAAAGAAATAGAAGAATGAACTGACTGGCTCTTGTATGATCAATCTTTCCATTCAGTCTTGGCCTGAATGACTTGTGAGGTCACTATTGTTGTCCTGAAACGCATCTTTCTAGTACTGAGTAACGGAGGGGAGCAGGAGGCTCTTCAGAATCAGATGCTTAGATTATGACATCGCTCTTGAGTGCAAACTTTAGGCTAGGCCCTTCTTGCAGGCAGCGTAGGATCGGATGGATAAAAGTGAGATATTGCACAAATCAATGCGTTTAACGGCAATGTGTCCCATTCTCGGCCGTTCTCATCGATGTAGGTCATCGAGATTAACCGTGGCCTATCGCTTTATGCGCCATAGCACGGGGCTGCGTGAAGCGCTAGCGCCCATGAATTCAGTCGGAGAGCAATATCAACGCAGGCCATAAATTTTCATTGGAAACGAGGACAACGTTGTTCTTACAAAGATGATAGAAATTGGCCACTGGGAGCTCGAGTCCGAAGGTCGGATGTTTGAATCAGTTTATGCATGAAATGTATACTACGGCATTAATAGTGCTAAAGCGCTTTGTGAATGAGTGAAATTGAAAAGAGCTGCTTCGTGGACTCGCCTTTCTCCGTACCTCCATTGTCGTGGTCATCGTTGTTACCGTCGTGGTCGTTGACGTTGACGTTGAACTCGTCTTTACCGCCTTCACACTGAGGCGGTTGTTTGTTGATTGCAAACACTGGAAAGCAGGATTATAGGAACCCACCGCCAATATGCTCACAAGCTCACGGATCAGTAACCTTGCCACTTCAAAGTCTCCTCCTCCTAACGGTCTTCTATCGCAAAATAACAGCAGCAACAGCTCACAGCAGCGCGACGCTTTGACTGCATTATACCACCAGAACAACCAGAGCACACAGTCAATCTCTGCAACGCCCAACATTCACCATCCACAGACAATCCAGATCCCTATGCTTGGCACCTTGCAGGTGCCGCAGCCCCAGCAAAATCAAGGAGGCCAGCAGCAACAGGGTCAACTTGGCCAGCAGCAACCCCAGGGCCAGCCAGGGCAGTCCCAGGGTATCCCACCACCACCCCCGCAGAATGGTCAAGATTTTAACCTCTCCAGTGTCTTGCACTTTTTGCAGACAGAATGGCGTCGTTATGAGCGTGATAGAAACGAATGGGAGATTGAGAGAGCTGAAATGAGGGTGAGTGTCCTCATTCCTATGTCCACTGCGAGTCACTTTTTACTTTCGGCTTTTCGCATCATAAAAAATGCGTTCAGTCTGCATACCTACATTCGTTGCCCAATTTCTTGTGTTTGGGACGTGTCGCGTATCCATTCTCACAATGGTTCACAATAGGCTCGCATAGCTCTCCTCGAGGGCGAGCGACGCTCGTTCGAAAATGTCAAACTCGACCTGATGCGTCGCATAAAAATGCTGGAGTATGCTCTCCGTATGGAACGGTTCGTGTTCTCCTTCTGTACACGCCAGCCTACTCACGCGTGCCACCTCCCTCTTTTTGTTGAATTCGCGGATGTTCTCATGCCATGTGTTCTTCATAATACTGTACAATAGCTCAAAGCAGCTAACTGCGCCAACTGGCACCGCTCAATCGTCAAAATCAGCCACGCTCCAGCAGCAAGGCGCAAAAGATGATGTTCAGAGCCATAAGGATGGGAGCAGCGGCAGCTCGCCACGTAGTGACGGTGCGTATTTTTCGGATTCTTGAGGTGTTGTTTATTTTTGTGGCGTATTTGACATCGGTACACCTACCATAGATTCTCCTCTGCCCTCCGAACGTGTTCCGAACGGGAGTTCCGCACCCCCAGCACGACAACCTTCATGGCCCGGTACAAGTGCGAACTGGAGCGTAGGCCTGCCATCCGTTGGTTCCGTCGGTAAGCCACCACCAGGACGTGACCCAAAGAGCCGCGCACGTAGCAGAGACTACCTTAAGCAGTATGTTTTCTTACCACCTTTCGAGCTCACTTCATACAAGCTCATAATCTCCATCAGATGTCTCCAGGAAATCTCATATCTCACCTCTCCGCAAGCAATGAACCCACTCCCAAACCGTCCGCTCATCTCGTCAGGACTCGTGAATCCCACAGCACCCAGCCAACCCTTCGAGGCAATCTACAATGGTCGGCCTCGTAAAGCTTTGCCGGAATCTGGGCCAGGGGTCACAGTTGTTACTGGACCGGGGAATAAGGACTTCCCGATGTTAAGTGGTGGTGTCAGTTTGATGTCAGGCCCAGCGTCGACAGGACCATTGGAACGAGGGAGTCCACTGAACAATGTTGGTACGGGCATGTTCCAGCAACAACAGCAGCAGCAGCAGCAACAGCAGATGCAGAGTCAAGAAAGGTCACAGCCATCTCAGCTACCCCAGCAGATGCAGCCTCCAGCACAGCAGGCGCCCCCGCAGACAGCACCACAACCGCCTCCAGAGAAAGAGGGAGCGCCGGCTGCCGAGGCGGAGCCATCGCGCCATTTAACAGCGATCTTCCGTCCCGATGACCAGGGCGAGTGGCGAGAGAAGTTGCGGTCATCGTACGAACAGCATATGAAGATACAGCGGTGGCGCGATGACGAGGAAGGCGAAGGCGAGGGTGAAGAGGTTGGAGAGGACGAAGATGAGGTAGAGAGTGTAGGTGTTGGGGTTGAGGAGGGTGAAGGCGATGGTGCAAAAATATGGAAGGCTAAGCGAACGTTGAGAAAGTGAGTACCTCTGCCACTCGAAGTATAAGTTTTTGATGCTGATTCTGGCTTCCAGCCATCTGGATGCAGTGCGTGCACTCGCATTCCACCCCACGGAACTATGTCTTGCAACCGGTGGAGATGACTGCACAGTAAAAATCTGGCGCATGGATGTCGCGAACTTAGCATCTTCTGCGTTGGTGTCCTCGTTTCTCTAGCAGGCATGATGAGACTAACTCTCTTCTAGTGCTCGTCCCACGACTGATTTCGAGCCCCAACTCACCCTGCGTGGTCACTCTGCCGCAATAACACGTCTCGTGCATTCTCCTACTAAGCACCTCATCTACAGCGCATCGCTCGACTCGAGCATCCGTATCTGGGCGCTGCCCTCGCCATCGCACACGACATACGCACCATACGATGATACCTCTGCGCGTGGAGAGCTGGTGGGACACACTGATGCCGTCTGGGACCTTGCCCTTGTACGGGACGAGAATGCGTTGGTGAGCTGTGGTGCTGAGGGCTCGATAAAGGTATGGGATGTAAGCGGAGCTTCAGATGGTCGTGTGATTTTGAAATTGTCGTGGGGTTACTACGGCTTGGACCACGAAGGGAGCGAGGAGGAAGAAAAGGAAAAAGAGCCAGGAGCAACTGCGGTCGAGGCGATCAAGTCTGACTTGAAAAAAGTGGCAGTAGCATTCCAGAACGCGGTAGTAAAAGTGTTCGATATCGAGACTGGAAGAGAGGTGTCGAGATTGGCGACTGATGCTACATATGGTGCGTATCTCGATTCTCGTGGCTTCTATTGACGATCGCTGATCATGCTTTTCATGAAGACGGCACGCCTGCAACTCAGGTGAACCGCATTGTCTCCCACCCAACGATATCGTTCCTCGTCACTGCCCATGAGGACAAGTTTATCCGCATATTTGACATATTGTCAGGTACGTTCTGTTTACCAGCCGGGTTCCTTTGCATTCGCTGACCGCGTATGAAGGACATTGCACGCACACCATGCCTGCTCATCTCGACGGGGTAACGTCGTTGTCGATCGATGCAGCCGGGTTCTCGCTTGTGTCTGGCTCGCATGACTGCTCCATCCGTTTCTGGGATCTCCTCGGTTCGCGGACCTGCACACAAGAAATCACGACACATCGCGAAAAGGCCAAAGAGGGCGTTCTCGAGGTCGAATTCCACCCTACGTTACCCTTCATGGCAAGCGCAGGTGCAGACGGCGTCGTCAAGCTCTACGCATCGTCATAGCTTGCCCATGAAACGACTGAATATGATTGACCTTATGATGTTACGCATTATAGATATCTTCGTACGTATGCACTAAGGACGGTCTTATGTCCAATACGCATTGGCTCTTTTTCTTCTCGTTCTTAACATTTTTTCCTGTATATTCCTTTTGTGCTGTTTGCAGGTGATTTCTATGTTATCGTCGTGATCTTGTATTTTGTGCAAGTACGTGAGTGAGTCTAAAGACGGTACGTAGCGTTCGAGTAGTATATGGGAAGGAGGCTCGAAGGTACGTAGCGCGTCAAAAAGTCCGAAAAATTGGAGGATGGCGCGTCGATGAGTGATAAGACAATCTGGTGGTAAGAACGACAACTGCGAAATGGGAATTAAGGCTACAGGGGTTAAATATACACACACGGTGGGGAGTGGTATCGAGGTGGATTGCTCCAAGTATAAATAGCCAAACGAATAACTGAACCAATAAGAAAAGTTTGTTGAGGATAAGGTTCAAATCACTTGAAGAAGCATCAGTTAGTCCCAAGTAAATCCGCCAAAGCCGATAGGACGATTGGACCCACCAATCTTCATACCCTGGTCTGCAGTGAGTAGTTCGACCCCTAGTTGATGGGGCGCAAGTAGCTCACGACATTGGTCACCGATAACGTGGTTGATCGGCCGTTCTGTGGAGAATTGCTCTTTGCAGTGTATGATGTAAACTTTGACACCTTGGAGTGCGCCGTGAAGGGCATCAGGTGACGTGGAGTTCTTCCGTTGCTTCTTTCGCGGCCTTGATCCTGAGCGAGATTTATGTGCTTTTCGGGCGATGACAACCTTCTGTTGCCAGCGTGACCAGCTCCTGTACCAGATGTACGGGACTGAGATGTCCCCAAAGTTCCGCCTCCGGCCGCCCTGTTTGATATGAACATTCAATGAAGATGGTAGATATATCATGTGGTATCTTTGGTGCTGCTGCACGCCAAACAGCGATGTTCTTGGGCTCGGCAGAGATGCTGTCAGGTTCCACATCACCGAAAAAGATGAACTCATGATTTGTGGGGTCATGTCGAATGAAAAAGCAAGCACCATCATACTGACCAGAGTCGCTCATTCCGTGGTTGACAGTCATAAAGCGAACAGAGATATTTGGGAAGATGACCTTGTATTTGCCATCTGCATGGAGGCTGCCAAGCGGGATGGCAGATTTGAGGGAGATGACTAGATTGACTCGTGGGATGAGACTCACGCGTGATACACCAATTGCAATAACGGGTTATTCTCATCATATGTGGCTAATTTGGGCCATACTCTTCCAGAGAAGACAGTCTCTAGATCTCTGAGAGTCTGGGTTGAGCCATATATACGCTTTCTGGCACCGCCCAGTGTGCCCGCGGCCATTACAAGACTGCTTATATGGTCAAGGTGCGCGTGTGTGAGGAGGAAACACCTGCAGAATCAAGTTAAATTACGGCCGTGTGGCAGTAGTGCGGGAGGACGTCACTAACTTGACATTTGAATACACCGTGAGAGGAGTAAACGATGTTGGATTCGCGTCAGTTGGACGTTCTCCGAAAATGTTTGGATCGCGCTTCATGATATGTCTGAGCGCGCCAAGACCCGACCCTGAGTGGTAGCATCAGTTGTGGTCGCGAGACACAGTTATGAAATTGCGCACCCGCCTCCAGTGCGATAATACCATCATTCCAAGCAGCCTCGCGAGGCTTGAGTAGATATCTGTACCGTAGTATGTCTGAATGAAGATGGAAAGCAGCGGAAAGAAGGGACCTACCCTGATAGGTTGGTTTCATCGGGTCCGCCACCGGAGCCCACCACAATCATATCGAATGTGGCCATGGGAGGGCAGAAATTCGACAAGTTCTTTCCGCAAAGTGGTTACAGCACAAGATGGTTATATAGGCCCGCTAAAAATTTTGACTGTCAACTTGAACTTGCTTTTGCAGTTTCCCTTCAGTTTCCCCACTCGCGGAAGCACTAGTGCGTGTATTTAAGGCACCAAGGTTCGGCTAATCAACGAAGTCTCAACATCGTCAAAATTACCACTACTAAGAAAGTTCAATTGCAAACTGAGAACTGCCCCCCTATCGGTGACCTATAAGGCAGTTCTCGGCAGTATCATGCCTTGTCACACAGTACCTCATGCAGAACAACAACAGGGCATTAATGAGCACACCGGGGTCGACTGAATCTGGGTGGGAATACAAGACTCTTCTGCAGGGTCGTATTAATCACTCGAGGCCCGGCGATGATCATGACAATGACAAGGCCTCGGCACTGACCCGTCAAATAGACATAAAGCCTAAGAAAGCGGTATAAAAGAATGTCATTGTTCCGTTGGTTCTGGGCCCTCGACCTGCTCCTTATGAGTCGGATATTTCGGGAATGACGACGGGATTAAAGAAAATGGAATGAGTAGTAAGGAATGTGCATGTGCGTTCCGGAAGTACGTTCTGTTATCTGATAATAAGAGGACACGTGAAATGTTGAAGATCAAACGATAAGATATCACGTTCATCATGTCGGCACCCTCCCCCTATTGCGCTCCCAGTAGGCTATTCAATGCTCTTTGTACGTCATAATCGTGTGCTTCGAGCGCCGCGACAGCTTGATTCCGACTGAAGCCCATTGCAGATAGCTGCTTCACAGGTTCCACATCGTCTTCAATACCAGGCTCCATGACAGTCACATTCTGAGACAGATTCGATGGAGGAATGGGTGGTACTGAGTCCTGCTTCTTTTTCTTGCCAAACGGAAGGCGAATCTATGAAACACCAATTATTAGTAATATACCATACGAAGTAAAGATAGTACATACACTAAGCTTAGAGTGCCGCGGGGGTGGCGGAGGCTTATCGTGAGTAGGTTCCTTGGTTGAAGAGCTTGACGGCCGCTGCAACTTCGGAGAAACAGCTCGAGGCGGTGGCGATGTGGCACGTCGTGGAGGGGAAGTAGACCGTATCGGCGTAACACGGGGAGAAGATGGCCCTCGCAGTGATGTAGGAGGAGAGACGTTTGGGAAGGGCTTACCACCCTCGGACAAAGGTGGCGACGCAGAGGATGTGAATGCTTTTGAAGTTCGAGAAGAGAATGAATTATCTAGCGCCAGGGCTTGAGAGACATCAACGCCTCCGAATGCATCTTGGAAGCTTATGCTCGCGTCTGCCTGTTTTGTTTCTACCTTCTCAGGCTGAGGTGCGGTGCTTGAGGAATTCCAGGGGCCCGATGAGAAGACTTCATCAAATGAGACCGGGGCTACCGGCTGTGCCATAGCCACTTTCGGAGTGGCTGATATCCCAATACTCGCAGGCTGGGTGAAGAAATCAGGTGTTCCATTCGCATGCGTAGCCACGTTTGTGGTCGTTGCAGGGATACCATTGGCAGGGGCAGATCCGGTGGGGGGTGATGGGAACGTAGAAGATGATGCTATCGCTGTCCCAAAGTCAAAGTTATCCTCAAAGTTGGAATCGAAGGAGAAGGCAGAAGCCGGCTGCGCGGAACTGCCATTTGAGATCTTGCCGAGAGCCTCGTCAAAACTATTCAAACCGCTTGTCCCAGATGGTTGAGAGAGTTGCGACGGAGTGTTTTCAAGCTCTGAGAAAGGAAGACCAAACGCATCTACCAAAGATGTGCCATTCTGTGAGGGGGCGGCTGTGTCCGACTGAGGTGCGCTGCTGGAAGGAGGGACTTGCTCGGGTACATCAGTGTTGACTCCAAAGATGTCATCAAAAGAGGTCGGCGCCTGTGAGGATACCGCTTCTGAGGGAGAAACTTCCTTGGCAGAGTCTGTCATGTGGTCGACAGCCTCCGACTCGTGGCTGTCCTCGCTTTCACTCTCAGTGTCGTTCACCTCCAACTCCTGAAGGTCCGTCGACAGGTCTGTTTCTTTCTCCCCCTCCTCCGGTGCGAGGTGCTGAGGATTGAAATCATCAATGGCGGGGAAGTGTGCGGCAACATTATCGAGAGAGGAAACATTTGCACTGGAGTTGGGATTTGGTGTGATACTGGTTGGAGGAGTGGTGAAATGTTCATCGCTCGTGGGTGACGATACGACACCATCGGAAAAATAGGGACCGTCCTTCACACGAGGGGTCACAACGACAAATTCAGAACCATCTGTATCAGGCGCATTGTCGGTCTGTAGCACGGGTTCTGTGTCAAATGCCTGCGAAAATATGTCTGATTGCATTGTAGCTGAGGTGGCCAAGGGATAGAGACCGGGTGGTGATGACAGACCAGGGGGGGTAGGGTAAGAAGTATTAGGGAAAGACAGGAATGGCGACTGAGATCGGGGAGTCGATGCCCCCGAGGACAATGCCAACCTCTCAAATGGGTTGTTACTCTTGACACTGATCGGGCTCGTGGTGCCCGTGATATCAGGGGTCATTGGTAAAGGATGAGCAGCTGCGAAAGCAACCGAGTCCGGTGACTTGGAACGCTCCAACGTAGTCTGTGAAGGCGTAATCACAATCTTCTCGACCTCGACCTCGGCTTCTTCTCTCTCTGTAATTGTATCAGTGAGATCTTGCTGTGCTTCCTCTAGCTCCTTGTCCACCTTCATCTTCTCCGACTCCTTGGCTATCAGTTGCTTTTTGGCAATAGCAAGAAGACCCTTCTGTTGTTTCGCGTCTTTCTTAGACTTCTCGACGTCCTGCTTCGCAACAGCAATTTGCGTCGTAACCTCCGCCATCCGCCTGTTCAATTCTCGGACCTCTTCCTTGTCGCGCAAGAAAGACCCTTCGATTTCTGCTTTCTCCAATCGGACAGCGCTGAGGTCGCTCTCGTCCCTGATAAGTTCTTCCCTAACTCTTTGAATGTCAGCGACCTGAGCTGCGTGGCGATCACGGAGCGTGTTCAGAAGGGAAGTCTCCGTCTCATAAGATGCTTTGGCAGAAGCAAGCTGAGTCTGAAGAGCTGAAAGCTGCGCAGCCTGATTGGCGAGTGTACTCTCGAGAGCCTCTCGCTCAGCCTTTGCAGCCTGCAGAGATCTCTGCGTGGAATTGAGTTGATTCTGCACGTTCCCAATTTCTGCAGACTGATCGTGCAAAATGGGCGGCGCATGTGTGTCGTCGTCATCAAGGAAATTCCTGTTCGACGCTGTTGTTCAGAGTATCAGTATCTTCTCAGAAGACGGCACCAAGCGACGCACGAGATGTAGCTGGAGAAGAGCCGAATGGATCCTGTGAGGGAGGTGTGGGACGAGGCAAAGACCGCGGTGAGAGTGGGGTACCCGTGGTCTGAGGTTGCAAGACGCTTGTTGGAGGATGCGAGGTGGTCGCCGACGGTGGAGGTGAATCGTCCCAAAGGAGATCCCGAACAGGTTCCGGTTTGGGAGGTGCCAGTGCAGTACTAAATGACGCTTGTCCGCCCCGCATTGATGGAGGTACAAGGGTCGGAGGTAACGTACTAGGGACGTCCTTGCCTGAGAGGTTGCCCTGAATAAGGTGCATTGCAACTGCGAATCCGTCACGGGTCAGACGGCCGTCATTATTGATGTCCGCAAGATCCCTGTAAACCAAAAATGAGAAAAAATAATGACTGAAGACATGATTACAAACCAAACTTGGGCCAAGACATCTTCCGGTAACTTGGATTGGAGCATGAATGGCACTGCAACATCACCTTCAATGTATCCTCTGTGCTGCGAGTCCAACGTATCAAAGAAGCGGTCTGCAGCGGCCTTCTCAGCCGCGGTGACATCCCATTGTGTAACCCCAGGGAAGGCAGGTATGGTTGGTGCAAGCCTGCTAGGTGCAAGGCGTCTGTTCGGAAGGGGAGGAGCCGGAGACGCCTGTCCCGTCAGTTGCGGCTGCACAGCATTATGCCTCGGTACTGGTGGAAAGCCTGGGCTGCTGAAATTCGAACTACCACCGGTCGCGTGAGCAGAAACCCCTCCAGCCTGCTCGTATAAACTTGGCGAAATGGAGGTCGGAATATATGAGAGTTGACCGGCCATGGAGGCTTGAATTAAGTACATGGCTATGGTAAAGTCAGTTATGTCGAGTGCGCCTCGGTCTTGAGTGTCGCATAAAGTCCTGTAACGGTATGAGACTTGTCGAATTCAGAGATACTTTACGCACCATATTTGAGACAGTTTATCCACAGAAAGTTTGGATTTGACGAATACGTTGCGTGCTTTGTCGCCTTGAATGAAGGAAAACAATTAACTCCTACTATGTGTAAATGAGCTGACATACCACTGAGGAGACCATTGACAGGCCCACACCCCTGGAATATCCGTGTAAATTTGGCCTTGTCTTGGGGAGTCAATGGAGGCAAACTGGGAGGTGGTGACTTCGGTATTGATGCACCAGTGCCTTGTGGAATTAAAGGCGTCTGTACGCCTTCAATATTGGCTAAGGGTCCGGCTAAGGGCCCAATATCAATAATGTGTCATAGTGAAAGAGCAATGAAACTCACGTTTGTTCACAAGAGACTTGTCGACCTTCTGGCCTTTTTGAGCGTGGCCCATGAGACGGACTGCAATTGAGACACCCTTCTTGGTCAAAAAGCCATTGTTATCATCGTCAGCAATATTCCAAATCTCGCCCAAGACGGTCGGTGTTAGTTTAGCACCCTGGAAGACCTTTACGGCGACGTCACCGGTGAGGATTCCGATTTTCTGAGTATCTGCCTGAGTAAATATCTGATTCACAAGTGCGAGCTCTGCGGGCGTCGGCGCGAAATTGCTCGACATCGCGTGGGCCGTTGACGACGTTGGAAGTATAAGTTACAGGACTACGCACTCCCTTACGGTTGAGCAAGGAGAAGCTTTGGGCAGCCGTTCTTGCCGGCGGATCTTTCCATTTAAATTCAAACTCAGAATAGGACTTTGTTTGTTTGCCATTGTTTCCCGTGGGCCTGTGTAAATTTCAATAATGACCACACGTGACTGAGCGCGTCCACCGTACTCGAACCTACTTGAACAGACAAGTTGTGGCTCTTATTTCGCAAATATTAGCACTTCTCTCTTGACTATCTGCAAGTTTGGACATTATGGATCAGATCACTTCCGCCCTCGCTCCCTCCAGAACCTCTCACAAAACTGCCATCTCTGGCTCAGCACCTGACGGTCCTGGTAGTGTGACAAAACGGCGAGTATGCTGCCACATTTCAGGTTAACATCTATGCTCACCATCATTCTGCAGCTTGGGCAACGAACTCATGACCTTGATGGTGAGTATATGGACTAGTCATGCCTTTCATTAAACTCACAGCTGTTGCTAGATGTCATCATCCCCTGGTATCGTGAGTGATCCTCGGGTGCTCCTCGTCCTTATGTCTTATCTCCCGCCTAGTCTGCCTTTCCCAAAAGTGATGCAAACCTTTTTGAATGGGTGGGCACAATAGAAGGCCCGGCGGGGACTGTACGTGGCACGCGTATGTAACCACTAACATTCAGTACTAAATATCGTGTTAGATTTATGCCGGACTATCATTCCGAATCTCCATTGCATTCCCCAGCAATTACCCGTACTCACCACCCACGATCAAGTTTGACACGCCCTGTTATCATCCCAACGTTGACATTGCAGGGGGTGCGATCTGTCTTGATATCTTGCAGGTTCGCCACATTTTCCCATTAATGTTACATAAAACTCAGAACCTTTCCAGGACAAATGGTCCGCCGTGTATAGCGTGCAAACTGTATTATTATCGTTGCAATCACTGCTAGGAGGTTAGTTATAATACTGGCGGTGTATGTTTTTTCACTTACCGTTTACAGAACCCAACAATGCCTCTCCGCTTAATGGTGACGCTGCAGGGTTATGGAATCAGCCTGACGGTCAGTACATTTTGTCGTACGGGCATGCAGTTTCTCATTATTCCTTTTATAGCCTTCAAAGCTCAACTGCTGAAACACTACCGCCCGATTGAAACCTGTACATAACGCTGTTGTATCGCTTTGATGTGTCGGGGTTGCTGGCTCTTTTGTTATTCCATACGTCGATCGTAGTGTTTTCAAACTCGCACATTTGTGGATGGTGATGTGTTGCCCTTGTTTGATAGTACATATATCCCATCCTTGTTATCTTTGCTATTATGATCCAATTGAGATAGGCGCCGAGCGCGAGCTTTCAAATTTCAGTGCGCATTAGTGCCAGATCACGTACACAGCTATCGTTCAACTTTGAACCGCATTCCGTTCCTCCTGTGGATATTTCGATTTTGCTGGTCTTGTCGAAACTACGTGTCGCTCTTTGTCCTCTATCCTTGCGTTTGTGTTTTGTGGCTTGTTTTTATCAGTATTATAAAAGACGTTCACTTGGTTAGTGCGTATACTAGTCTTCTCGCTTAAATTTTGACAATTAATCGACTGACTGTAGAACTTCATTTCACTTGTAACCATGCCCCGAGGCCCTCGTCGTGCACCTCCTTCTGCTCTCCGTCTCGTACAGGGACCTCTCCCATCACGCGCTACTCCAAAACATACACTCCCTTCCTTTCCTTGCCCCGCTTTCCAACCAGAGGCTATCCTCCCTCATGGGCCTATGCCCCAATCTCGCATGCGCTGTACAGATCCAATGCGGCCCACATTCCCTGACTTGCCACCACTGGATTTAGAGATTGCAAATATGTACAGATCCTCATCGTCTACTCCAACATCATCGTCACCGACATCGGGGCACCGCATTCGTGGCCCTTGGAATCATTCAAGCAGCATTAGCGTGCAAGTGGACATCGATAGTCTAATCGCATTGCCAAAGCCTGCAGCATTATGTCTATAGCTTGGGGTTGTTCATGTGGAAGAGCTGTATCATTTGGGTTGGTTCTTGGTCCCTCAGCTGGGCTGACTGGTATTTTATTGTCTTCTTACGAGACTGGTGCTCAAGGTATTTTGTATGAGGTATGCGTGTAAATGCAAAGATGCTTGATGCATATTTTGTGTACAACAGCACATCAGTTCGAACCTCAGTTAATCTACATAGTTTCATACTCAGTCCTGACGATGGGGTGTGGATTTTAGAATGCAGGAGATCCGTGCTCCCTTAAAATGGTATTTGTGTATTTCTGACTCTCCCACCGGGTTCGCCGTCGGCGTGCGTTCGTGTTACGGCGTGCCCTTGCCCTCGAGGCCCGACGTGCCATGCAATGCATCGGCCGCATTCGCTGCGGTTGCCACGAGCGTCTAAAGTGGTCCTACCTCGTAATGATATTAATGGTATGTCTCGCCCATGTGTGGGTGATTCTTTGCTCGCATTCCCCAGGCTGACTATCCTCCCGGACACGGCGACCAGTGACGTCCTGGGAAAGCGCAATCTGTTTATCTAGGGCGGAAAATTAAAGGCCTGACCTGTCGCTGAGCGCAACTGGACTATAATAGGAGCCGCCGGTGTGAAGAAACACTTCCCTCGAATGTCATATCCTGGATGATTCCGACAGCGTTCGTCCTGATGATCATTTCGGATTGGCTCAGCTTCTGATGATTGGTTCGGTCGGATCAGGTGCAGTGTTATTGAAGGATCAGCCACCGTCACGCACAGCACTTTTATGTCAAGTTGAAGTATACCAGTTTTATTTGATGCCCTTGAGCACGGCTCCGACCTTTCAATGGAAATTCATTGATGTCGATATTTTGGGGATTGAAACTTGACGACTAATAATCGATAGAGAAGCCGCAAGCGAGAGAAGCATGCACGTGTTACGACCATGCCGGTTCGTCATTCTTTTGCTTCTGATTCTTGTTCGATCCAAGGATTGACTGTAACGTTGCCAGTCCGTGAAGTTCGTGTGTCCATAGTATAGCCTTGATTGCTGTGTGGCTTTTCCAGTATTTTGAATAGAGAGCTTAAGAACGTGTGGTATATAGTGACATGTAAATCAGGGTGGCGTGTCACGGGTGTGTTCTGGTTTGGCCACGAGCCTTATTTTCGGCGTTCATCATCCTTGAGTTTCTTATACGCTTTTTGTCTGTTCGCCTTGTTTTTTTTTCTATCTCGAACTGCCGTCACGACTGGTTTATTAAGTTGAAGACTAGCCTGGAATCTACGGTCAATCTTATTCTTTTCTTTTGACCATCATGACAAGCTCTCCAACGCCTGACATCGGCTCTCTATCTCTCAATCCTCAATCTCAACGCCTCCATGACAATTACGATTATGACAGCAGGCAACAGTATCAGTTTAGTGCAAACCAGCAGCTTTCAGGCCAGTTTAATCCTCTAGGTGGTATGACTCCATCTCCTCTCAAGATGAAGCCTACCCGTGGTGGTCTTCCCACCGTAGGTCATTTTCTTCTCAAAACATCTTAATATTAAAATCATTCTTTAGCAATGGCTTGATAACTCAATGGTCATACCTGATAATCGCCCTCTATCCCCTCACAACAACTCAGATTTCTCTTCCTCTGGTAGTTCTCCCCCTTTGGGTCATCTACAGGCATCTGCTCTTGCTCCCTCGACGCCTAACCAAAATGCCGACGATGAGGTTATACCAACCGCCATCGTCGTCAAGAACATTCCTTTCAACGTCAAGCGCGAGACTCTCCTAGATATTATCGTGAGTTCATTATGTTCACCATGTGATCCGACTAATGTCTCTATTTTAGGCTTCTTTGTCCATTCCTACTCCCTACGCGTTCAACTACCACCTGGATCAACAAGGCTCTTTCCGTGGTCTCGCTTTTGCTAATTTCCGACAAGCGGCAGACGCTGATGCAGTCGTGGCTGCTTTGAATGGATTCGATGTTCAAGGCCGTAAGCTTCGTGTCGAGTACAAGAAAGTTCTTCAAGCCGGAGAAAAAGAGCGTATCGAAAGAGAAAAGGCTATTAGGCGAATGCGCTCTATGCAACTTGAAAAGGAGCAACAACAGGCAGTTCACCAAGCATACGATGATTTTGGTCCCGTCACGGCCCCCGCTTTCACCCCGCAGCGATCCTTCTCTTCTGGTGCCTATCAACAACAACAACAGTACTCACCTCCTCCTATGCCTCATCTTCCAATTTCTCAGCCATTTAACCCCGCCTCATCCCCTCCAATTGCCCCCGCAACACCAAATCCATCGGAGAAGTCTTCGTCCTCTAATGAACTGGATCTCAACGATCCTTCTACTTTGGAAATCTATTCTCGTATCTTACTTTTCAAGGACGATAGAATGAGAGATGAACTTGCTTTTTCGAGGACGCTCTCACCCAAGCAAAGGAGGGTCGTTCACCTGATTGCCCAGAAGTTGGGCGTGTACCACTATTCGGTTGGAGAAGGCGATGAAAGGTACGCCGTCGTAACTCGCATCGATCCTAACAGGGTAGGTATTTCCCTACATGCCAAGCCTTTAGTCACTCCCTGACTATTGAATCAACAGACTCAACGGGTTCAGGCTGCGACCCTGTCGCGTGCCCCATCTGCATATCTCTCTGCAACTTCCTCACAATCACAGCTTGCAAGCTCTTTACGTATGAAGAAGTCGATGCCCGATATGAAAACTTTGCACACTCAAGCACCCCGCTTGGCCACTCGTGCGTCGAATGGCAATATTAGGGAAGGTTATGCAACGATTGCTTCTCCTTCTCGTCGCTCTCCGGGTGGTTTCGGTTCACTCTTTGGCAGCAACTTTGGTAGTTCTGCCATCCCGCCCGTTCCCAGCCTGCCATCCAGCGTCATTGGAATGAATGGCGGTAGCTTTAATGAGAGTAGTAGTGTTGTCAGACAACCACGAGGCCCTGGCGCGGGCGGCTTTGGTCTGCGTCGTGGGACAAACAGTGGCAACGGACTAGAAGCTAGATCTCACGAGCCACTGGAGATATAGATCTCACCACAGACACCCACAGGCCTTTCTCATTGATGCTTTTGAGTCTGCCTCATCCAGGCTTAGACGGTGGTCGTATTAATTATTCTTCCCGCGTAGCTTGATTGCTTGCTGGTTCTTCTCACTGGTTTCCTGGTTCTGAAGATTTTTTTGTATACCGCACCATCAAAGCAATTACACGTATCCTCCATCTCTCAAAAGTCAACTTTCCCTACTCGTAATTTCCTTGTACTTTCGTTGTCCGGATCGCTCTCTTTACACCTCTGCTTTCCTCTCTGGATTCTCTTGTTTCGACCATTTTATACATATCATAGGCCAGATTGAATTTGTAAATATATGCTGCTTGATGCATCATAAGTCTTACTTTCCTCGGGACGGTACATCGCGTCGGTTATTTATTTCAAGGCTTTTTGCCAAACAAACTTGGAGGAGTGCCACCGTGATCCGAGTGGAATTGAGACGCGTCTATAACTTCTTCACATCCACATCAACTTCCACAAAACCAGTGTTCTGGTCTGTTCCCAAATGCCGAGCGCAGCTATCATCCACGCCGCGTGCTTCGCGGTTGGTGCAGTAGTAGGAGGAGGTGTGGTCAGCGCTGTAGCCTCCAGGAAGAGGCAAATCCCTACAATCACCTCAACCAACACGTCCGTCGCTCCTCCAATAATCGAAATGGGCCAGAGTGGCGGCGCGAAAATCTCAAATGCTGTTACAGTCTCTGCACTGTCGTCCCCGGTCTTAAAATATGGTCACCCAGGTGATTTGCATGCTGCATGATGATGAATTTATTTCTCTCGCTTGAACTTGGGTTCTGAACAGGTCCTGTACCGGACCTCTTGGTTCGTAAAGCGTACACTGCTGCGTATGACCGGAGACTCAGGCACCCGGCATGGGTGGGTTATCTTTCTCTACTGGAGTAGTTATTTACTAACACTACGTTCATAGACTGCAGAGCATCTCACTCTCGCATCTCTTGGCAAATCCGGTCAGCAGCGTCCCTCAGGGGATGGGTCACCCGACCGCTCAAACTCGACGTTTGTGGAGGATGAGTCCCTCCCGGCGATGTTCCGCGCGAAGCTGCAAGATTATTTCCGAAGTGGGTATGATCGTGGACATATGTACGTACGTCGAGCTTTCTGAGAGGCAGATTTTGATGAGCCCGAAGGGTTCCTGCTGCAGACGCCAAACTCTCTCAGGAGGCTATGGATGAGACGTTCTTATTGTCGAATATCGCACCTCAAGTCGGTGTTGGCTTCAATCGGCATTGTAAGTAGGTGGTACAGGAGACGTTTCAAAAGCTGAATTTTACTTCGTAGATTGGGCGTACTTGGAAGACTGGTGTAGACGCCTCACGGGGTCTTTCTCTGATGTTTACGTCTTTACTATCCCGCTGTATCTCCCCCGAAAAGATACAGATGGCAAATTCCGTGTGGTCGGTCTAGGCTCTCAAGGACGTTATTTATCGTCGTGATTCACATTTTTTTTTTTACAGACGTATGAACTTATCGGTTCCCCACCGAACGTCGCGGTCCCGACGCATTTTGCCAAAGTTGTGCTGGCTTCGAGATCTTTGTCACCTTCAGCGCCAGACACGCTAGAAATATCTACGGGCGCATTTGTACTCCCGAATGCCATTATTCCCGACGATGCACCTCTGGAAAGTTTCGTCATACCAAGTATGCGTTCCCTTTCAATATTGGGCGCATGACTGACGCACTGCACTTAGTTGATGTCGTAGAACGTGCTGCTGGCCTCAATCTATTCTCAGATGCTGTAAAGGCAAACTCCAAGCACATATGCAAGAGCACGAAGTGCGATGTGGTGGTACGTAGATTCGATGATGCACAAAAGCGACCAGAGATGCGTCGGGCTATCTCCGCCCCCAAGTAGGTGCAGTGGAGCACCGGATGATATATCGATAAGTAGAACAATATAGGGAATATACACTAGAAATCAGACAACATATCTTTGATGCCTAACCAGTAGTCCGCATCCACCCGGGTCTTGATCTCACCCTTGGTTAGCCAGGCAAAGTCTTGTGTATGCGTTCGGTTTGGGCGGACTTGACCAGCCACGATATGTCCCTTATAGAAGAAAACCACATCCTGCGAACCTGTCAGTACGAGATACAGATTACAGGAAGCAGGACAAACCTTCTCAGTGCCACCTGTACTGGCTAGTGATGGAGGGTGGAAGACACCTATTGGATTGCGACTGACTATCCAAGTATCCATATTGTTTCCACACTCGACTTCGAGCCCACGGGTTGCCGCCTGATCGGGAGAATGTGAGGAGAGGCAACCCAGAGATGGATCAATTTACTGACACAGTGCAAAAGCTCTCCCCTGTCCACACTTCCCTGAGGGAACCTCCATACGGCCATCCCATTCTCCTGCTTTTGTAGTAATAGATATAGGTTTCGCTGACCGCGTCTTTGCAGGTTTTTGAAGTCCGAGTTAATGTCAGCTTCATGGACACGGGGCATGGCCTCTTCTTCGTCGCGCATAGTAGCCTCGGCAAGCTTTTCAGCCTCGCTCGTCTCCCCGGTCTGCATACCAAAAGGCGCACCGAATGCCTTGCGTTCACGTCTTCGCTCTTCTATGTTGAATCGCGACTCTAGAGGTGAACCTTGTTTAAAGTAAAAATCATAAGGAAATGGGTTGTGCAGCGCGCGGTGGATGCGGGCTTGGTAGGCATAGTAGGCTTTCTCGAAGGCCGTTGGTGTTCGGGTTATTATGGGGGATCGGTTCAGGATAATTCCAGTATGTAGATTGGGCCGTGCAGTCTTCTTTGACAGTGCAGCATCTACTTGCGCGACCTCGAGTACTGCAGGTACTGCAGAAGCTTCGGTTGCAAGTCCACGAAGGAGAGATGCTGCAAAAAATATTACAAAAGACCTAAGAATGATTAAAAGAATGTCACGTACCTTTGGGTGCGCGTTTGCACGACGACAGCACTGTTCTCGAGAACATTACCCGGACAGAACAGAAACTGACCCAGAATTCAATTGAAGTGAGAATAAAGGGGGGTCGCGACCCCTCGTGTGCGTGTGAAATGGACCAAAGGTGGTCAAGCAGTCTGAACTATTGGAGTCTGCACAAGCTTGTATCGGGTAACAATGTCCCTTTCCCTAGTTTTGAATGCATATCTGGACGAGAGTTCTGCAAAGATAAGGTCAAAGCCTGTTCCATGGGAGGTCCGTCACCCAGATTTCATCAGTGCATAACACTCATCTCGGACTCAGGGATACCAACGTGCCGAACTGGTAACCTCAGAAGAGCTGGCTCTCATTAAGAAGGTGGACAGACAGCCCAGGGCAAAAGTCGAGTCTATCCATCTGTCAGATGGCCAAACATATGCCCTATTATACCTTCGGCTTCTTAAGAAGCTGCAAAGGATCGATACCATGCAATGCCTCCTGGTCTTAATCGCAGATGCACTCCTGGGTATGTTTCATTACAAATGTTTTGTAACGGAATGCATGACGCCCATGTTTGTAGATCATGATGAGCGTATACCGCTCTTCGCGAGAGCCGTTCAATTCGATCCCGACCTCCCTTACTCCCCTCTCATCAGGTACGCGTCTTCGGCACCTCTTACTTGATTGTAAAACCAACAGCCCTATGTCAGAACCCTGGAAGCTCAAGATGACTTTGTACAACTCAAATCCGCCCAAATACTGACCGTGCTGCTGAGGTGCGCGTGATCTGCCTTTCTCGAGTCCATTATTGACGTCATGTCTACTCAGCTCGGAATCAACTCCCCTTCAGCACCAGCACCTTCAGCCATTCCTCAAGGTCCTTTCATCGTTCGTGCAGAGCCAATCACAAAACAAGCGTGACGTCGCGGTTCAGTGCTTAGAGTCTCTTCTCGCTCGTCCAGAATGCCGCAGGGCAGTATGGGCCATCCCTAGAATATTAGCAGGGTGAGCACTTATAGCATTGCTCATTAGTTTGTGCCTTATCCAATTGAACAGGTTCGTCGAGATCCTTCTCCATAAGCCTGGCCCTCAGATGAGCTACCAAGTGATCTTCTGCATTTGGTTGCTTTCATTCGAGCAGGATGTCGCTGAACAGATTAACAAGTGAGGGTTCGAGTCGCGTCATCATGAGACTTTCTCAAAGTTTTGAAGGAAATACGATATCATACCTCTGTTGATCACAGTGGCACAGGCCGCTGTGAAAGAGAAAGTCATTCGTGTCATTATTGCCACTTTCAGTGTAAGTTCATGTTTCCTCTCTTTGGGCATAGTCGATGCTGATCTTCTCGAAGAATTTGATTACGAAGGCTCCTTCTGAGAATCTTCCGGCCATGCTTGTTGCCCAGCTTCTTCCATTCTCCAAGAACCTTTCAACTCGCAAATGGTCCGACGAGGATATCTTGGAGGACGTACAGTATGTCAGAGATGAGCTAGAACGCAACTTTGAAAGCTTGACGTGAGTGCGCTGATACTACTTCAATCTCTTACTGATTGATGGGATGCAGGACGTACGATGAATATTTGTCTGAACTGGCATCTGGCCATCTGTCGTGGACACCAGTGCACGAGTCAGATGCCTTCTGGCGGGAAAATGCATCGAGATTGAATGACAGAGACTATGAACAATTGAAGTAACGTCAGCCTCATATATCAATTGCTCAATTGCTAATCCCTACTACAGGACCCTCATCGGGCTACTAGGCTCCGACGACCCCGTAGTCCTGGCTGTTGCAGTCCACGACCTTGGACAGTATGTGAAGCATTACGAACGAGGAAAGAGGTAAGCAAAGCCATATAACCCTGAACGTTACATCAGTCTGATCATTTCCACAGAATAATTACAGATTTGGGAGGCAAAGCCCGCGCAATGGAGCTCATGACTCATCCAGACCCAGATGTACGCTACTATGCCTTGCTATCAGTGCAGGAGCTTGTCAGCCACCCTTGGTCAGCGGTATAGCGCACACTCGGACATCGATACTGTCTCCGTATTATCAGCACGCGTACTACTGCCGTCATGATGTATGTTGCAACTACCGTTATTTTTCGTTCTACACGCTGCGTCTCGCATTCGTACGTGATAACACCATTGCTCTTGTCTGCAATGTTGGCGTGTTCGTTCACCGTGTTCGTTATGTGTTGTAACCCTCCTGAGGTATGTATCAGTGTGAGAAGGAAGATTTGATGCGTTCATTGCAGTTCTCGACAAAGACATTGATATTGGCAGGGTTGCAGCATGCAGTGTCTTAGTATCGTAAACCCTGTGAGGCACTGATGCTCTTGCACCATTCAACCCGTCACGGATGACGACCCAAGCCTCTATATATAGCGCATGCAAGTATCGCAACACAATCAAAGCAGGGTCAGTCAAGGGTAAGTCTTCTTTTAAGTTGACTGATTGAATAAACTTACATCATCCTGACAGAGGAGGTCACTGCAAAACCGTCGCAGCCACGGTTAGATGGAGCCATCACATCAGCATCATGCGACTGGTATGCCACCGTCCGGCGCTTGCATCGACGAAGCGAGGTTGAGGTATGATATTAGTTCTGCCTCGACTGGCCGAAGTGTTTCAGCATGAATTCAAGTAGAAAGGGAAGCCCGTCTAGGGGCCTTCCTTGATTAGATCAGAGGAGATGGTGGTTATGACACTGCAAAACAGTGACTCGTCACTTACACACGTGGGATGTTCGAACGTCGCTTGGCCTACGAAGTGTGACCATACAACTTGTGTGTCTCGGAATTATATCTCATCGAAACTACGTTTCTCTCTGGCGTTGCCTGTGAAATCCAGTTGCCGAGCGTCCCCGTAAACACGCACAGTTCAATCATTGATCGTTGGGATCACCGTGTGGTGGGCATATGAGCGAAGGAAAACGAAGTGTTGTTTGCTGCCACTGTTCTCGACTTTATTATCGTGACAATGCCACAATGACGGAACAACAATGAACGGATTTAAAATAGAAATACAGAGGGTTGCTTGATGTCCGTGCAACCTATGAATAGGTAATAATAAATATACTATCTAAGGGACTGAGAGAACAAAGGAGATAAAAGCTTGAGACCCATCATGATCATCTGCGATAGTATACCCCGTTCCTCACGACAGAACAGCTTGGCTTTTGATATGGGTCGGAGTCTCAGGAGTCTTTCTAGGAATGTGTGTCGAACGGGCCGAACCTGAAATCTCTACTGCATGACACGCGGTGACCTTCTTCGCTCTCGAACTGGGGAAACTGGGGAGTGTTTGGTCTGGGAAGGTGGGAGGTGGATCCCACCTTCCTTCGATAAGTTCATCTAAAGCTTCGCTGGTGATTGGACAAACCACTTGTTTCTGCATATGCTTGGGCCCTGAACAATTTTAGTATATCATCCGCATCGTGATGCATATGCAACATGCTTACCACGTGTGTCAAATTTGTACCGACCCCAAATCTCCAATGTCTCAATGGATTCATAATCTCTTGGCGTTCCATAACTTGCCCAGAATTCCCCTCTGTTTCCGGAAATAATATTTTGTATTTTCCGCAAAATCACCCGATTCTCCAACAGTGCATACCTCGTGAATTTCATCATAAGCGGCTTCACGCGGGATGTCGCGATAACCACCAACACGGATGGGGGTTGGGATATCTACGAACGCGGCATGTACGACATGGGCAATCCCGTGAACTATCACGACCATGAGAAGCCCGCTGAGAAGACTGTATTAAGTATACCAGGTGAGTTAACATATGATAGAATAATATCACACCACATTCTAACGTACCGGAAGACGTCATGATTGTCCTTGTTCGCACTTTCTTCTAGAGCATCAACAACGCCTCTATCGACCTTATATGGCACACGCTGAACTGACGATTTGCATAATTGGCCAGGTTCCAATAAGTGTGACCAGACTGAGGGCTTGTGTGTGCTTGTTCTATCGGCATTTGCGCATAGCTATTTACTGCAAGTGACACGAGGTCAATAGTTGGAGGATATGTTGTGAGGTATCGCCGAATTTCGCGAACCCTCGCGCGCCAGTCTCTGTTATTATCAGGAGGTGATTTTGAAAGTGTTGTCGGCGTAGTCATGTAGTAATGGTTCACAGTGAAGAATATTTTTCATCGTCCTGTCGACAAGGTCATGAAATTTGTGGTTAGGCGGGAGTTCTCCGCCATCAGTAGTGCGTATCACGCATTTGGCCTCATTCAATGGTGACATGGTGTGTGGTAGAAGACACCGCCCCTGACCAGACGACAAATGTTCCGCTAGATACTTCCCTTATTTAGGATACAATGTGCAAATAAACAAACAAACAAAAGATATCGTGACCGTGCAAGCGCTGGCATTGTATATGGTTGACTGCACCTCTCAGAGCAAGTCATCAACATAAATATAAGCCATTAATTATGGAGGTTTAAAAGTCACGAGCCTTGGTGAGAAAACTGAGAACGACACCACCAATATCGACTGTTCTTGCCAGTGGTGGTTTTGGCGTTGCACGTTGACCATGCCTAGCCACTTCTCACGTTGCATGTTAACTATTGTTGACTGTGCCAATGGAAGAAAAACAGATCTTGACTCCGGCGACCACTTGATTAAGACCGGTGAGGATGAAAATCCGAGAAGCTGTCCATGAGTGAACCCTCATTGATGGCGTGTTCTGATAGAGGAAAAAAATGTTGTCAGCAGGTCCGACAGATTTTGATTCTGTGGTAACCACCTGGCTGAGATCAGTTAAGATGGACCTCCAAGGAAACCACCCATGAATGGCGTGCTCTGATAGGAAAAAAACCGCTGTTAGTAGGTTTCGAATCTAGCACAATCTAAGAGACAGATTTACATTCTGTTGCGGTTAGCTAAGACCAGTTAAGATCGATCCCCGAGTAAGGCATGTTACGATAGAAAAAAAACCTGTTCTCGGGAGGTTTCAACCCTGCACAGTCCGAGGTTGGCTAAGACCAGACCTCCACAACCATACATGAGTCAATGTCGAAGTGTGTTCCGAGAGAGAGAAAACCTTGTCGTCTGCAGGTTTTGATCCTGCACAGTCTAAGAGAAACAGATTTCCATTCTGCTGTGGTAATCACTTTAACTAGGTTACTTCTCAAACTGAGAACCTCCTCCTCAGAAAAACTGTTCATGAGTGAATGTCAAGGGTAAGACAATTTTCGGCAGGTTTCAAATCCGCACCATGTTCTGGTACCAGTTGGCTATGACTGATTAAGATAGACCTCATGAACTTCGATCCAGGATCCACGAGCCTGAGTGAATGTTCAAGGCACGCTAAAAGGAAAAAAAAATTGTTGAGCAGGTTTCAAACCTGCAATAAATTTCCGTCCTGTACGAACGCTTACCATTTGGCTAAGATTAATGGTCAGGATAGACGTCCGTAGTGCGAGTCAAAAATACCACGCATTAATGATGTCGACGATGGAGTCCTTAAGGAACGGTTTTCGTTAGGGGAAATCTGCTTATATAAGCATTACAACTTGTTGGCGGGCGACTTGGACCAGCACACAAGGCATGGCGAAGGGATCTCAGTTATCTCAGCTCAAATCAGCGTTATCTCAAGCGGGGATCAGCAAGGCCCCACAAAATGGAAAGAAGCGCAAACGTTCAGGTTCTGTTGACCAGGATAAAATCAAGAAGGCAGCCAAACTTCAGGAGATACACAAAAAGCTGAATCCCTTCGACATCAAGGTCACGAAGCTCAAACATGATATCGGCGGACGCAAGATCAAAGGGTCCAAAGGACAGCCCGCACAGAGCAAACAAGCAGGTATTCAGCAGGTGCGTATATTTTACTTTTTAGGAGTATCGACCGGTCTTCTAAATTGCCTACAATAGCGCGAGAAGACTCTGTTGAAAGAGTTCCAGGACAGAGGTCGTGTTGGCGGAGTTGTCGATAGGCGCTTTGGTGAAAATGACCCTTCTATGTCTGTTGAGGACCGTATGCTCGAGCGTTTTACGAAAGAAAGGCAGCGAGCTTCCAAAGGAACCATATTTAATCTTGAAGGCGAAGAACAGCTCACGCACTATGGCCAAAGCCTATCGAATCTGGATGATTTCGACGACGTTGGTTTGCCTATGGATGAAGACGAAGACGATGATCAAGGTGAGCATTCCTATGCTTCGCATCAAGCCCTCTTTGTTTAACTCGGTCAAGGCCAACTTGATCATGATATCGTGGGGAGGGCACACTTTGGCGGGTTTGGCGATAAGGATGAGGACGAAACAGACCATAGTGTGCGTCTCTCATAGCCTAAGGAGATACGTTGCACTCATATACTTCTCCAGTCCGACCGGAAGAAGTCAAAAGCAGAAGTTATGGCAGAACTCATCGCTAAGAGTAAAGAGCATAAGGTAATAGATTAGACTTCTTACTGGAGTCTTCCTAATTTTGGTTCAGGCCCGTCGTCAACTGGAAAAAGTACAAGAGGAAAATATGCGGCATCAACTTGATGAAGACTTTGATTCCTTGAGAAATCTGCTCTTCGCACCTGACGCTCAAACAACCGACAGCAACGTGGCTTCTCTGGGCAGTTCTGGAAACCAACCTGACATTCCCGCCGTAGACATAGATGAGCAAATGGACTATGACAGACAGGTTCGTGAACTCGCGTTTGATCAACGCGCAAAGCCAAAAGATCGAACAAAAACTGAAGACGAGCTTGCGCTTGAGGAAAAAGAGGCTTTAGAGAAGTCAGAAAGGCAGCGAAGGCGGAGAATGCTTGGAGAAGATGGAGAAGATAGTGATGACGGCGGAAAGAATCACGGAAAACGGAAGAGGGAACGTGGGGGTGACGACCTCGAGGACGATTTTGTAGGGGACGAGTCGTGGGGAGGTATTGGATCGGGATTAGGTGGGGTTGGCATAAGCTACCAGGCAGTTGCAGAGGACGACAGCGAGGAGGAAGATGTGGACGAACGTGTGGATGAGGATGAGGATGAGGAGACCGATGACGAAGATGAGAACAGTGAGGCGGAGGTGGGAAGCGAACCAAGCTTTGGCAGTGAGACAGGCAGTACTTCTGGAGGCGAGTTCGACGAAATCTCAACCAGCCAGAAGTCAGCAAAACTCAAACCACCAGGTGTTCGACATGAACTGCCCTTCACTTTCCCTTGCCCTGAGTCACACGAAGAATTCCTGGAGATCATTGGAGAAATAGACGATACGGATGTGCCTGTCGTTGTTCAGCGCATACGCACGTTGCATCACCCAAGCCTTTCCCCAGAAAATAAAGTGAAGCTTCAGGTAACGCCTTTCTTAGACAGTTGGGAACTCCGTTGACGAGCTCTATAGAACTTGACATTGGTCCTTGTTGACCATATACTCCATATCACATCTCCGCCTGCCCCACGATTCACGCTCCTGAACTCTATTGTTCCCCACCTCTTTGCACTTTGCCGCTCGTATCCGATCGAATCTGCGGGAATTTTCGTGGAGAAACTCTCGCTGATGCACAAAAATTTGGAGCGGGGATTATCGCGAGGCGCTCTTGAACTGAGTGCAAGAACATGGCCGGGACCAGCTGAATTATCCCTTTTGCGCACCATCGGAGTCATATGGTCTAGTAGTGATATGAGCCATCCCGTCATTTCACCTGCACGGCTTCTCATGGGTGCTTACTTGGGGTTGTGTCGTGTTCGGTCACTAACGGACATAACGAGTGGGCTCTTCTTATCATCTGCCTTCCTTCAGTACGAGGAATTGTCCAAGCGCCTGGTCCCAGAAGCCATCAACTTTTCTATCAACGCGGTCTTGCACCTAGCTCCGAGCTCTCTTAAAAATGCTGCGTCAATACCCGGTTCATTTCCTTCCCCCGACTTCCGCTCAGATCTCTGTGCACCCCTCGCGATTGACGTCAAGAAGTCCAAGCATCTCGACTTTCGCACACCAAACCTGCATCGGCTCTTGACTGACGACCATTATCAGGAGCAGGACAAATTTGATTTGCTAGGTCTCGCTTTCCGCCTTCTGGATCGGTTTTCAGAAATGTACAAAAGCCTCGACGGATTTATTGAACTCTATCAACCAGTTTTAGACATCCTCACGAAGCTCGACATCACAAAACTCTCGGAGGGCGTTCGAGTTAGTCGATATCATGATTGTGTGAAAAGTGGACTGACCATGATTTCAGACCCGAGCTTCCTCTTTGCAAGACAAGCTCACCAGGTTATTGAAGTTTGCTCGTCAAGCTCGCAGACCTCTTCTACTTCAGGCCCACAAGCCAATTCCGATCCCAACATATATACCCAAGTTTGAGTCAAGATCCTCCTCTTACCTGCGGCGACACGATCCCGATCATGAACGTAACGAGGCCTCGAAGCTTCGCTACCAACTCAAGCAGGAGAAGAAGGGAGCCATTCGTGAACTCAGAAAGGATGCGAAGTTCTTGGCAGCTGTGGAGCATAAGCAACAGACTGAAAAGGACCGCGCTTATAAGGACCACATGAATAAGGCGTTTTCATCATTGGAAGGCGAGAGAGCTGAACAAAAAGCCATGGATAGAGAGAAGGCGAAAGAAAAGCGTCGATCTGGACGCAAGTAGATTATTTAAATATCTAATGAGTCTCTAATTAGTGAAGGTGAACACTGACCACTGTAGTGGCTGATCACGCTGAGGTACTAGTAGTGCAAAAATCAGACAGTACACGTCTGCACTGTGAAGTGAAGGAGCTCCAAGTGGCGCGTTGTCGGCACCGCTAATATATGCTACTAATGTGACATTTAGAAAGCATTAATGGGGTAGTGGTAACCTGGGTCGTTGCCATCGACCCGCCGGGGGTTCGATTCCCTCTTAATGCATTTCGGTATGACTGGTGTTACATTCCGAAGGATTTGTCATCTTTTTGCCCCTTGCAGGTACTGCAGCTGTGGGACTGATCGATTAGATCAACGTCTCATTTTCCCTACAGCGTGAAACAAGCACAATTCAAATGGATAAGAGTTCCGTCAGGTTCTATCTTGGTTGTCGGGTATTTGTACCCTCCGATCGTAGGCACCTGAACTATACATGCGTCCTACTATCTCTGCAATAAGTTGAATAATTCATGATCATGAATGAACCCAAAGTTCGGCGACAACATCTAACTCTTTCAGTGTCCTTGCTTCCATCGCGCCGGACCCTAAGCGACGAGTGGCCTGATCTGTACCAACATCTACGAGCTCGTCCCTAACCAGTAGGATGCGCAGGCCGCCCGCTCGCAGAAATCCTGTCTGCACAGGCAGGAAGGTAAGTTCAAACTCTTGACTACCCTGTGCCTTCTCCACATCACCGTCCGATGAGTCCTCATGATGACTGGCGTGACTGGGATCGGTGAGCGTAATCGGGTTCAAAAACTGTGTGGAGGACCCAACAAATACGCAGCCTTTCAACTTTGTGCGTTTCTCCTCGTCAGCGAACTCGAAGTAAGGAGGTGGCAAAGTGGGTCGTGCGAGCATCTTCTCTGGCGAGATAACTAAGGAATTCTCGCTTGCCATGTTGGGGGAACTTTGCACAGGGGTGACGAGTGTTGACGTTGCAGAAGTGAGGCCGAGGGACGAGAACCGTGAGCTGATGGTCTCGGTGGCTTGGAATGGTTCAGAGTATGCAATCGCCGTGGCACGCGGATATTGAAGATGTTGTACAGCAAGAGTGATAACCCTTTGTTTCCCTTTGGCCTTTGGTAGAGCAGCAGAAACGGTGGCAGTGAAAGCGATATTGAAGGGCCGCTCAACTGTGATAGATTCCCTGGCAATATGATTTATGATAACATCAACCTCAACGTCCAATACGAGAGCAGGCACCGGTGGTGCTGGTTGTTGTTGATTTGGTGCGACAAACATGTTTATGTTAGATACAGATCCAGCTGCAGGTGATTGCGCATGCGAAGGGCCAGACATCGGGCGCGTGCGAAAGGGTGAGCCTGGTCTGTATGGAGCCGGTGTTGGGGAGCTAGGTCGAGAAGGGGGAAGTTGTGGAGATCGTGGTCGGGCGGGTGAGGATGGCGCACTTGGCACAGTGCGTTGAAGATAAGGCGGAAGTGCTGAGACAGGGTGCTGGAGTGGGAGAGCTGGAGCTGGAGCTGGAGCTGGAGTTGAGTTCGGAGCTGGAGAAGGGCCAGGGAACCGACGGGACAGCATCTACGTCTCAAAAGTGAGTGATGAAACCACTCTTTTGGACGGTGATCTCACCGAAGTTAATAAACGGCCAGGCTCGCCGAACTGAGAACGCCATGAGATGTCAAGTCTACCGAGAGGGATGACACTGCCTGGATGAACGACAGGAAACGAAAAAGACGATGTTGGGGTCAGGATATAGATGTACTGTCTTATGGCTTGTGGTTGCATGAGAGCCGTCGAACCAGAGAATAACATCTGATCCTTATCGCCTGCCGTGTTGGCATCGACGACGCTCCATCCCTCTGCGCATTCAAACTTCATGCGCTCGAACCACATCGCGTCTTGTGTTAAGTTCTGAATGTGGACCTCGAGAAACACTTTCTCGCGCTCTGACAAAGTCATCAACGCCGACGGAGACCGAGGTGTGTGTACCTTTGTCTTTACAGAAAGAGGGTTCGTGACCTAACGCGTTTTCAGTTGAAATGTTCAAATCGCTAGAAGTCCTACTAGAGGCGATACATACAGCAAACTTGTAAAACTTGCGGAAGGTTGCTTCATTCGAGTGATCACTAGCACCAGGGGAATGTCGGTATGACGGAGGCAGGTGGTACGAGACAATACAAGCTAGAACATGGTGACCTAACTCCTTCACCTCGTGATGAGCTACATATTCCAGTGAATCTCCCACTGCGAGCTGGAAGTCTGGGCCACCAAGTTCAGCCACTAGTATCTTGGAGTTTGCTGTCTGGATCTCAACGCGGACACTAACGCCCTCTATGTCGATATTTGTCTCATTGTTGATGCATATGCAACTAGAGAATGTTTCGCCTAGCTGAATAGCTCCGAATGAGGCAGGTAGTGTAAGGAACTCAGATGCTTGAGTGAGATCCCGTAAGGTCTTGGGGTGGCCTGAGAGAGGTGCCTTTCCCTGCAGAGAGAGAATGGACGCAGTAGAGTGGGCAGAGAATGAAGGAGAGCTAGAATAGAAGGGCTGCCATGCACTAGCTAGCGATGGTCTCTGTCATTAAATAACAGCATTGATCACCACATCGCGCGCTGAAAGGTTGTCCACCCACAGATACCCGCATCACTTTCAGTGACAAAAGATGTCCTTGTGCATCCATGTTCATGGCCGTGTATGAGCTGCGGTAGGCCAGGTTCTAGTATTCAAGTGCCTACTGTCTGAATACCGTCGAAGGCAAGGCTGCTGGCGCTGAGTGTAACTTGTTGTTTGTTCATATTAGAATTCATCAAGGCGACAATCGTTGCCCTCTTTACTTATTACGAGTTCACGAATTCATTGTGCACCATTGGATTCCGGAATTTGCGAGTCTTGTCATCCTCAATCCCTATCGCATATCAGGGGGTACAGAGGGTCGTCTGGTCACGGTTACTGGTTTAGCCGCAAGAACGACGAACATGTCGAGCATTTAAAGACCCTACTCTGGATGTTCTGTGGACTCGGCTGGACTATCTGGACATGCTCGTTCTCTGTTCTGGTGGGAAGTGAGATCGCAAGAACCAGTTGGTGAATTGGCCATTATGATTTTTCTTCTTCCCATTACTCGGATTCCACGCTTACTCAAGAATCTGGGATCGTCCAGCGGACTCTCGCATGTCATGTACACCACGATCTAACATAGCTTGTGATGCAACTTCTAAGCTCTTTTCCTCTTCCATTGGGACCCTCCTTCCGAATCTTAGAATTCTGACTTGGCTGTCTATTGGTGAAGTCTTCTCCCCCTTCTTGCGTTCTCCTGTAAGCCCAATTTGTCGACACTCAGGCTTTCAAACATTTCATGGAGCGTACCGCTGTTGCATCGCTCGCATCATCATCGTGTCCTTTCCTCAAAGAATTTTCATGTGCCGATGCAGAAGATTTGTCGATGCAAGCCGCGATTAGCGAGGCAGTTGTGGGCTGCAATATTTGAGCTTCAAATGTTGCATGTTGATCCTTTGGACATACAGGCCTTGACGCACGCAGTCTCTTTGCAAATGCTTTAAGAGTTGTATTTCTCCGTTCCAGATCTCAGACGCCCGGTGTTGAAATTTTGCTGCCCCCGTTCCGTGACGATATCGATTCCTTCACCTTCATCCTTTCACGCATTCCTCCGAAACGTCCACTTCTCGATTCAATGTCTGATTATTTATGAGGGTTCAGTGGATGAACATTTCCCCCGAACATTTCTTCTCGCGCTTACAAGCGTGTTTCATGCATCCCGGGGAACTCACAGAGTCGAGATTGAACTCTTAGGGGATATCAGACGATGATGCTAGCAACGAACCAGTCGTTGTCACCTCTCCCATGTTGCGTTCGCTTCTATCATTCAAGGGACTCGATTGCTTAGATCTTGCTGATGTATGCGCCGCGCGGTACCTTCATAACAAACGTGGCCCTGTCTTGTCCACACCTATGGAAATTCTACTTGGGTAATCGAGGCTGCTGGCTCATTGCACCGTTGCCGACCTTTGATGATGGAGTCGCATCTCTTTTAGGACACTGCCGCCAGTTGTCCAATCTAGGAACTTCTTCGATGCCACTTTCACAAGTGACACCATACTCATTCCCCCAGTCGATGCCGCTGTTAATCCAAGTACACGTCGGTTCATCTCCCAGGCCTCGGCTTACTACAACTTTTAATATCGCAACTGCACAAGTTTTGGCCTCAACTTGATCGTTTGATTATGGTATTGTCAGTTCTGAACGAACATGTACCATATGCATGATATCAAAGGTGTTACCAACATAACTTACTGTGTTGAATTGATATCAGTTCATAATGTTTGTACAGCCTCTGGTATGAATTCAATCAAGCATGATCATCATCACCCTCAAAGGTTGAAATTACATCAACGCTGACAAGCTATGAGTGTGTAGGATAGCAATAAAACATGCATGGGTTCAAGGTACTCTAGTTACAGTAATATCATGCATGGCTACCACAGACCATCAGGTGATTATAGTGGGAGATAGACAAAAGATAGAGTATAAAAGATCAAAGTTCTTGCCGCATGATTTTCTTCGCCAACGCCTTGACATTATCGGCACCGGAACCCGGTCTGGTTGTGCCCACAGCTGCATCTACCATATGTTGTCCGATACCAGGAGGTGCCCTCTTCCATTGAGTCACTCTCAACCCAACCCCAGGCATTGCATGTCGAGCGATGTACCGCACCCAACGGTCGACGACCTCGGGGTCCGCATCCCATGCTTTAATTGCACGTTTGTGCACCTTCCGTTCAAAGTTCTCTTGACTCTTCTTGTGCACGAACGGACCGCGAGGTACAGTCCATAGCGAGCGTTGTGTTGGCAAGTACACCGGGCGTGAAATTGGGATACCTAATGCTGCAGCTGCATGTCCTACAAAATGCATGTACAGTTCAAGGAATTGATGGTTATATGCGCGGAACTGCAGCTGAGCGACCGGAACTGAATGAGTGCGGGGGTGGTATGACGGGGGATAGAGGCTGCGTCCATGAATAGTCATGGAAGAAAACTCTTCTTCTGTTAATGGTGCAGGAGCCTCCGGTTCCAGTTTCCGAGTAGGCAGCAGTGGACCACTGCATAAAGGCTGATATCATTCAGCTGCAAGACACGCAATGAGCAAGCACATACCTAGTGTTGCTGCTGCTGCCATTGAACCGTACCAATCTGGCTATGGTTGGCAAAGCTAGACAGGATCGTTGAGGGAACATGTCTTCAAGTTCGCGAATCGCGACTAGTACTCTGTATGCAAAATATCGAACCCGGCGAATGCCGGATCGCATTTCTCGCCAAACCTTCTCACTAATATTCCAATTTGAGCTTGGACAGTTTCGACAATAGACCGCTATGTCTTCCCATGACAGTGACCCATTCTATCTCAGGCGGGTGTCCTGCTAATTCATGAAATAACTGGGCTGACAGACGTTTTCAGATACTAGTAAATCATCTTGAATCCCGTTTGTAATATCGCTAAGTATTCATGCAGCACCGGTCATTCAGGAAAACACGGTCCATGAATTTTTGGAGTTTGAGTACTCCCATGGTCGTCTTCGATATGCCAACAACTCGAATTATAGGAATGACAGCTTGATCCGGAAAGAAAGTCAGTAATTCATCTTGCATTCCACGCGGCTGCTGACCTCAAGTCCTTAGTGTGGGTTGGGCCGTTAGTGGTCAAGGAGCTCAAACGCATTGTGGAATCGAGTGAAATCACAAAGTAATCATACTCTTCGCTCCATTTTTGACCTGCTGACTTGCCATCCAGGGAAGACGATACGAATTGGCCGAAAAAAAACATCGTTGGAAAGCAAGAACTCGAGATACGTGTAGGCAATGACCACATTGCTTTCGAGGTTCGTGACTAGCAGTACTTTTACACATGTGATATTATAAATCATTCGTCCCATCCAGACTGCGAAAATCGGGTCGCTTGTTGATATCCAAGACAGCGAGGATCCTGAAGGACTTCGTGTATTTTACTACCTCGTACAAGACTTGAAGGTATTCTTTCGCCTGCTTTCCCTTACACGATCTTACAGCCATTTGTTTAGTGTTTGATATTCTCCCTCATTTCTCTTCACTTCAAGATCAAGCCTATCTAGCTACATTCGTATCTCTTGGGCCAGGTCCAAATGACGCACCATCATCACCATAAATATTACCTTTGTATCACCCTAAAATTCAGGCAATGCTGCTTAAATCACTTTACGACCTATTATCGATGAACGGTCCTGTCTCCGGAACTGGCTGGCATGGATAGACTATCTAGGCTCAATGCGCCAGAACCACTAGACCTCCATGCTTTGTCACTCTTGGTTGCTGTATTAATACCTGCAACTGATGGCAAGTTGCAAATTAGTTTTCCACCTCAACACCTCTCAATTGGCCATGTAAGAAGGTACTTATGGCATCCAGATATCGCCATCAGTTATATATCTTCCACTATCTTGAATCTCTTCTGAATAGTAGCATAGTGCTGCATCTCTACTGCACTCACACTCGGGCGTGCTTCATGCATACTGGGGAACTCGGAGTTGAAATTGAATTCATAGGGGATATCAGACGATGAGGCTAGCAGCGAACCGGCCGTTGTCACTTCCCTCGTGTTGTATGCGCTCCTATCATTCAAGGCACTTGACTGTTTGGATCTTGCGGGTACATGCACCGCGCTCATTGATGTTACCTCCGTAACAAACATGGCCACGCCTACGGATCCAAACTCTACTTAGGTGATCGAGGCTGCTGGCCCATTGCTCCGCCGTTACCGGCCTTTAATGGTGTCGCATCTCTTAGGACAAGTACTGCAGCCAGTTGTCCAGTCAGATCTAGGAATTTCTTCGATGCTACTTTCACAAGTGACATCGTAAATATTCCTCCAGTCGATACTGTCAATCCAAATATGATAAATCTATACATCGATTCATCCCCATGATATCGATGATCCTTCCACGTGCCACCGTCACGGAAATGCTGTCCGTCCTAATGCCTTACATAAACCATCGCATTCTGAACAGTGTATCTCAGCAGCGTCAGCGAAGGAAGGAGACAGCAGATAGTACGTGGCCCAAGTCGAAAGCAGAGTTGGAAGCAAGGGTAGCTGGAGGAAAGCAATAGCGTACTAAGTATTGATTCCATGTATTGAATCACCATTCACAGGCCATGCGCATTACTTCGTAGGCGCGGAGGCGTCATAGTTTACCAGGGTATCTATACTGGACTGGGAGAACAATACCAGGTCAACCGCAGTCTACCCTAAACACACTCAACCCATGTACTATGTAGCGTCTGAGGACAGTCGATCTGTAGAATTTGAAGAGCATATGAATGCGAAACATCCAGTGTACGATACTATATAATCAAACTCTCTTCGCCAATACTCTCTTCAGCTCAACATTCCGCTTCTCCAGAGTCTGAATCTTTGTTTGTGCGGAACGCATCTTCTTCAACAAGTATTCCTTCCGCTCGGATGTTGCTCTACGCCTGAACCACCAGAATGAGTGCTCCCCTTTTGAGAGGTCCTGAAGTGTGCTAAGCTCGGATTCGCATGTACGAACGGTATTTTCAGCGCTCGAGATAATTTTCTCGTTGAGCGCGATGTCTTGTGTGGCTTGGAAGACAGGGTCTGCCGTATCGTCAGTGAGGGGAAATTAGATAACAATTGCATTGCCCATTACCGTTCACAAGTCTCTCAAAGACACATTTGAACACGGGCTTTCCGGGACGTATCGTGGATGGTCGACCTGAAAAGGATATTAGACAGTTGTCCCCCAGCCTGAATGATTGACAATACCATGTTGTGTGCTGATAGATATGATCTCAGCGTGTTCCATGGCACGAAGTGGCAGCTCGTCTCCCTTGAAAGGCGCATCGAGTAACACTTCGTAATACGGCAGCTGACGAGAAAAGTGAGCAACCTGTGGACTAGCACATGAGGTTGAGTACCTCAGCTTTGCGTGCCAGTTGCTTGAGCACGGTCCACGCCTGCTCCCTGGACCACAGCAAACTCTTAGCGTCGTCGATGTCCTCTCCAAAGGCCTTCTTCCTCAGTTCTCCGACACCGCTAGTGATGATGTCTTCTACCGCTTCCTCGATGCATTGGCCACTGCAGACTTTGTGGATTAACTATGTGAGGAAGCGTATTAATATGCGCGTTAAAGGAGACAACAGATGACTCACACGTTCAAGGTCGCTCGTGCGGCCGCCAAGGTGTTCTATGGCCTTATTTTGTGCAGGCGTGAGGTCCGATGTGATGCCAGCATCGTACAGGCGTCTGCGAACGAAGGAGAGTGCAGTAGGGGCATCAGCATCATACAGAGCAATAGAGTTCAAGGGCTTGGAAGGCAACGCTGTAACACCATGTTAACAATACTTCATAAGGGTAAAGATATAACACACACCCCGGGCCAGTAGCTTTGCGTTCTCGCGGTTGTCGCTGACCACGATAACATGGGCAATCTCGAAAGACATTAGGAGCACAATTGACAAGTGGAGCAATGCGAATCACCTGGTTCTCGGCGAGGGACGCTGCCCAATGCGCCAAAACGCCGAGAAGTTCCTCCTTGTAAATTCCTCCCCGTGCGGCATAGTTTTTGATGACGACAATCGGCAGCGTACGCACAGCTTGCACGTCCTCTGCGTGCCGGCGTTGTTGTCTCGCTAGCTCCTCACTCATCTTCTCCTCTCCACCACTTGAGTTTTCAACATGTTTCTCCATCGCATCGAAGCTCGCAAACCCGTTGTCGTCGCCCTCTAGTAACTCGTCGCCCACCCCAAGCTCGCATATAATGCCGTTTCCGGCAATACAGTCCAGCCGTGGATCATGCCATGTCCCGGCACGAATACGGGCGCGAGTCCGCACTTCTTCGGCTCGTTGTTTCTCAGCTTGTTGTGCTGTTTTAACGGCGCGCTGCGCAGAAGCGCGAAGGGAATGATTGACTTTCTTCAGTGCTGTGCCTGTGACTTCGAGAATTTGTTTCAGCTGGTCTTCAAGGGAGGACTTGAAGCCTGCTAGAAATACGTTAATTATTTAGTCAATGAAGTGAAGAATAACCAATCAAATCACCTTTTTGCCCGATTAGGCCAACGGTCGCAATGTCCACCATGTTGTTGACGGAGTTTAGGAAGGTGAAAATTGGTTTGTAGCCGGTCTGATGTGCGAGTGCGGAAACGAGACGCGTGTCTGATGTCGCTCTATTGAGCTCAGCACAATCGATCACTAAAGCTTTTCTATAAATTATGATAAGCTGTGTCTAGATGGATATAATGTATTACAAACCTGCCAGTGTCGCGGATGATAGCCTCGAGCATACGCGATTTGCCGCTGCCCTGGGGACCATGCACAAATGCAACAGTAGCTATTCAAATTGTGCTGTCAGCATTTTACATTGGAAAATGTGCGAGAAACTTACAAGGTAGGTCAGAGAGGTAGCTCCGCAGAGCGCTTTCTGCGTCCTTACGCTCCTTCCAGATGTCTCCCTGTGGAGGGACATCTTCACGAGCCAAGCTCGTGAGGGAGAACCGGTCCAAGGCATTCGCACGAAACCATTTATATAATTTGTATTCTGAAATGAAAGAAATGAGTTGGTACGTTCCATGACCATGATCGAAAATACTTACCGCGATAATCGAACCAATTAAGCATCTTCCCTTCAACAGAGAGGACTCTTACGGGATCGAATATCTAAACAATTGTTTTCTAGCTCTCATGAATAAATTAGAAAATGGTTCACACACAGTGTAAGTCAACGTGCCGAGCAAGAAAAATATGATCGGCAACACGATCCTGGGATGCGAAGTCAACCAGTCCCTAATTGCATGGGCCTGAATGGGGCGTTGGTATACAGTCCTCAGGCATGTTGTTCCACCACCACTGGAAAATGTGTATCCATGGATGGTGTTCCGTGCGACAGTGGCGGAGCGTACGCGGTGGAATAGGATATCAGAGGAGCGAAGCGTGCCTGCGGGAACAGGTGTAGGGGCGGTGATATTGAGTATTCGGCCGCACGGCTAGCACGGGGTAAGGAGAAGTAAACTTATAATTGAGTGAACTCACTCTAAATAGACTATACAAGGCTTCTTCGGGAACATCTGGGCCCTGGAAGGATACGTGAACGATTCCTGACGGATAACGGTACATATCCTGATCGTTTCGTTTGCATTCTCGCCAAGCAACTTCTACTTGCGAAAACGCACCTCAAGAAACGGCTCCCCCTTCACGAGCCAGATATTGCAGTAATTAAGTCCAGACCAAGAAGGGAGACCGCCATGCTTAGTAGCTTCAAGTTGGAGATCCGTCTGGAGCGTTTCGAGCGCGTTCTGGTTATCACGAGCAGTATAAGTGAAGCGCACAAAGATACCGCCATCCTTCTGGTAAGGCTGGAGCTCTCGAATGTGGAAGTCGTGCGTCTTCACGGTCTCGAGACGCTCATGCAAGCGCTCCAAGAGGTTTTCCTCGCGTAATATGCCAATATAGTGTCGAAGGCTGCGTGGGTTTAGTTAAGGTAGAAGGTGTACTACTTGGGTGGTACGAACTCCCAGATACCGAGGCGAATAGGAAAGATGGAGTCGATGAACAACCATCGTTCTTGAGACTACAGATAATTAGTATCGAGAACCTCTGGTCTCGAAGTCACTTACGTCCCCGTCCAATTTAGATATGCTCGCCGCTGTCTCTGGTGTGTGCGTGAATACACGTATGCTCGTACGTATTCGTCGTGTCTGGTGTAATAAAGAGCGCGAATTTCGATTAGCCAAGTTAACCGCACTTCTTGAATACATGCTGCGGCCTATCAGAATCTTGGCCAGACTAGCTGGCTACCAACAGCAGACTGGAATGATTTACTGGCAGTTCCTTATAACGTAATGACCCAGTTGTGTGATCGTGGGAGAGTATCGCCTCGTTTGTGTTCTTGTGCGGATGAAACGGAGCAAAGTTTGCATCCCGTGAGGGTTCTCCACGCGTTGTAGACACTGTCAGTTTGTGCGCACAGGACGACAGCGACCACTGGATCGAAACTGTTCTCGTCAACGCAGACAGTGATGAGCACCTATACCCAAACACAGCCCCGTCCTCCTCCAGCCGCACTTGGACGCAAAAATTCGTTTTTCGGCGCCATCAAGAACATCGTCACTGCCCCACTCTCATGGTTTGGTGGCAGCGAGGAAGACTTTGGCGATGGCGACGCTAGAGGAAAGCGAAGGCGGCTGCCCATCGCTTCAGAACAAACACGCGATGACTCTGACTCTGACTCAGAGCAACGGACCAAGAGAATGAGGATGGGTAGCCCCAACAGAGATAAGCAGCCATACCTTGATCCCCCCAGATCAGCCTTCAGACAGCACCATAAAACATCTGAAGGTGCACGCATCCAAAATCATCGCCATGTTTCGCCCTCGCCACGAAAAGCTCTCCGCGTACCCACTGCCACACCCCGTAATAGGCGCACGATGTCCCCTTACCCAAGTGGGTCACAGCTCAAGGCACAGCCGTCTGTGCGTACTATGTCTCTTGATCCTCCATCTGGGCTAGGCTATTCCGGTTCGCCAGCAAGGTTGCAGCCAGTCCCGACTATGCAAGATCTCACCGAGGAGAAAGATGCCATGTCCATCAGCAGGGAACCGTCCATGTCAAACCTTCGCATGCGTACGTCTATTACACCCCAGCCCTCGGGTTCCGATTTTGGCCCTGTCATTCCCCCTCGCTTGGAGCGCGATCCAACCGAGCCGCCACCACTTACAACATTGATGTCAAACCCCATGTTTGTCAAAGCCCCGCCTGGCTTGCAGAAGTCTAGCACTGCGGAAATGACCAGACAAGCCACTCTTGGTTCATTATTAGACTCTCAGCGTAAGGTGAGGATTATTTTTTATTTTTCTCTTTTTGTTTCTCTTGCCATAGACGTACCTTTGACACGATTTTCTCAGCAAACCCGTTCACCTGTCCGACGAGGATCCGTTTTGTTTGGCACTGGATCCATGACGGATATATCTGCTCGTGCGTATGCCCACATTCTTGGTCGCTTTTAATGATTGATTATCCTGCAATAGCTCATCTTTGGCCGATCAATCCTGCCGAGAAGGCCCTGCATGAGCTTGAGGTATACAAAACTCCCCTCCTTCCCTCGCGTCTCAAGGGTGCACCGATCCCGGACACTTTTATATCCAAGAAGAGTCGCCCTATCACTCTCATGCATGACCGGGACCGAGAGCATAAGAAGGGGAAAGGCAAGAACAAGATGAAGGATCGAGATGGTGTCAATGGGACAAAGCCATACGCGGGTGAGGGTGGCATGAAGAAGTGGCTCGCAAGGAGGAAGCGAGAAGAGGAGGCGGTGCGAGCGTATGAGGAGGCTGACCGAGAGAAGGACAAAGAGCGGGCGATGGAGGAGGACGAGAGTGCTGAAGTTGAGGCTGAAAGGTTAAGCGAACAACAAAAGAAAGCACAGGCGGAAGAGGTGCAACGTAAGAAGCAAATGGAGGTTGCCGCACTCCCGAAGGCACCTGCATTCGAACCGAAGCTCAGTACCACAAGGGAGATGTCGTCTCTCCGCGTTGGACGCTCGCGAATGCGCAATCACATTGAGCGCCCGTCGGCAAAGCGCACAAATAAGTTCTCTGCGGCGTTTGAAGATGACGAGGATGTTATGGATGATGAAAGAGTTGCACTCGAGGAGGCTGCAAAGAAAGTACCCGTATTCGAAATCCCTGCTGGATTCACGTTTGCCAAAGAGGTAGATCAATTTTATGGCACTTCTGAATCAACGATCTCATCATTTTCACAGACATCCATCCCTCACGATACCACAGGCGCAAAAGAACCTCCCATCAGTGCGCTTCCATTTTCATTGTCTAAACCGATTGCACCTGCGGCCAAGTCGGTCTCAGCACCCGAGCCCTCTGCAGCCCCCGCTCCAGCAGTCCCTACCATCTCGTTTGTTCCTCCTACCCCACAGCCGCCCAAATCAGAGGAACGTACTGAGCCTGCACCCGTTACATCCACCCTTTCCACGAGTGCTTCTAATATGCCCAATTTCTTTGCTAATACGGCTGCGTATACCAAGCCGTTGGTTGTTACTACCCTCTCGGGGTCTTTTGGTGCACTCCCTCCTGTTCTCGCACCCACACCAACACCAGCACAAGTGCCAGAGGCTCCAAAGGACACTGAGACCTCTACTTCCTTGTTCGGTACGCCTGTAACTCTCCAAGTATCTGGCACACCATCCGCTGCGCCTGCTGCAAGTTCTATGTTCGGAGCGGCTCCTGTGTCTGCAAGTACCTCAATCTTCGGCCCTTCTTCCACTAGCACTGGCACGTCATTTGGTGTTTTAGCACCACCAAAAGCAGCGCCTGCTGCGATAGAGATGACGCCTGTCGCTTCCCCCGTCATTTCTCCGCTACCGGCACATGCCTCTACCCCTGCACCGTCCTCTTCGCCATTCTTGTTTAGTGCATCAACTACACCTGCTGAAATTGCCCCTGCAAGTGAAGCTCCGAAGCTAGCGGAGCAAGAAGCGAGCAAACCTTCGTCGCTCTTTGGAGCTACTCCATCTACCGCCCCATTCAGCTTTGGCACACCGGCTGTTTCTGCACCTGTAGCCGAGCCATCCAAGCCCGGATTCTCTTTCGGAGAACGAGCGCCGACACCTGCGATGACAGAGCCATCGAAGAGTGCTTTCTCATTCGGCGGGCCCGCACCTTCTACGACCCCTGCTCCCGTGCCCGCTCCTGTGATAGAGGCTCCCAAACCATCTTTCGGGAAGCAAGATATAACCTCGGCGGCTGGATTCTCATTCGGCCCACGCCCAACACTGCGCCCGCAGAGGAGAAACCTGCCTCGGTTCTTCCGCCTTTCTCATTTGCGTCTGCTTCACCTGCTCCAGCTGAGAAGAAGCCATTCACCTTTGGCACCTCTTCTCCTGCACCACCTACTGCTACAGCCAAGCCATTCAGCTTCGGGCATGCCAACGCGGGCAGCAATGCCGCTGACACGAGCAAATCGTTCAATTTTGGGCAGTCTGCTCCTGCTCCTGCATCCGCCCGTCCCGCTACGCCACCAAAAGTAGACCAGGAGATTAGCATGGACGAGAGCCCGAGTCGCGATATGAATACCAACGGGAAGGCGCCAGAGCGGCTAACACTCGATTTCTCTTCTTTCCCTGGTGCCAGTAGCACCCCCGCAGGGAGTACCCTCTTCGCGCAGAGCCCTGCTACGGCAACAGGCCCTGGATTCGGATTTAGCACGGCTAGTGCCAATCCATTCGCGAAGCCAGAGGACAAGGAGAAGCCGGGGATGGCGTTTGGCTCTGGGAGCTTTGGCCAGCCTTCTGGTTCGGGCTTTGGATTTGGTCAGGGCGCAACTGAAACACCTGCCCCAGCATCTGCAGGGCCGTTTTCGTTCTCGCAGGCAGCATCACCTAATGTGGCGCAGACTCCAGGGTTTGGATTCAGTCAGACCGCAAGCAACGCATTTGGGCAACAGCAAAGCACATCGTCAGCACCATCGAGTCCGTTGGCATTTAATCGTCCAGGGACATCGTTCTCTTTTGGCACACCCGCGTCTTCGCAGCCTGCTGCTCCTTCGTTTGCGTTCGGGGGTAGTCAGCCTGCGTCGCCAGCAACCTCCGCCGGCGGGCTTCCACAGCCCTCAGGTGGTGGGTTCGCATTCGGTCAGTCGGGTGCAGCGCCAGCTGCAACGCCAAATTCATTTGCTCCTACTACCGCTTCATCTGGCGGAGGTGCTCTATTTACCATCGGTGCTGCTCCTCAGCCTGATGGAAGACAAATCAAGAAGCTTCCTCGTCGTGGAGTTGGGAGACGCTAACCGTCTCCGAGACCTTTCCTTTTGGTAACCCATGGGCTATTACGGACTTTCTCCACAGAAAATTCATCTCGTCTCGTCTCGTTTCATCTCTGCTTTCAATTGCGCTACCATCACCTCACTCCACCCCGACCAATTCTGATGTCAAGCATCAACCGGCGTGCACCTAGCATGGTGCTTCTCTTTATGCATCTGTCTCCTTGGGTCTTCCCAAACTCAGCAGCTCGTCCTAGCTCGTCCTGTAGCGCACAACAACATTCACCCAGGGGATTCATTTCGTCGTCACACATGGATGGCTCAAGGCCACCACACGCTTATCTCCATGACACAAGTTTGATTTGATTTGACATAATACACATACTCACTGGGCTCAAGGCTCGTAGACACAATCACATAGTTACCTGCATCATTAGCTTCTCTTTCTACGTGCAAATGTTTTCGTTGTTAGTGGGAGGTGGTCCATATAATGTTAATAACTCTTCTGCTGTTATGACTCTAAATGCTGTGTGTGAATGAGTTAATGAATTCAGATGCGCGTCACGCGTGAATTTGATGCAATCTTGAACGCGTCCCGCGTCCATCATGCCTCGTGAAATAGTGACAGTCCAGCTCGGACAATGTGGCAATCAAGGTGAGCTCTCGGAGCCCATTCAAACTTCAGGTGTTCTGATCTAGTGACTGAAAAAAAGTGGGCGCTGTATACTGGCAACGCCTCTGTGCTGAACACGGGATCAACAAAGAAGGTATTCTCGAGGAATGGGCGACCGAAGGCGGGGACCGCAAAGATGTCTTCTTCTACCAGGCGGATGACGAGCATTATATCCCACGCGCGATTCTTGTCGACCTCGAGCCTCGCGTACGTGCTCCTACGATGTATTGCGACTGATCTCTTAACTATGTAGCATTGTCTAGGTTATCAACAACATCCTCACCTCACCGTGGGCGAATTTGTACAACCCAGAAAACATTTTTATGTCGAAAGATGGAGGTGGTGCTGGAAATAACTGGGCGCATGGGTATGCTTCTGGGGAGAGACTGTATGAGGAGGTCATGGAAATGATTGATCGAGAAGCTGAGGGAAGCGACTCTCTGGAGGTGAGCATCGGCTTCTGCTTCGCCTTGGCCTTCGTAGATCTTCATGGACTGTTTTACAGGGCTTCATGCTTATGCATTCAATAGCAGGCGGCACGGGCTCAGGATTCGGTTCCTTCATCCTCGAGCGCTTGAATGATAAGTTTCCTAAAAAGCTCATCCAAACATACTCTGTTTTCCCGAATGCCAACGAGGGTGATGTCGTGGTGCAGCCTTACAACTCTCTCCTTACCCTTAAGCGTCTAACAAACCACGCTGACTCGGTTGTTGTCCTGGACAACGGCGCACTGGCGCGAATATCGGCAGATCGGCTGCACGTCCAGACGCCTACTTTTGACCAGACAAATCAGCTCGTGAGTGCGCAAACAGAGTGATATTGTTTGATTGCTCAGCCTAATTACTACCAAAGGTTTCTACAGTTATGGCTGCGAGCACTCAGACACTTCGATATCCAGGATATATGAATAACGACCTTGTGGGCATAATAGCCTCACTCATACCAACGCCTCGATGCCACTTCCTCATGACCTCGTACACGCCTTTCACAAGTGATCAAATCGACAAGGTTTCTCTCCTCGGTCTCTGGTGCACAAATTTACTTATCTCCTGTATTATTAGGCAAAACCAATTCGTAGAACGACTGTTCTTGATGTCATGCGGCGTTTGCTTCAGCCCAAGAACCGCATGGTGTCCACAACACCAAGCAAAACGGCCTGCTACATCTCGATTTTGAATATCATCCAAGGAGACGTCGACCCAACTGACGTAAGACTCCACCATTCGTTGTTCATTTGACACTCTGCTCACTCAGTCTTGCATGTAGGTGCACCAATCACTTCTGCGGATACGAGAACGCCAGCTTGCGAACTTCATACCTTGGGGACCAGCATCGATACAAGTGGCTTTGACACGTCGTTCGCCATACGTAACGACAAATCACCGTGTCAGTGGACTCATGCTTGCTAACCACACAAGTATTGCTTCGGTAGAAAGACATCTGTGTACGTCTTTACTCGATGCTAAGATCTGTTTTTCTTTCTTTCTGTAGCTGTTCAAGCGGATGCTCGACCAGTTTGACCGGCTACGCAAACGAAATGCATTTTTGGAGCAATACAAGAAAGAGAAGATGTTCGAGAACGGACTGGAAGAATTTGATGATGCGAGGTGAGTGATTCTCAAAGTCTACGGTCAGGGACTTGATTTACTGGTGGCCCATCAGAGCGACTGCAGAGGAGCTGCTCAAAGAGTACAAGGCTTGTGAGAGTGCAGATTATATTACTTATGTAAGTTCTTTTGTTCGCTTATCCTTGTGTCTGCGCTCATGTCAAGAGATACAGGGGGCGCCAGACGCAGAACAGGGCTCATAATAGTATCGCAGTGAAGTTCATGTATAGCATTCCCTCGTTGCTCAGCAGCTACTTCTATTTTCCTTCAATTTTCATTAAGTATGCTCAGAATTGCAAACGATGTCCAGTACAATATTGCAAAAAAATCTAGTGGCGACAGACAGAACTACATATATGATAGCAATTCACACTGGTATGTGTCGATATCATGCGACGACGGAGGGGTCAAATTACGACTTTTTCGGCCCCTCCAGCTTCTTTCCAATATCCGCACCTGTAAACGCACGTTATTTCCGAATGCTGCTCGAAACGGGACGTCTGTACTCACCACGAAGCTTGACACCCAGAATCCTCTCGAACTTGCCGAGGACCTGAGGATTAGGGATAGCCTTTCCAGATTCGTAGTCCTGTATCACAGAAGGCTTCTCGTTCGTCTTCTGGGCCAGGTCCTTCTGAGTAAACTGCTTCTCCATGCGAGCGGTTTGGATAGCCTATGTGCTGTGTTAGCGCTCACGTGACGGACCACGAGTCAGTACCGACCTTGCCGACGCTTGCGTTGACTTTCGGTGGAGGAGCGACTTCGTTCTCGCGGTCCAGCTTGGCTATGCGTTGGTGATCTGGCCCTGCATGTCACACAGTTAGTAATTCGTATGATACTGTGCAAAAACGCACCTGGACGGGCTTTGTTCCCACCAGCGGTGACCTTCTTGTCTGTAGCAACGACAGCCCCTGTTCTGCGCGCCTTTTGAGATCATCAGTCAAGTATGTTTAATCTGGAAGCAAAAGAGACAAACGGCTAAAATTTACAATTCATCAGACATGTATTTCAAGTACAAATGAGTGTACCATTGCTCACCATTTAGGTCTGACGTGTTGCGGGTGACTTTTGGGGCCTTAGCCTTGAATCCAATGACGGTCTTGCTGTCCCAGTCGAGGTTGCTCATTATGGCTTTCAGTGGGAGTTGAACGTTGAAACGAAGCGGTGATCTATGTTGTGGAGGATAGGTTTGTGGCAAACAACTGGCGGCGCCGCTTATTCATAACGATCACGTTGTCACAGCTTGTCACAGTCCGAGTCACGATATACTCGGACTCGTCACAGACCAGTACACCAGGGGCACAGCCTGGTACAGCTGTGTCTCCAGATTTGAATTTGTGTCGAGTCACAGACTCGTCTGCTAGTGGTAAGTGACTAATAATTGGATATGCTTACCACTTATTTAACTCATTCCGTCGCAGCCGGATCCGACGCCGCAGAGATTTTTGTCCTGAAGAGATTTAGAACACTGGCGACTGCTTGAGCACACATTCCTCTTTGTTACCTGGTTGTTGGAACAAAGATGCACTGTTGGATCCCGGAGGTCGCGCGGGTTATCTTCGAATATGTCTATGATCCTCTCCGCGAAGAAGAGGATATCGAAGGTCGCGTCACGGTGGTCTAGCAAGAACGTGTCGAACATTTAAAGACCCTGCCCTGGACGTCCTGTGGGCTCAGCTCGACTCTTTAGATGCACTCGTTCTCTGATCTGGTGGGAGCCGAAATCGCTGGGACCAATCGGTGAGTGGGTCATCATTATCTGCTCGCCCACCACTCAGAACCTACCCTTAGATCTGGGATCGTCCATTGTACGATGCAGACTGGCGCATTCTGGCGCGTTATGCAAAACGCGTCCGCACGCTGACGATCTCACCTTATTCAGAGACATGGCATATCCGAGTCAGTATTATGCGACTTCTGAATTGTTTTCTCCTTCCGGGACCCCTTCTTCTGAATTTCACAAAGTTGAATTGGCTATCCAACAATGAAGAATACTTTCCTTTTTTACATTGTTTCTGCGGGCCTAATCTTAAGACCCTGAGGCTTTCTCCCGTCTGGTGGGATGTCAGCAAGTGTATCGCTATTGCTTCGCTTGCATCATCATGCCCTTCTCTCGAGGAATTTATATGCCCAGACGCAGATGAATTTTCAATACATGCAATCAGCGAGGCAATTTTGGGCTGGAACAAGCTTCGACTGTTGCAGGTCGGTCCTATGGACAAGCAGGCTTTGGCGCACGCAGCCTCTTTGCAAACGCTTCAAGAGTTGCATTTCTCTGCTTCATCAGATCCTAGATCCTCCATGTTGGAATTTTCCATTCCCCATGCTCTGGTAGCAATTTCAGTCCCTAGACCTTCTTTCTTTCAAGCATTCATGCAAAACGCCCATTTCTCAATTCAACGCCTGGAAATTCACTGCTCCCTCTACGATGACTCCTTCCCCGAACGTTTCTTCTCTCACTTACAAGCGTGCTTGATACATCCCGGGGAACTCACACGGCTCGCGCTGACCGTGGACCGGATATCAGACGAGGATGGTAGCAACGAATCGATCGTGCTCAACTCTCGCATGTTACAGCCAGTCCTATCATTCAAGGGACTCGACCATTTAGACCTTGGGCATTCGTGCACCGCGCATATTGATGATACCTTTCTCAAGGAGATGGCCCTGGCTTGTCCACACCTACAGGGACTCTGGTTGGGTGACCAGCATAACTGGCTCGTTGCTCCGTTGTTGACCTTCGCTGGAGTTACATCTCTTTTGAAATACTGTCGCCAGTTGTCTTGTCTCGGCATTTTCTTTGATGCCACTTTCAAGAGTGATACGACGTATGTGGCCTCGGCCGACGCAGTCAGTCCAAGAATCACAGAATTTCTTGTTGGGGCATCCCCCATCGGTGATCCTGTGAAGGTCACAGCAGTACTGTCCTTTCTATTTCCAAGTGTAACTCACATAAATCATTCCATTCCCAATAAAATCCCCGTCGAGCTTCAGGAAAGGAGGGCAAATTGGGAAACAGTAAACATGTGGTTGGAAACATTTGTCTCGGCCTGGAAGGAAAGTAGGCAACAAGGCTGGTTGGAGGGGAAGGCAGAGGTTAAAGAGGATACAGTAGCGTAAATATCAATTCAATCATTCTTTTTGTATCTTATAGCCAGTTCGGTGGTGTTATAGATCACCAGAGCCTTCGTAGAAGGGTGTTGAATATTCTTTATGACTGAATAAACACATTCTCTAACTGGGTCGGCCGTCAGCAAATATTGTTATGACTCGATCACTGGCATTGAGATTACAAAAATACTTCTATAACCTTGCCGACAAGCATTTTGCTTACGATCATATTCAGCAGCTCCCACTTTTCCCTTACAACCCTTACACCTTCCACTTGACCTCGGTGAAAAAATTCATGAGACCGGAGTTCAATTGTCAAAAGCCAAGCTTCAAGCATCGGGGATCACCGCACATGAATACGGGAGCTAATTAGAAAATCGGATAGGATTTTAGATTAGCCCTTGTTACTGGAGGTTTGTCGACTACATAAATCCGATGACAATTTCGCCGTTCTTCGCGAGTTGCTCGTTGCGTACTACTACAAACCGGGTATTATATCGATCGGGGACCCGAGGAATGATTGCATTGTCACACCTTGATCAATCATGTCACAGCTATGTAGCAATCAGTGAGTGAGCGCTTGAGCGCTGCACATTGTCCTATAGTTTTGATTGACTCGGAAATAAGTGTGCTTAACGGGAACCGCTACAGGGTGTGCAAGTCTGGACAGTACGTCGTCGTTTATCTGCTCGTAAGCGACTAGTAGTGTACTATTCTTACGACTCATTAACGTTTTGTCGCAGAAGATTACTAAACACACTTTCATCTTTGTTACTAGTTTTTTCGAATGAAGATGCACCACTGGATCCCAGACGTTGCACAGCTTATATTCGAATTTGTTTACGATCCCATCCGCACAGAAGAGGACTGCGAGGGTCGCGTCACAGTTGTCGGTTTAGCACGAACGTGTAGAGCATTTAAAGACCCTGCCCTGGATGTCTTGTGGGCTCAGCTCCACTCTTTGGATGCCCTCGTCCTCTGTTCTGGTGGGAAGCGGGATGGCAATAACAAATTAGTGAGCGAGCCAATATGTTTTTCTCTCCCGTTACTCAGAACCTGCACTTAGATCTGGGATCGCCCATTGTATGATGCGGACTGGCGCATTCTCGCGCAATATGGAAAACGTGTCCGTACGCTGACAATCTCACCCCAATCGAATACATGGGACATCAGTACCATGCAACTTCTGAGCTGTTTTCCTGTTCCAGGACCCATTCTTCCGAACCTCACAAAGTTGAATTGGCTCTCCGATCGTGAAGACTTCTTCCCTTTCTTACGTCGTTTCTGTGGGCCCAGTTTGACAGCCCTTAGCTTTTCGCCCATATCGTGGAGTGTCCGGAAGTGTGCTGCTATCGCATCGCTTGCACCATCATGTCCTTTGCTCAAGGAATTTACATGCGTTAACGCAGAGGATTCGTCGATGCAAGCGATCAGCGAGGCAGTTGTAGGCTGGAATGGACTTCAAGTGTTGCAAGTTGGCCCTTTGGATGAACAAGCTTTGACGCACGCTGGCTCTTTGCAAACGCTTCGGGAGTTGCGTTTTTCTGTTCCAGATTTCAGATCCCCGGTGTTAGAATTTTGCTCCCCTCATACTGCGGTGAAGATCTCAATACCTTCACCCTCATCTTTTTATACATTCATCCAAAATATCCATTTCTCGACTCAACGTCTGCACCTTTTCTGCGAGCGCTATGATGGGATGTTCCCAGAACTTTTCTTCTCGCGCCTAAAAGCGTGCTTCAGGAATCCTGGGGAACTTCTAGAGCTAGGGCTCGTGAAAACGATACACCACAACAGATCAATTATTCTCAGCTCTATCATGTTGCGTCCGCTCGTGTCATTCAAGGGACTCAGCTACTTAAACCTTGCGGATCTATGCACCTCGCATATCGATGACACCCTCCTTGAAGAGATGGCGGTGTCCTGTCCAAATCTACATGACCTCTACCTGGGCGACAAGGGTCGCTGGCTCATCGCCCCGCTGGCAACTTTTGATGGAGTTGTATCTCTCTTAAAGCACTGCCGTCAACTCTCCTCTCTAGGAATTTTCTTCAGTGCCACTTTCAAAAGTGACTTCACAGACGTGCTCCAAGCTGATGCCATCAACCTAAATATCAGAAACTTTTCCGTCGGTGCATCCCCCATCAGTGATCCTATGAACGTCACGGTGGTGCTGTCTTCGTTGATTCCTAATGCAATTTGCATAAATCATTGCGCGCAAGGGAGTGCGGAGCTTCAGGACATGGAGGAAAAGTGGGACACAGTAAATACGTGGTTCAAGCCGTTTGTCTCAGCTCGGAAACACAGTTGGGAGCAAGGCTGGTTGGAGGGGAAGGCGGTGGTTGAGAAGAATGCAATAGCGTAAGTATTGTTCTTGTACATTCCCTAGGATATGCCAGTGTTTGATTGATAGAATATTTTATCAGATCAGCCCTGAAATGATTGTGCATGTTCTACCAGCGGGGTGCGTGGACAGTGGACCAATGAGTTCAAACTTTTACGACGTGCCTATCAGTAAAGGGTACTATGATCATGGCAATAGGATTGCAAAGTTATTTCTATCACCTTGCCTACAGACAGTCTTCTTACGATACTCGTCGAGAGACTTATGGTCGCTCTCAATTTTCCTATACAGCCAATACGCCATTTTCCCGCCCTTTCTCCACTTTCGCTGGACCTCGGTAAATCCGAGGACGTTCATGAGAGATTGAAGATTATCAAAAGTCAAATATCGCGAATTCTCCACGCACGGAAGCGGAAGCTAGTAAGAGGACCAAGTTAGCTCTCCGTTCATGGATGCGCTAAAGACTTGTGAACCAAGTCAGTTGCTTACCGCAAGAAAGAGTAGGCCATCTGGGGCTAACATTGAGTGCGCGAGGCATAACATTCGCCCTGAAAGGTAGTGTCAAGTTGCGGGTAGCACGAACACTGCACATATGCATGTATACCTCGATCTCTTGGGTTCGGAACGAAGTTCACGACCAAGCTCAGGCTGATGATATCCCACTTGCCTCGATTCTCATCCTCGTCCATCAACAGAAAATCCTGCTCTACAATAGAAGGATGGCGGCTGCGAAGGTCCATGGGTGTGTTATCTATCCATGATATGCATGTTCGATAGTTGTCAGGCTTTAGAGCACCGACTTCTAGAAGCCTGTTTGTCGTAGATGTATTAGAGCCAGTTCAATTGCTCCAATAAAGACGTGGCTCTTAAGTACCTCAGCTTCCCTTTGGCTTCCCTCTTCCAAAGTCCCATATCGATCAGCCACTGTATGAGCACTTTCTCACTTCCGCCACCGCGGTCATTTCCCTGCCCAATACTCGACATACGCTGATAGGCCGCCAATCCTCCCAGCTCGTCGATCTCACGTTCTATTTCCCCAAGTGCTTCAGCATTGGCAGAAGAGGCATTTTTCAGCTGTCCCTGTTTTTTCAGCAGGACATGAAACCGTCGGATGACAGTGCGGCTTGAGGTGGGGGTGCTCGATGAGCTCGCTTTGTCAGTATTCGTTACAGGAATCTTCTTTTTGCGAGTCCTGGGCATGGGTGACGTTAACAAGCTGAAATTCTTGTGTGCGGTTCTGAGAGCATGACTGTGATACGGTGGTGTATCAAGGTTCTTGATTAGCAAACGCTGTGATACTGTATACGGCCAGATCTTGTTCCGAACCATTGAACACCCATTCATTATCAGAACAGCTCGATAATCACAATAATTGGTCCAGTACAAACTAAAGGCTTAAAGGGAGGTCCGCATTCAAGAACTCAATAACTATTTGAAGTTCCTTCTTTAGGTAGGTCTGGCTCGTATCCAAGACAATGAAACAAATGAAACCAATATAAAACCAATGGAACAATGTCCTCGAATTAAAAAGACAAGTATCGAATGGCTAAAACACCATCCGCAGCCACGGACCACGGGGTAAGCCTTGATTGTGTGAACGAACAGGGCGGATTAATCGATAACAGTTGGGAGAGCGGTAGCAATGCACTTTAAATAAAACTGTGCCCGCCACGCTTCGAGTCAATCTTTTCAAAGCGCTCGAACTCCCGCCTCTGGTTGAGAGGGAAACAGATCAACGGTGCGGCCAGTTTCTAAGACAAATAATAGCTTACCTTCTTGATAACGCACATATTTGCCAGGAAAAGACCAATCACAATTGCCATGAAACCATCAACAGTGCTACAGAGGGTATAAGAGTTCTGTCTGTGAGGAAATAACAAGGGAAAGGTACCTGAAAACGTTGTTCAGTGTCAAATCTGTAAACTTGGTAATGGGCGTGACACAGAAACTGTTCAAGGCAGTTGCAGCGGCCTGATTGGGGCAGGTAGTGCCTCCAAACGCAACCTCATCGGCAGCGTTGAAGTAGCCACAGCACTTGAGCTATAGAAAAACAAGGAAATCAACATAACCACGAGTCACAGGTCTGAGTGGGACGCACCGTATCCTGGATCAAAATCTTGGTCTCGTTGCTCTGTTGCCCAAATACAGCATGATAATTATTCCTTTCATGCAGTGTAAAGACCCAAATATATGTGCCGATGACTAGAATGATGATGCCGTTTGCAAGAAGTACCCAGTTGAGAATTTTCAAGCCGAGGGTGCCGCGTTGCATAATAACAAGTAGTGACAGAACAAATGTAGCGAGGAGAGTTATACCAAGCACGCTACCAACTTCAAATGTCACTTTCAGAGGGATGTTATACATAAAGGTGCATAGAACACTTACCAGTCAAGTTCACACCACTGAAAGTCAAGTTGAACAAAAGGTTGGGCTGACGCCATACGATGGACAAGGTGAGCGAGAGGACACCAGCGGCCATGAGGCATGTATCAAAGAATGCCCATGCTCCAATCAATTTCTTCGACAACATGATTGTTTTTGCCTGGATGATGGAACTAGATAGGGAGTTGTGTAGAGGAGGGTTGGAGAATCGAGGGAACAGACACCCTAATGAATGGGTTGGCTTGTGGGCTGGATCGAATTGATGGAGTTACTCTTCCGGAGAGTAGAAAAACGATAGCACCTGGCTAGAGCTCGATGCCAAAAACTGGTCAAACGACGATCAACGTCAAGCTTCTGCACAGCAGGAGAAGAACGAAAGAAAGAAATAGTGAGCACTCTGTAAACCAGAGATTGGAGATCACAGAATTTCACTTACAATATGTATATGTGTAGTATGCAGATGGCGATGCAAGGAAATGATGATGATCAAAATTTGATGCGGCTATACAGGAGTTCAGGGCAGTTCGAGATGTGAAAAAAAAGCCGCCAATCTAGTGTCAAGGAGGACTCATGGAAGGCTATGAGAGGGCAGTGGCAGGCGGCAGTATGATAGTCCTCGTAAGGACACTTAAATACAGTACTCCTTCTGTTTTTAGTATTTACAATTAAATAATTTCAGTCTCCATGACAAACACAACAAACTTTGTACAACGTGACCACGCTGCAGCCTGCACAACCATAGACGCTCATCCACTTCAGACGGCATCAGTTCTCAGCTACCACGAACTCACCGTAGTCTCTCTGTAAGCTCTTTTCCGTATAACTGACTGGCTCCTTATCACGATACTCTGCACAGCAAGGTCATCAATCATTTTTACTGATTTGAGATTCTGACATGTCTCGCCTTGGCGGCGGTTCTCTGTTGCTGGCCTGGCAACTGAAAGAAAAACATGTGCTCATCGTTGGCGGTGGTGACGTCGCTTCTGGTCGTGTCGAATCTGTGCTAGCCGCTGACGCTCGCGTGACACTTATCAGTCCAAGCGACGGACTGCACACTCTTACCAAGTCTTTCCTCAATGGACCGTACAATATCACGTACCATGACCGCCTTTTTGGAGGTGCAGAAGACCTGGCTGGCGTTGATCTTGTATTAACGGCAATTGATGATGTGGCGCAGTCTCGTATCATCTGTGGCCTATGCAGGGAGCTCAAGATTCCCGTTAACGTGGCTGATATCCCGGAGTCGTGCGACTTTTATTTTGGCTCTCAAATCCGTGACGGCCCCCTTCAAATTATGATCTCGACGAATGGCAATAGCCCAAAACTGGCTAATATCATACGGAAGAAGGTCGAGCAAAGCCTTCCAGAGCACGCCGGAGATGCAATTACCAGGGTGGGTGAGCTGAGAGTCAAGTTGAAGGAGAGAGCCCCTGGTGTGGGCGGTGCAATTGGGAAGAGACGGATGCGGTGGATGATTGATGTCTGCACTTCTTGGGAAATGGAGGAGCTTGCTCTATTGGACGACCAAATGATAAGGAAACTTCTCGATGACGGTTGGGAGAAGAATGCAGTTCCATCTCCTGGCGAGCTCGGAGCTAGGTCATCCCGTCAGGTGTATGATGCCAAACTGAACCTCACGGCCCCTGGCGTTTTTGTTACGACGTTGAGCTTTGTCGCGGGCGCTACTTGCGCAGGTCTTTTCTTGCTCGCCCGACGACGGTGATCCTTGCATATACCGCCTCGCCCAGCCTCAATACATGCGCTGATATATTTTACTCTTTTATCGCAAGTTACTTGGTTTATTCCTGTTGGTATATGACGACAAGCTTACTGTGATGAAGCACACTATTTCTGGGCTGCATATTGCCTCTCTACTATCCTTAACGACAGTAGACAGCAATAGACATTAGCCCCGTAAGTTGCTGGTCGTGTCACTGCTGTGTCAACCTGATGCGTTTCATCGGCTGCTGTGTCTTCCTATCACGCGCATTTTGTGGTTCAGGTTGTCAACCTGACATGCAGTGTAATGGTGACCCGTGCGTCGGAAGGGTACTCGAGCATTGTTTTCCTTTAGTGCTTAAGGCGGATGAATCGTTGGTTGACCGCCGTGGATCAGTTGTGTCCAAAGTAATCACCACTTTCGTGGATCTGATACCTGCGTTCCCATTTGGACGATTTAGACGAAGACACGGTATACGACAGCTCTGCATCGACACTAGTGCAGTAACCCTTTCGCGTGCGAACACCAAGAAGAGGACAGCCACAAATACCAAATTGCGCTCAAGTGACAGCGGGCAGTTATTGAAGGGCCAAAGCAGGCATGCTTCCAAGTACACCACTTTGACAGCATTAATCTGTACGGGAGTCCACAAATAGCGTGGTGCATGAGGGGAGTAAGACTGAGGACTGAGGCAATGTCGATACTGGCGATCATCCCGTAATTGGAGCATGAAGCTACTGCATGTATCAATCAACTACGGTACGATCATTGGTAGGGATTGGCGGATCCGTAGTCTGCTAGAAAACGGGTAATGTACAATGGCGTGTTTTGGGGTGTCAAGGACCATACTAGGTTTTATCACTGGCAGGCATTTCTGGCCGCCTGTTTGACCAGGTCATCGATTGGCCGATGGAAGGAATGATGTTTCATAATGATGCAATGGGAGTCTCAGGGATTTGTACATCCGGCGTTATATCCTCTGTCACTGTTCGTCCATAATGTGTTAGGAGCCCAATAGCAGAACCAATCCCAGCACCACCAAGCACCACTGTTAGAGATAAACGGGCGTCATACACTAGTATATCACTTGTGAAATATTTTGCTCACAGTTCACCGTGCTCGCTCTCTTCCAGAGGATTGCAGGCGTTAGTACCGCAAACAATATCGCGCCGATAGTAGAGTGGTCGTCAGCACGTAATGAAGCAGCCTGGAATTGAAGCAACCTCAACTTTGAGTAGCATTCACGATTAATTGGACATACGTCGTAGGCGTGTTGCACGCGCCGGCTCGTCACAGTGGCTTCACTGGCCCTGGACGAGCGAACATACTCGAGCATGCCTCCTCCTGCGCATCCTAGGGGAGCAGGATTCAGGATCAACAGGAAATGAAGGTGTCACATCATTGTGCTTGCATACCTACTGCGCCGCCTGCCCATGTCGCGCGAAGGAACCGATTGACAGTGAAGTGACCTTTGCCTTTCCGCATGAGCACAAAAGCAGCGTATGCCGGTAGAGTGAGTAAAGAAAATACTTCATATCCTTTGGTCATTCCTCGTCGCACGAGAACTTCCATGTCTGCGGCATGAGTCACTGACAGCCCTTCTGAACCATTTCTGGAGCGATTCAGAGACGTCGCGGTACACGATGAACGAGGTGTGTAACATGTCACGTGCCATGCACGGACCATGTGTGGATGAATAAGCTTTGTCTGCATCGTGCGCCTTGTTCTTGACCTTGACCCTTATTTGACTGCTATTGACCTTGCACTTGCAATGTCAGTCTCACCATTTCCTGAGCTATTGGATGCACCAATGCACGACTTTGCGACCGAAATCGATGTTCCAATGAACCCAGCAGCTGCACAAGAATTCTTTGTAGAGTTATCCATGGATCACGATGGTCATCACACGATTTATAACCAGGAGGATGTTGAGGTCGACATGGAGACTTACTATGATGGCAATGCAGAGTATGAAATGGCTGATGAGACGGAAGAGTTCAACGACAGCCATTATCAGCAGAGCCGCTCGACGTGGAAGTCTACGACGCTTCTGACGCCCGCTCACCTCAGCCCATACCTGATCCACACCCATTACCGTCTCTGATAATTGATCCAGAGATTTCATTGCTTTCCACCCCTGCCCCTTTCTCGGATGCGTTCACCCCCCAGCTAGCCACCATTCCTGCTGAACACGACGCATCTACTACAGATCGCCCAGTGGAAAACGACCATCCTGTAGCTGAAGAAACAGAATTCAATCTTCTGCGAGAGGAGGAATCTCTCGCTTTAACCCTCGAACAATCATCGAAATCGGATCCCCTTCATCTTGCCACTGCTGCCGATGGAACGGCAGCAGAGTTAAACGTACCTTCTGCTGCTTCGGCAGATCCATATGGTTTAGAAAAACACGCAGATGCTCTGGTTTCTGAAACCACTGGTAGAGCAGGGACGTCTGTTCAGCCTACAGAGGCAGAACCCACGCTTCAACCACAAGTTGAGGAGCAGTCTGAAACGTTCCACCCCTCAGATGTCCTATCTGATGATAGCGTGCACCCTCAAGATGAAACCCACGCGGAGGGCTTCCACGAAGGGACAGACAATGCTAATGATCCACACGAAATATCTGATGGGGTTTACATTGACCCGCCACCCGCTGTTTTTCTGTCCATTGGCTCCTCTGAAGTACCAGAATACTGTTTATTCAACCAGCCTCCAGTGGAACGCGGGTCCCGCAGTCCGTCTGCAGGAGCTAGCAACCAACAGGCATATGTGCTGCTCCTGGAGAATCGGCCGACGTTGTACTATGAGCCCCTTAGTTGCGTATTCGAAGCACTTAGGCAGGACGAAGTCATTTCCAGGATTCCTGACTCTCTCGAGGGAGAGTTGGTGATGGACGCGTATGACCTTCAGCTCGCTGTGTTGGAGGTGGGCATAGTTTCTTCTTTTGTGCCGGATAAACGCTGATTTCCATGTAGGATAATGTTTACGCACAGGAAGTCAGTTTGCATGACCTGAATGTGCTGCATGATGGCTCTGATTTTACGGGCCCTCTCCGCATCCATCTGCGTTCGGCGATACCTAGGTTTATTTTACGTTACCGTTTACTTCAAGAACAGATTTCTCGGCTTGACCTGGCTGCAGCCGTTGATGAAAATGTTGCAGCAGAAGGTTTGTATTCCTCTTCAACAGCGTCGAAATTAGTTTTAAATGTTGCTGCAGGATACGTCCCCGCAGTTCAACATGATACCGCTCCAGAAGCAGAACGTCACGAGGAAGAAGATGCGAATCACCACGAGGAAGAAGGTGCAGATCATCACGAAGAAGATGCAGATCACCGCGAAGAAGGAGCCCAACACGAAGTACCTCTGCTTGATGACCAGAAGGATCTCGATGGAACAGAAGGCGTTCTTGAGCCGAAAGTTCCTCTAGACAAGCTCCAGGGTGATGATGCCCTCGCAAAGGACGTGGCTTTTATCCCACAGGCTGTGACGGATGTCGCCTATCACAGCGTTAGTGGCGACGTAGCACAGGCCTTTGAAGAGGAGGATAATTATGAAGGCGCGAATGTCGGCACAGAGTATCAGGAAGAGGGCGAAGGTGATCATGACACCGCTGCCATACATCAGATAGCGGATACAGATGCTGCTGTAACCGTGTTCGACATCAATGTGCAGTTCGGAGGGGAAGAGACGGAGTACCAAGATTACATACAGCCGGATGAGTATGGCGAAATCTATGAAGACTTCCCCGAAGAGGACGACACGCACACAGAATTTGGATATAATCAAACGGTGGGTTATGAAGAAAGCGGAACGGAGGCTGCATCAACAACAGTAGAGGAGTCACAGGCGGGTTTGCCTGTATCTGACCACCATGAAGAAGAGACTACATCAGTGCCACCGGCACAACACATTGACTTTGAGCCCACTCAGAGATCAGACACAGGAGACAGCGTTTCAAATGGTGAGCAATGTTATTTTATTGAATGTACTCGTTTCCTCACCTTGCGCTAGAACGAGGAGATGGTTTACCATCATACGAATCTTTCGAGGAAGAGAAGAGCAGCCATGACACTGACAAAGGTCTGTCCGAGTATTTCGTCACTTGATATTGGCACTGATGCCAATTAGATCTCATAGTAGATCAGGATACAGATCAGCCCGAATCATCAGCGCAGTTCCCAACAGATGAGTCGGATTCTAATTTACTTGCAATACTTGAACGCGAGGCTGGTAAAGTGGCTAGTTCTTTGTGTGGGAGTGCGCTGACCCATAATGCAGATTTTGAGCTAGATCATTCTTCGTCTTACACCAATGCTAACCCCGCAGAAGAGGGTGGCGGACAGACTTTCCCAGTTTTGGAAGAGGAATGGGATAAGTGGGATGATGAGTTAGATGGCGATGGCGAAATTGATGACGAATGGCTGGACCCTGGCGATGCTGTGTCCAATGAAAGCTCTGTGACTCTGTCCAGCAATTCATCTGCAAAACGTCATCACGACGACGTCGACCCCGAAGAAGGTGAACTTGAAGCTGGCACACCTCATAGTTCACCAGGTATGGCTTAGTCTTGTGTTACGCATTGGCTTTACTGACTACGGTGTATTGAAGAAAAACGACCTCGCATTTACTGAGACAGCACCGGCGCCCCATATCCTCTTCGTCGCCGTTCTTTCCCCGCGCCTCCTGCACTGCTACTACCGCGCAGTCTCCTTGCCTGCTCCTGGCAGGCCTAACTTATCAGACTTTTTCATTTTCATGGCCCTGGCGCGACTCACGCACGCATCCCGAACATCAAAATTACGATCGTAGGCTAAGTACCGTTCTTCAGGTTTCTATTATGTCCCCTGTTCTTTCGGTCATTTTCTCGTGACTCACCTTTACAGCATATTCGGTCGTGCTACCGGCTCACTGAGAGCGAGGTGGAGCTGGCGGCGAAGAATAGTATCATTTGGTAGAATCTGGGAATGGCTATGTGTGGTTATGTTCTTGGTCTGTTTGACCGTCACCGAGCCCTAATGACTACAGTCCATTTTGGCTCCGAGCTTCCTTACGACCAACCACCCGATTTTATGACATTACGGTGTTGATAGCACGCCACTGTAATCTTGTATAATTCTCGTCGAAAACGATATCTGTACAATAACGACGTTCTGCAACTAGCACTACGGAGACTCCCGGAGAGGCACCATTATCGACACGGGGTAAGACCTTACTTGCAAATCTCGTTAAATTTTGAACTAGATGAAGATGCTGCATGCACAATAGAGTCTAGATCTATTCGCCTCACGCATACCTCTCGCAGGATAAATCTAGTGCATTATTCCTAGTCAGAAAGTGATTGAGGTATCCTCAACTCAATGGTGAACCTCTGCCTGCTTCACGTCTGCCTCCAAGAATCCGAGGAATGCATCCGCACCCTTGCCCACATCCTCCCCTGCGTGCACACTCGAACTTGTAACCTCTGCCTCGGCTTTTGTGGGCTCAGTCGCGTCATATGCGGTCAGCTCGGCAGCGAGATCGACAGGAAGAGTGGGGGGTTTTGGAACGGCGGGCAGTGAAAAATTCTTAACAACGCCAACATGTGCGTCTTTTGCCTGGAGAATATATGGGTGAGTTGCCGGAACTGAGCTGAGTCAGACGTTGCTGGAAAAAACGAACTGTAGCAGGGGGCTTGTAAGCTTTTAGCTCCTTGACATAGAGGTCCTGGACAAGGTCTGCCGAAAGGCTTCGTCAGTCCATTGTCTCATGTGCCAGTCGGCGAAATGCGGAACAAACCTTTACGAGCAACGGACGTCGTAGAGAAGGTCCGTGCAGAGCGGGCCTGTCGATGGACACATAAATGAGCTCAATGCCATAAAATATTGATGAACTAAGCTTGTGAACTTACCGCTTGTCTGAGGAATTTCATGGACGACATGGCTAGAAAAGAGGATTGAGCGTGACGTTACGCGGTGTTGCTCCGTGTTGTTTGAGAGTCACGTGCTGAGTCTAGGTATATATTGCCAGTTGTTCAACCCAGGATATTCCAGTGCAAACGATTCATATATCACAATGTTCACTGTTATTGCCCGTCGTGTTCCGCTTACTCGGCTTGTCCTCTCAAGGGGTTACACCTCAAGTGTCAAAGAAGGCAGTGTTGCTCAGAGCAAGGGATTCTCGTATGTGTAGACTCTTGCAGCACAGGGGACGTGTATCTAACCGTGTTTAACTGTAGCAAAAAGGAGAAAGCTCATGAAGGTACATTTACCTGTGGCAAATCTGGTATTATTGTCACACTCATTGATTGCCATTCACAGACGAGTACGCTCGTAGGCACGAAGCGAGCTGCTGCGCAAGCTGAAAGCTGAGGTGTGCATCACAAGAATTCCAATTGTTCATTGCCCTGACTCAGTTCTGTAGATCGAGGCGAAGAAGGAGGAGCTTGTAAGTTACTGGTATTTCCGTCGCTTGATGGCATTCTGACTTTGAACATCAGGCCAGACTTCAGGAGAAGCATGACGAGGTCAACTCAAAGCAGTAATCGGCGGCTTAGTGCAATGGTGCCAATGGGTTGCAAAGGTTCAACGTACAGTACAGTGCTGATCATGTCTGAGTTTTATTCCCATGTCGCTGGCCATGCAATGCCGTTTCCTCCGATCTTGTAGCTACACCACTAGCTACTTCAGTAGCGTCCGACTCCGTTTAAGTTTTGGATGGACACATACAAACGTTGCTCATTGTTGCCAATTGTTGGGCTTTGTTCGGCAAGCACATCGAAAGTTCACGCAATTAAGTAAGGCTATCCAACAACGTTAACGTCAAGCATCCCCGTAACATTATGCCAGCACTGAGTGTGCCCCATGATGGTAGTCAAATGACCGAACCGTCTAATTACGTCATCAAATTTCTTGGAGATATTTATTTTTCCTTCCTCCGATGTATATATGACTTACGTGACGCCTCCCAGCGCCTTCTCGTTCTTAACCATAGTATAGTTACTCTCAGTAATGGCGGATGCGGAGACTTCCCGCCTGTGTGTTCAGATTGTCCGGTCACACTTTGGTCCATTAGCGGCGGTGAGTTCTCATGTAGTTTTCACGAGCACTAGAAGTTTATCCATACCTGAATAATTTATCAGAATGTTGCATCTGCACTACTCACGCGGGGAAGGCTTTCCCTTGCCCAGCTTATTCGTTACACGATGATGAAACCGCGCACCGTACGCGCAACAATATTGGTTCTGGTGCAACATAATATTTTATGGCATTCTAACACCGAGGAGGGCGAGATGCTGGAGTTCCATACACTAGAGTGTCTTATGCGCCTTAGATTTGGTCGTTTCGTGTGGCAAGCGGAGCAATTGTTTGGACCTCTTGTGCGTACCCTCCTCTTTTTCTTCCTCCTTACTAACATCTGTATATCAGGGTGCAGAAATTGTGCAGTTAATATTAGATCACGGCAAACTTCATCCGCCAGACATTATTTCACGATTATCAATTCACAACTCCAAAAGTCGGGAAGATTTTTTCTGATCTGTGGCCGTTGCTAATGGCACATCCAGGCTCAAGCCTATACTCGCAAACGTTATACAAGCTCATATCCGGCGCATATCTTAAGCCATCCACATTACTCTCACATCACTCACCTAGGGACAAACGTATCAAATACGAAGCAGAAGAGAAAGCTAAAATAACGGGTTTTCCGACAGCGAAGGAGTTGCGAGAGGCCCAAGAGACTGCGGAGGCGCGACTGAAACGGGAGGAGGAGGAAGCAGAGAACGTGGGCTTGGTGAGTTGACACGTACCCACCAGTCCCGACATCCGTGAACAAACGCAGAATCATAGAAGCGGAAGCCGAAAGATCTAATCAGTCATCGGTCATCCAAGGTGAGCGGACTCCAGCAATTATTGTTTTCTGTGGTTACTAAGCGACTCATAGAAAAAAGCAATAGAAGAAGACATGGTTGACGTGAGTTCAACAACCAGCGTACTAATCAGCTGCTTCAATTCAAATATCTAGGATGGTGTCTACTTTCGGGTGAATTTTGACAAATTCAACACCTATATTCGTAACAAGGTCAGTCCCACGAATACTTGTTTCCCGTTCTTGGCTTCATCCTGATAAGTTATTTGCCAGCTCATCGAGATGGCTGCAGGAGAGCGTTTTAATCAAAGTGCTGCTCTTGTCATGCGAGCCACGCTAAAAGCGACTGAAGCCAGGCAAAAGAGTGTATCCGATACAAGATCGGTAAGACGCCGTAGCACGCGTTTATCGTGCGACTGCTTATGGTGGAATAGATCCTACATCGACTGCTGCGATTGCCGTACTTATTTCCGATGACGACGACCTTTCGACTGGTCTCGTCACGTTAACCAAAAAAGCGTCTAGTGCTTCACTAGTCAAGGATTATCTCGGTCTAATGTCCGCCGTAGACAATCCAACGCCGGCTGGTAAAGCGGCATCGTTCATAAGTCTAATCGACAATAAAGTATATGTTGAGTTTGGGTTAGTTAGCAAACGCCTGCGAAGGCGCGTGCTGGAAGCAGTGGCTCGGGAACGACACGGGGACGACGGCGTGAGGATAGTACGTCTACTCCTCGATATTGGAAAGATGGATGAGAAGCAGGTGCTTCCCTTGTTGGTCTCGTATTGAATTGTCTCTGATACCGAACAGATAGCGAAGGTGGCCATGATGCCAAACAACGTTGTTCGGCCACTTCTTGCGGCGTTGTCATCAGACTTTTTGATCTCAACTCAAGAGGTACCCAGAAGCGCCGATCGTAACCCCACCCGGACATTTTATCTATGGTACTTGGTGTTCCAATTTGTCAGATTATTGACGCAACCCGATACCCAGGCATGTTGATTTACACAAGGCATATTCTGCGCTGTTGGGACACCTGTACAAGACGCTGTATAACATAGGCATGCGGCGACAGGCAGAACAAGAGGAGCCGACTGTGAAAGCGGTACTGGCAAAGCGAGCACGGACGGATGTGGCTCAGGATGAAACCTTATTGTCGCGGATGGAGCGGGACGTGCTTAAGGAGTGGGAGACGAAACAGGAGAAGCTCACTGTCCTGGAGATGAGGGTGGAAGAAGCCGTATTTATTCTTAGGGATCTTGACAAGGTTGGAAGTCATGAGGACATTTGAATAGGAAAGATATATACTCATATAAAGATGCGGAAGGGCGTCTGTCATTGCGCAATGAAGGGCGGCTTTGAAAAGGCTTCAAACTTGAAGCAACTGAGCGCAACACTTCAAAGTTTCAAGCCTGCGGAGAGTGACTGCCGCTACTGTGCCGAGGCGTGACAAGACGTGACCATACTTTTGCAGATCAGAGGTGGACCCTGAGTTTTATCGGGTTTACTCCGACGTCGCACCACATTATCCTAAAAATCAGTAAAAAAATCAGATCTATGTAGAGGAGATACGAATACATGATGGGACAAATTTATAAAAGAAAATGTGATGTGGTTGAGGAGCTACAAAAGATTTACTGAAAGTTTTGCATATCCCGGGGAAATGCGAGCACAAACCAGATATATGCAAGCGCGAGAAATGTCAAAGTCGTGTGCGATTACAAAGGCCCTGCCCGCCCGTTAGTTGAGCCTCCAACTTTCCAGACGCTGAGGTGGGCGAGTCGCCCATCTAAACCAAGCATATTCAGTCTTCAAAATAATATATTTTCCCTCGCCGTGAATAGTGTCGACAGGTTTATATGCTAGCGCTACATCTTGACATCGATGCTCGGCATACGAAATAAATAAGTGGAATATGCAATGGAATGTCGGGCGTTCAACAGGTACGTTAGCGAGGTGAATAAAGAATCGGAAATTTATACATAATACCATATGTGCGATACAGCGTCGCAAATTGGCGGCAGACCTGACGCGAGCTCGGATGACACGTGAAGCAGGCGCCTACTTGGCCGTGCTACGCGATACTCCACTTACTCACCGCAGCCTGTACTAAGCGCCCCATTTCCTCACGTGCTTGCTTCTTTGCGCTGTCGGTAATGCCTACAAGTGCATCAAGTGCGCGTGGCGATGTCTGCAGCGGGTCGAACTCGAGGACGTGTCCATCGGAGGTTGAGATCGCGACAACTGCGCGGGCCGAAGACGAGGAAGGGACGGACGAGAGCGAGTTGGAAGGCATGAGAGAAGGTGTAGCAGGTTTGGGCGCCGGTGGCTCTGGGACACGACCTGCCGTGCGTGAGTTGGTATGTGAGTGCGTGTGGTTATGGTTTTGAGTTTGAGTTTGAGAGTTGGCTCGTAAGTGGCTTTGGGAGAAGGTGGAGGATGAGGGGACGAGCGAGACGGATGGATCATGCCGTATGACTATGCTGTTTACGCGTCTTAGAGTCTTGCCTTCGCCTCGTGTATCCACTTGTGTCTCCTTTCCTTTGCCTTTGGTTTTCACGTCCATGTCATCAATACCCTCCTCTTCCTCTTCAGTAGCGAACCACTCCAAGCCGAGCTTATATGGGTTAGCCAGCGGAGACCCGTTGAGACTAAGCATGCTCTCGTCGCGGCGGGGTGCACGGAGGGTGGGATAAGCGGGAACCTTGGAGGGCAGAGTTGGAGCGAAAATTGCGCTGGTGGGTGGGCGCTTTGCCTGGGATGGTGGCTTGGCATTCCATGGCATCGATTTTCCAGGTGAAGGTAGAACTTTGAGGGGCGATGGAGCATGTAATTTAGAGGGAGATGTTCGGAGGGCAGATGGTTTTTGCGGACTGACAGAGGGTAAACGGAAGGTTGGACGGAGTTGCCCGGGGGTACGCGGGACTGCCGCAGAGAATGTGCGGCCGCGTTGTGCAGTTCCTGTGTTAGTAGGAGGGGGCTTCTTCTTGGGAGTGATATGCATTGTCCTTGCTGAGAAGCGTGTCAATAAAGAGACCAATGCCAAATCGACTACGTACCATTCTTAAGGGCGCGTTCACCTTCACTAGCCTCTTCCCACTTGCGCTTGCGAGTTTCACGGTCGATCTCGAGGTTTGGCGGAGCACCGCCCACGAGACCACGAAGACAGGCTTGAATATCGCCATTGTAGGTGTCAGCAAACTCGCCTATGGTCACACTGCGCACGAGTTTGGGAATGCGGGCAATGAGCCCTTCTTGGTGAAGCCGAAAGTTCTTGAGTGCGTCTGCAAGCCATTCCTCGAGTTGGCGAACACGGTGTTCGACTGTGCAGAATGATAGAGGCAGAAAAATCAGTGAATGCAAAAGTAAGATAATGCAGAACAAGTTTAACGCACCTTCAATATCAAGATTCTGGAGCAGCTGTTCCTTTTCCTCCGGAGTATATTTGCGGGATGTGTCTGGGATATGCATCTTCACCAGCCTCGACGATCAGAACATAGATGGAACACAGGCGCCACAACATTCCAGCCGTTTTACGGTCACGTGACACGTCCGAATTCCCTCTCAAACCTTTTCGTTAGTTGAAGTTTTCGTTCGCTCCATCGCCGGTAAACATTCCGTTCGAGGCCTCAACGATGATGCATCGCTGGGCAAAAAACCGGGCAATCAAATCGAATTCTGGAGGTCCGCCAGCGTGTAATCTACAACTACAAACAAATCTACGACAGCAAACGGAGACAACTTGAAAAGAGACTAGTTTGAGTGGGGGAGTGGAACGTCCGCGAGTCTTGATGATTGTGCTACAAATACATGTGTGTGGATGGACGAGGGTTACTACTAAAAAGACTAAGAATACGATATGTTGAGGCATAATGCAGTGTGCTTCTGAGTCAGCGTGAGATTGATGCTCTTACTTCTGGCCGGCCCTTCTTACTTGCGTCCAGTAGTTCCCCACATCCCTCGCACTGACACTGGATTGCGTCGAAAAGTGGCTTGGCGCTACGTCCACGTACCACCAGCCTGGCAGTCATCGGGTCATAAAACACCAATCTGTGCGCCTTGCATGAACCCTTGCTCTGAGCGCATCAACGGTGCCACATGCTTTGAGGTATCGAGTGACCGCTTCATCGATTCCAGTTCTGAGCACGAATCGTTGTGAGGGAGTGATGGGATGGGAGGGGCAAAGACATGAGCTGGTTTCGAGGTATCAAGGTATAATAGCGGCCCGAAGTCAGGTAGAAAATCATTCCGAGGGTTCTCGGCATATGTCCGCCTCAAATGCATGCCCAACGAGAGGGATTTGTGCTTACGAAAGTAGAATTGGATTACCAGCCGCAACTTCCAGTTGCCACTCGACAAGGTCAAGGCCAGTGATCATTTCTATGACGGGGTGCTCAACTTGTAAGTGGGAGCACCTACGTGATTCACGGCCTTTGTAGGGAGGGTTTTTTTTTCCTTTTCTTTCTTTCTTTCTTGTTTTTTTTTTTTTTTGGGGGGGGGGCATGGATGAGGGTGCATACCGATCTTCTCGGCTTCTGCGAATAAGAGGTCAGCGTCTTGGTTCGTACCATGGCACACGCATTCGGAATGCCGGCGGCTGCACAAAAGAGTCGAATAAATATTAATGTCGAACATGTCGAACTAGATGATACGATGCATACCTTCATCATCGAGAGTGAGACGAGGAACGCGGCTCTGCCATCTTGACGATGTCAATGTAGTAGACTTTAGCTTACCACGTCTAAGTGCTCTCACTCAGCCTCGCAAAAGGCTTGTCAGAACTAGGGATGCGTGAATACTTGTGCAAGAGACACTCGGGCGGGAGAAAATAAGAGTGAGTGACTATATCCTAACGAGACGACAGGCAAGTGAGAAGAGGCGATGACCTCTTGAGTCCTAAACTGTCCGTCCACGTTAGATAATACATAGTTAGAATCTCCGCTAGGCCTACAGAGATTGCTCAGTATGTGCATTGTGCTTCATCCCGAGAGCGCATTGAGCGCGTGTCACATAAAGTTTATTACAGTGGTATAAGAGCTCGACCAGTTGAGTCGCGACACAGCTACCAGCGCTCCGAGCAAGACCCGAAGCTGTACTAGTAGTTGAACAACGTACGTGGTCCATGAGGCTATCGTGACAAGACACTTTTAAAGTCAATTACAGCAAACTACTTTTCGATGTTTTCTTTCGCTCATATGTCCACCGTGATCCCAACGACTGTGATCCCAACGACTGAAACTGCACGTATATACAGGGAGGGGGCTGACTTCATCCCTCCTCACCCAGGCAGCGATTGGACTCGCTTCGTCTGCATCTCAGATACCCACTCTCGCACCTTTCACATACCCGCCGGTGATGTTCTACTGCATGCTGGTGACCTGAGTAGCTGGGGTAGCCTTTCGCAATTGATCATCACAGTCGAATGGTTGAAATCATTGGATCACCCTGTGAAAATGTAAGCTGGCAGTTGGTGTTTCAGGCGCACGATGTTAACTTGCAATGTGTCAAGCATGGTCGCAGGCAATCATGACGTACGTCTTAAGGTAACATCATCCTCCAGATTTCAGACCAGGTTTCTGTAGCTTTGTCTTGACAAAAACTGGGCTCAGCCAATATATGGCCTCCTACCAGAAGTGAGTGTGAATCCCTCTAAGGCATCGGTCGAGCTAATCGGAGAAATGATATCAGGAGGTCCAACAAGCACGGACCTATGTACGGAGTCAAGCAGCAGCAGGTCTGTACTACATTGAACATGAACCCTTTCGATTCATGTTACCTTCGGGGCGCGAATGGAAAGTCTATGGATCACCGGTGAGTACCAGTCGCTCCTGCGAGTCTATACTTTGTGGAACTGATATATTTGTCAGGCTGCTCCATTATACGCTCGAGGATCATTTCAGTACGAGACTACAGACGAGGCACGAGGTATGATCTGGTCAGATCAATGTTTGCGGATAATAACCATTCTCTAGTGATTTATAACCGTATACCCAAAGATACGGAAATCCTGATCACACATACACCTCCTTTTATGACTTTGGACACAACAAGTAAGGGCAAGCACGCTGGATGCCATGTCCTGTCGAACAAATTAGCGGAACTGCGGAACTGCCGACTGCATGTCTTTGGCCACATCCATGAATGTGCTGGAGCGCAAATCAACACTGATGACCCATTCAGATTGGTCGACAGCGTGTCCGTGAATGCAGCCATGGCCGTTACGAAAAAGGCGATTGTTGTAGACCTACTGAACTGGTGAAACCTCCTGCATTACAGATATCATGTACACTTAGTATACATAGGACAAAGCATAAGAATCGTACATGTCAGACAGCCACCTTGCCCTTCTTTGCTATCTTGATACCCAACTTGTTCTTCAAGTCTGATTTCGGCTTCTTCGCTGGTGGTGCACCAAGAGATTTGGCACCCAACACCACTCGCGTCGATTCTGGAAGGAGGCTGCGTAAATCGGGCTCGACATCATCGGCCTTTCGCTTGATAGTAACCAGTTGTGGCGAGGTGGCTTCTGTGGGCAAATCTCCAGAACTGTCCGTCGCCACCGAAGAGCCGCCCGGAAGTGCGGGCATCGACACTTTCGAAAACACTTCCCTCACCAGCTTCTCATCCTCTTCTTCTGCTAGTCTTCGCTCCCTTTCTTCTTCCGTTTCCTCCTCCTCCGCAGTCATCCGAGAAACCAGATCTGACGCTTGCCCCACACGCTCATTCCGGGCGTTTCGGGCTCGAATGTCCTGGAGGGCATCTAGTATATCCATCTCCCGTTTTGCGTCGACGGTGCGATTCTCTAGTGCTTTCATGGGGTTGTTCTCCTCTTCCTCCAGTCGAGCAAGACGGTCCTCCTCTTCGACAACTTTCTCTTCTCGCCATGGTTCAAAGTTTCTCGATGCACCATGCTCTGCGGAGTAATCGGTGTTCTTGGGATCAGTCTTGAAGGTAATCTCAGCGGAACATAGTGTACTAGGATGGCTCTCAGTAAATGCCAAGATATACGACGACGCAATGACGCACCACTTAATGTAAAACCTGAATATTTTGATTCCATAATAATCCTCCCCATCCACCGTTTCCTTGCGAGCGTTGAACTTCTTGCCCTTGTAAATGTATTCTCCGCATGTATTACATCGCCTGTGTCCATAGTAAGATACAAATTATAGTACAGGAAAATTAATGCTTACATGGAGAAAGGGGCCATAAGACGAACGACTTGCTGTGAGTTCTTTGGACCCCTCCTCCGAGGGATCAAGGACGGGTCAAAGTCCGGGGGGAAGTACTTGTTCAACACTAACACAAAGATCAGCTCATGACTTGACTTAATGCTGAGTTCTTACCTTTACGTTCAGACATGGTGGCCGATTAAAAGAGCGTTAGGATTGTTGCGCTGACCTTGCGTTGTGGACGATGGCAAGTAAACACTTGATTACCTAACAAGAAATTTCCCGCCTTTAGCGCGCGCTCTCCTCCTTGCTCACCTGCAGCGTCGTCCGCCAGTTCATTCTGTCAATCGCTGCTCACGTCCATCATGCAGGTCCAGTTAAATAAACAACTAATCAGTTCTCGTCTAAAAAATGTCTACGATGGTTGGAGGGTATGCTTTCAGCCTTCGATGCAGGTTGGAATGTTAATGAGCGTTGTGTCATTTTAGAATGCGAGTCAAAATGACGAGTACGGCTCCATAGCAGATGCAGAAGCTCTCCTGTTGCTGTCAGGAGATCCTGCCGGAGAAGATGAGCCCGTGAGGAAAGGGACTGCCTTTCAGGTGAGCTTCATAAGAACTTCATGAATCACGTCTCTGCTTTGTGGCTTACGCGCCAATTCGTGTAGACTTGGTTGCTTGGTTATGAGTTTCCCTCCACCTTACTTCTCTTCCAGAAGGACAAGCTTCTGATATTATGCTCCGCTAGCAAAGGTATGTGTTGTATCGTCCGATGCGCGACGATCTGACATTTTCAACGCGACACGTGGGTTTGCAGCCAAGTTCTTGCACCAAATAAAGGAGGGAATCCACCTGTTCCAGTCGAGATACTCGTGCAAGCAAAGGCGAAGGAACCACCTAGTGATGCGCTGCCAAAATTCGTGGAGGCTTACACATCTTTCAAACGCGTCGGGAGTTTGGTGAAGGAAATGTGCACGGGGAAGTTGATGACGGAGTGGGAGCAGGGCGTCTCAAAAGCTGACAAAAAACCCGAATTGGTCGATATGGCCCCTGCGTTGTCTGCATTCATGGCCGTCAAGGACGAAGAAGAAATGGTGTGTTCATGCGTTATATCTTGGGGTCAACGGTCTTCTAATGCACAGTGCAGAAATGCATCCGTACGGCGGCTAATCTTACTTCCACCTTGCTCGTTCACCACATCGTGTTAAAACTGGAGATGATATTGGACAAGGAAGCCAAGATAACTCATGAACAATTTGCCACTCAAATAGAGGCACGACTTGGGTCGGGTGAAGGTGAAGCTGCCAAGGGGCCTGATATGAAGGTGTGGAGTAAAGGGCGGGGCCTCAATGATGTGCGTTAGCTGCCCTCCCAGACTCGCTCATACAACTCATGGGTCATTCCAGGTTGACTGGGCATCGACGGAGTTCTGCTACTCTCCTATCATTCAGTCGCGGTCAACAACAACCGGTTATGATTTGCGATCGACTGCGGAGTCATCCTCGGACACCATCGCACACAAAGGTGTCTTCCTAATTGCCGTTGGCATGCGATACAAGGGTTACTGTGCCAATCTTGGGCGGAGTATCATTGTTGACCCCTCGAAAGTTCGTGTGGGTGATATCCTTTTCTCACTGGTCTCATTCCACCTCACAGGAACAAGAAGCCATCTACAACCTACTGCTGTCGATGCAGAGCGAGATGCTGAGGGAAATCAAGGATGGCGTCAGTGCACGTGAAGTGTATCAACGAGCATTGGACATTGTGAAAAAGGAGAAGCCAGAGCTTGAGAAGAACTTTGTCAAGAATGCTGGGTTTGGAGTGAGTATTCTTCCATCAAACCAGTGCCCATAACTCTCAAACTCGTTCAGACCGGCGTGGAATTCCGTGATTCTGCGTATTTGCTTTCTTCTAAAAACTCCAAGCACCTGAAGACGGATATGGTGCTAAATCTGTCTCTTGGCTTCTCTGACTTGCTTGATGACAACGGCAAGAAGTATGTATCACTCCTTTGGTCCATGGCAGTTCCGTTCATACTTGCATTTCAGATACGCCCTCCACATAGTCGACACTATTCGCGTTGGCGCTGACAGATCAACTCTTTTGACTGAAGGTGCCAAATCCACTAAAGACACACTTTTCTTCCTGAACCCCGAAAATGAAATTGAGGTGGAAGAAGACAAGCCGTCCAAACCCAGTAAGAAGGCTCCTGTGAAGCCTCTAGTAAATGGTTCCCCCGTCAAGAACAAGACAGTTGGTGGCAAGGTGTTGCGAAACAAGACGCGTAGCGCTGCTCAGGAGGAAGTTTTGATGACCGCAGCCGCCAAAATCAAGGACCACCAGCAACAACTACATGAAGGCCTCCAGTCTGCTGGATTAGCAAAGTACTCTGAAAGTGCTAGCGGTGGCGGTGAAAAGGAGGGGAAAACCTGGAAGCGCTTCCAAAGCTATAAGGGTGAAAGCGCACTGCCGCGGGAAGTTGAAAGTCTCCGAGTGAGTAGATCAACTACTATATGGAACCTTTCATGCTAAAACAACACCAAGATATCCGTAGACCGCAAAGCTCAAACGATTGTGTTGCCCGTGCATGGATTTGCTGTACCTTTCCACATCAACACTATCAAGAACGTGAGCAAAAATGATGAAGGGGATTACACATATCTCCGGATCAACTTCCAGACCCCTGGTCAGCTCGCCGGGAAGAAAGATGACACGGTACGTATGGCTTCAGAGTCACGAGTGTCCTTGAATTTGAAGGTATTGCCAAATAGCCTTTTGAAGACCCCGACTCTACTTTCATTCGTTCAGTCACCTATCGGTCAAGTGATGGCCATCGCTTTGACACTATTTCCAAACAAATCACAGACCTAAAGAAAGAGGTTAACAAACGCGAGCAACAGAAGAAGGAAATGGCTGACGTCATCGAGCAAGATGTCCTGCTCGAGATCAAAGGCAGACGTGCGCACAAGCTGCCTGAGGTATTCGTTCGCCCCGCCCTTGATGGCAAACGGTTACCCGGCGAGGTCGAGATCCACCAGAACGGTCTGCGCTACCAGTCTCCAATGGGCTCTCAGAAAATTGGTATGATGTCTCGTTTCTTGTTGGATATCGTTAACCCGTGTGCTCCTTAGATGTCTTGTTCACTAACATCAAACACCTCTTCTTCCAGCCTTGTGACAAGGAACTTATGGTCATTGTGCACATTCATTTGAGAGCTCCTATCATGATTGGGAAGAAGAAAGCACATGTATGTCGTGCCATTCGCAGAGCAATTGCGTCCTCTAATGTAGTTTTCTACAGGATATCCAGTTCTTCCGCGAGGCTTCCGACGTTCAGTTTGATGAGACTGGCAACCGGAAGAGAAAACACAGATACGGCGATGAAGATGAAATCGAGATGGAACAGCAAGAACGAAAGCGAAGGCAGATGCTCAACAAGGAGTTCAAGCTCTTTGCCGAGCGAATAGCCGAGGCAGCATCGACGTCTATGGGTGAGACACTCGAAGTCGACATCCCCTTCCGTGAATTGTCGTTCGAGGGAGTGCCATTCCGCACCAACGTCCGATTGCAACCCACAACTGAATGTCTCGTGCATCTCATCGACCCTCCGTTCCTTGTTGTCACTCTCAACGAGATCGAGATTGCTTCCCTGGAACGTGTTCAATTCTCGCTCAAACAATTCGATCTTGTACTCATCTTCAAGGATTTCACCAAAGCGCCGTTGCACATCAACTCGATACCAAGTGGTCAACTTGATGATGTGAAGAATTGGCTGGAGTATGTATTTCTGATGTGATCGACAGGACATCGATACTAATAGAACGCGTTTGCAGCTCGGTCGACATTCCTCTTGGTGAAGGTCCAGTCAACTTGAACTGGGGTCCTATCATGAAGACCATCAACGAGAGCCCGTATGATTTCTTCCAGCAGGGCGGTTGGCGAAGTTTCCTCGGTGGGGGAGACGCCGATGTAATTATGTAGTTGTGATCGTTCGTCATGGGGGCTGACCATTGTTCACAGAGCGATGCAGACGAGGGTTCGGACAGCGAATCCGAGTTCGAGGCAGATCCTGAGGAACTGCAGTCTGAGGAGAGCAGTGCCGATGCTAGCGAGTATGACGGCTCAGATGCGAGCGACGACTCAGGAAGTGGTTCTGGTTATGATGATGATAGCGATGACGGCGACGACTGGGAAGAGCTAGAAAGGAAAGCCGCCAAATGTACGTATACCTGACCATCGCCCTTCTTTTTTGATACTTATTTGCAAAACCAGCCGATTCCAAGCGAGCCGCCGAGGCAAAGGGAACTCGCGGAGACTCCGACTCGGATGATGACCGACCTAAAAAGAAGAAGGCTCCTGCTAAACCCAAGGCGAATGGCAAAAACAAGAAGCGGTGATCCTTGATGTGGACTTATCCTGATTTCGTTGTGATGATTCATATTGTATCTGCTCTGCATTTTATTTTCTGTTTGCTCTTCAGCTGTACCATTATTGATTCAAGTTGAGGTGTCGATATTTGTACATAATGATGTCATCAGATGTTGACTCCGTTGAGACTGGGTATTCCGATGGAGTCACTTCCCAGGCAAATTCAGTCCTCCTTATCCTCCACAGCAGTTCGGCTATTTAGCCTCGCTTCTCTGAACAGCAGTACGCCTGCTATAGCTGCACCGGGGCCAAATGCCACCGAGGATAGTACGTGCCAAAGGAAGAGAAGCACCATTTCCTTCACGCCCCGAGCGAACCAGAATGTTACAAGAAGGGTCGACCCTATCCCAAACACTGCGTCCCACTGGATGACAGCAGCGGCTCCTTCGGGTAAGGACAGCGGACGCTTGCTCAGAGCCAACTGTGGCACCAGGACCTTCTGGAATTGCTGGGTGTCAAAGAAAAGTGGCCACGTGTAGTAGATGTGGAAGATAGCAGAAGTGACGAAGATGAAGCCATACATGGCTTGGATGGTAGCGTAGCCGGATTCCACGTAACGGGAAGAAGGTCGAATGACGAGGTAAACGAATTGAGCGAGCGACATGATGATGGGGTAGCCTTGCCATAGTGCAGTGGGTGTGACGTCTTGAAATACAACCATACACACCGTCGGGATAATGTAGCCGGCTATCAGAGCAAAAAGTAAAGCTTCGGCATTGCCCTGAGTGATTTTTGTTGCGCGGCCTTTGACGGGGTTACCAGTCGCCGCTCCACTCAGAATGAGCGCAACATAATAAATCGGAATGACGACTGCAAAACTGAAAAGCTGGAAGAGCACTCCGACGACAGCAGGCATGCGAAGGAAGATGGAGCGTTTTTCACGTGCAGCCTCGACGAAGGGTATCATCGTCACTGCAGCGAGAGCAGTCATGAGCTCTGCTACGAGAGGTTGGTACGCAGGGTCTAGCAGGGCATGAAAGAGCGTGACAAGTGAGCACATGCGATAATCGAGGTCGGGATAGCCTGTGTATGCTAGGCGCACAGGGTACCCTTCCGTTCCGATTGGGACATTACAGTGTTTGGCAAGTTGCAGTTTTGTACCACTTTGGTACATGTGACGCCCAAACACTATTTGACCCGCAAGATATCCTATTGGGATGAAGATTGCAATGGGCAAGACTCCTCCTGACGATAATCGTAAGAAAGCCCATATGAGCCAGCGATTATTTAGCTGAACTCACGAAGAAATATTTTGGATGCCATTTACAGCACATATAAGATATTGTCCTATGCAAGCGATTTAAATCGCAGTGGTAGACGGATAAGAATTACCTTTCCACAACGTCAGCTGCAACCAAGTGCCTGATCGAGAAATGTCACGACATGTCACGTGATGTCACAGCATATGAGTGCGTGTCATTAATGTGAGTTGTCAGTGAGCGTGGCGTCGCGTCGACGTGTTAACCTCTCTGCTCGAAATATTAGGCTGTCCCAACAGAATCTGGCCGTTAAAATCCATGACTATTCCTGCAACCAGCTGTCAGGTATCGAAGAAACATGTCTTACTGTCAGAGATCCTGGCAGTGACCTCGGTCATGCGCAAGAATTCACGGTGGGCATCAGGAGCTCATACACTCACAGCAAGAGACTCCGCGTTAGCAAGAGACCTCGGCCTGCGTAGGTCAACACCTAGTACAGACATTCAAAAGAATGGGAGGCTCTCTCAAGAAGCAGACCTGATGGGCGGCTTCCAGCAGTTGAAACGTACGATCTGGGACGTCGATGGTGGGTGTTTGTTCACTGCGCATGTATACCTATCTTCAATCACTTTAAACAGATATCGAGGCGCTACCTCTACCTGGGCTTATTGGCCCCTTCTTTGCCCTAGTCCGTTCACCTCTGTCTAACGGACCTATAACGTCTGCTGCACTCTCCGCCCTCCACAGCTTTTTTGTCTGCGACCTCATATCTGCAACCTCGCTATCCTTAGAGCCTGCGCTCATCGAGCTCAGTAGCACGGTTTCACACTGCAAATTCGAAGCCAGTGATTCCTCAGGAGACGAGGTTGTTCTCTTGAAAATCATGACCGTGATACATGATTGTATTGTTGCAAGTAGTGTGGGTGTATTCCTCGGAGATGTCGAAATTTGCGAAATGTTGGAGACTGTCTTGACGACAGCATGCCAAATGAGGCTGAGCGGTGCGTTACAGTCTCTGATGATCTACAATGTTCGCTTACCCTACATGTTTCAGAAATTCTACGGCGATCTGCCGAGTCTACCATGGTTTCTATCGTCAGGACCATTTTTGGGCGTCTGCATACTCTTAATCCTATTGCTGAAGAAGCCAGACTCCTTCTGAATGAGGAGCCTCAGCATGGAGAAATCACCATGTCTGTGTCTGCCAATGTCACTGATGCTGGCGATTCTCCTTTGCAAGTATCAGAAGGAGTAGCCTCATCCACACAGCAGGATGCAGTTTTATTAGAGGATTCTGAGCGTTCTGCAGCACCTGAAGTCGAGGGTCCATCCCAGGCACTTTCGCCGCCACGACCGTGTAAGCCTTCAAATCTAGTTTTCTACTTCCGTAAACTCAATGTAGTGTAGATGGTCTACCAGCTCTTCTGGAGCTGCTTCGTGTGCTTGTCAACATTTTAGATCCAAATGATCAAGTTCACACGGACTCAACGCGTCTGACTGCGCTTGGAATTCTCAATGCTGCTGTCGAGACGTCTGGAACAGTTATGGGCGACTATCCTTCTTTGTCAGCCCTTATTCTTGATCCAGGATGCAAATATCTTTTCCAGCTCGCACGCTCCGACAATTCTTTTGTTCTACAGGCTGCTTTGCGGACTATCACGACAGTATTCCAGACCATGCGGAAACACCTTAAACTTCAACAAGAGCTTTACCTTGCCTTCAGTATTGACAGACTGGCAGCTCCCCCGCAATTGAAACCAATAAACTCCAAGAAGAATAACCCTACATCTCCACGTCCCGGCACCCCTGCAACTGGAACTCCCGTCCTGGGACCGGTTGATACTGAGCTTGAGCTTGATAAGGGGAGTCCAGTTCCATCGCGACCCCCTGTTCAGCCGGCCCGCGGAGATACCCGTGACTTGATGTTGGAAACTCTCAGTCAGCTCTGCCGGCATCCCAGCTCTATGGTGGACCTCTACGTCAACTATGACTGCGACATAAACTGCGAGAATCTGTTTGAACGCTTGATCGAGTTTCTCACAAAGGTCGGTTGTTAGAACAAAACTTACGCGCTTGTCGTTGAGGTTCTTGGCGTGTAGGGTGTATACCCACGGCAGTATTCTTCGGCGTCGGACGCACAACAATTACATTCCCAGTATCTGTGTTTGGATTTGTTGCTTGCGTTCGTGAATGACATGACAGCACGAGCTGAGGGTGTTTGTGCATTCGCTGTTTCGCTTTGTTCTATGTTCTGATGTGCTTTCAACTTTCAGCGAAGTGAATCATGGCCTTCCGTGAGTACTCGTTGCCTCCATCCTCAACTATGCAGGTCATAACACAACACAGGATTTTATTTTGCCAGATTCATTGATGCAAGACAAATCTAGGAAGAAGCTTGTTCTTACCGGAGCAGCGCGGTTCAACTCTAAACCAAAAATTGGCATTGCGTTTCTTGAGGAGAACAAGCTCATATACTCCGACCTTTCCCCAGAAGTATCACGAACGCGCAGTCTTGCTATCTTCTTGAAGAGCTGCACGCGTTTGGACAAGCGACTGTTAGGAGATTATATCTCAAAACCAGATAATTTGGAACTCCTGAAGGAGTTTCTTGGATTGTTCGACTTCAAAGATGTGTGACGGTTCCCATCTATAATATTCGTGCACTAATGAGCAATTGCGATGCATAGAAACCAATTGCAGATGCCATGCGGGAGATGCTGGAAACCTTCCGACTTCCTGGAGAATCTCAGCAGATCGCTCGTATTACAGAAACTTTTGCCTCGATCTATTTTGCATCTGGTCCAGGTAGAGTAGAGTCTTAAACTCGAGAGTATGCGGCTGTTCATCGAATTACAGCGGAAATCAAGACGGAAGATGCGGTCTACGTGCTAGCATACTCCGTGATCATGCTCAATACTGATCTTCACAACCCGCAAATAAGGGTCAGGCCTTTGCACTTCTTATGTACTTTCTTTATCTAACAAAGCAACAGAAACGTATGACGATAGAGGATTATAAGCGCAACCTGAGAGGCGTTAATGATGGCACAAACTTCTCGCCCGAGTTCTTGGTGGGTGGCTTTCCGCTGTTGGGGATCTGTGTAGCTCACTCCCAGCAGCAAAACATTTACGATTCCATACGCAAACGTGAAATTGTTATGCCTGAAGAGCATACTGGCCAACTCGGCTTCGAGTACGCTTGGAAAGAACTGCTCGCCCGTTCACGGCAATCGGGTAAGTTGGACATGCAGAAATTGTGGTTGTAGACGTGACTGGATCCCTCATAGGTCCATTCTTGATGTGCAATTCGGCCTTGTTTGATCTTGACATGTTCAAGACTGTTTGGAAACCATTGATATCTGCCATTGCTTACGCATTCATCAGCTTTGACGACGATTATGTTATTCAACGGGCCATTTCTGGTTTCCGTCAATGCGCCACGCTGGCAGGTCATTTCCATCTTCCAGATGTTTTCGATTTCGTGGTCGTTTCGCTCTCGCAAGCGACTAGTTTATTATCTGAGAATCTGCCGACACAAGTTCCTAACTATCCAGTGGTTGAAGTGGAGGGACAGTCAGGTCACGGTCTCATCGTTATCAGTCAAATTTGGTACGAACTTCAAAGGCCAGCTGGCAGCCGTCGTACTTTTCAATATCGTGAACGGAAACGGAAATGCCCTGCGCGAGGGCTGGACACAAGTAAGTTGACACGGCAAGCAAGTATTTCCTTTGCTAAACATGAGATACAGATCTTTGAAATGTTCCAAAACTTGTTCATGCATTCATTACTCCCCACGCGCATGCTCCAAATGGAGGACTTTTTAGGTGGTGTCACAATGATCCCCCTTCGCGGGGGCCAGCACTCGCGACCAGTGCCACGTAGTGACGGGGGGTTGTTGTCTGCGCTATCCTCATACCTCATGACACCATACGGTGCCAGCTCAGAGAACCTCGTTCCTGAAGCTACAGACACGGAAGTAGAGAGCACGATGTGCACTATCGATTGCATTACATCCTGCCGGTTGGATGAGCTTTATGCGCAGACTATGTGGGTCTCGTCCAACTGATGAGCCTTATTTTCTCAAAACCTTGTCACAGACAACTTGACTCAGAGGCACTCGTGGCCGCAATCCGAGCACTGGAGGCTCTTGCTCATGAGCGGACGATCACGAAATGGAAGCAAGAGTCGGATGAGCTGACCACCGCATTCAATACATCATCCGCAGGAGATGGCACATTTACCTTGCCTTATGATCCTGCGTCCGTTTTTCTTCTCGAGACGATGGTCAGCATAACCTGTCAAACCTCGCGGTACATCGAGGATTTATGGCATGTGTCTTCAGCTTTATCGAAGATCATTTTTAATTTCTACTTAGGCCGATTCTATTTGAGCATCTGTCGGCATTGTTGTCAGCATCTATGCACTACAGCGTTCTGCTTATCGAGCGTGCGGTCGTTGCATTGCTTCGATTGTGTCTCATTCTCACTCAAAAGGCAAGTTACTTATCTCCGCATTGGCTTGTGTGACTGAGTGGCCCGCGTAGAAGACACTTCGAGATCAAGTCTATGTGTCGCTCGATTTGATTGCTGGGCTTCCCCCAATAGTAGCCAATTCCGTTGCTGAACAAATTGTCGCGGGCGTGACTTTGATTCTTCAGAACCGTGATATTGTTAGGTACAGGTTAATATTATCACACCTGTGTTTCTATCACTCACTAATACCAACAGTTCGCAAACCGAGTGGAACCTTGTTTTCGCAGCCCTCCGGTCAACGACTTCCCATCCAGAGGCTGCTCGTTCGACATTCGACTTGGTTTTGAGTTTTGTCACAGACGAACAGTCGCAGTGGATGACACCAGATAATTTCAATGGTCTGATCACAATCTTGGACGAGTTTGCGAACTCCGCTGGTCAGTCAATCATGGCTCCCCAGAGAGGACGACGAGTGCCCTCGCAGCCGCCGCCCAAGTAAGCGGTTTTTGTCTATCATGGCCTGCCTACTGATATCTATCCAGCGCACCGCCTATCGAGCGCGGGAGGCGAGCGATTGATATCCTTTATGATATGAAAAGGTTCATCACACCCTTGGCTGAGTCTGCTGGTCTGCAAACGGGTCAAGGTACGTGGGCAATCGCAATTACAAGTCATTCTTGACAGTTGCCACGCAATGCAGTTTGGCGCCAATACTGCCTGCCTTTGGCGTTGTCGTTAGGCAAGCAGTCGACGAACCCCTCACGACTTGTCCGGCATACTGCTATCAGCCAACTCCAACGTCTGTTACTTGGCCCTCGTTTTGTGTATGACGAAAACGATCACGGTCAAGTCGAGGAGATCTTCAATAGTATCATCTTTCCCCTTGTCGATGAGCTCCTGAAACCCCAAGTACAGCAATTCGATCCACAGGGTATATCAGAGACTAGGTTACGAGCCTCGGCCTTGCTTTGTAAGGCATTCATGCACTTCGAGGTCCGGGAGAATCGCACGAAGTCAGACATCAGAATCTTGTGGATCGAGATTCTGGATCTGCTAGACAGGCTAATCAATGCCGGGAAGACCGAGCAGCTGGTGGGCCTTCCATTGATGTCTCACATGACTTTTGGTTCTAAATGATCCTAGTACGAGGCCGTCTCGGAATCTCTCAAGAACGTGGTTCTTGTGATGAATGCAGCAAATATTCTTGTCCCACCTTCCCAGGAAGACCAACGTGACGAACACCAGCGTACCTTATGGACAGCCACGCAAGCCAGGCTAGAACGTTTTCTGCCAGGATTTCTGACAGAAGTGATACCAACTCCACAGTTACAGTTGCCACCTTCAACTCCCGTCCCGGGTCCAACCTCTGCAGAGCCTACTACGGCATCTTCTACAGCATAGGGCACAATTACATACACGAGTTTGTTGCTGCTAGAATAATCTAATCTAAGACAGAAACTTGCTGAGAGCATCAAAAGAACTTCAATTTGGATGTTCTGCAATGTTGGTTGTCAAAACGCACGCACGCCTTACACGGTAGATCTACTAACCTGACACGCGCATAGATAGCTAGAATTGCGACTATCGGCGCAACAGTATACCCGACAAACCGCACTACTGACTGGCTATGGGAGGTCGTCCAAGTAGACCACGCGCCTCCGAGGTGAGCAGTAATCAGGAGAAGGGGGAATAAGACATAGCCAGACAGCCTGCGAAACGTGTTAGCAATTTTTCCTGGCATCCCCCTGATAACCCACGCTACCTATGATATTTCCATAACTTCTTGGCCTTCATACCACCGCCAAATGCTGCACCTCCGTACCACACACTTCCGCCGCCGAGGATCACTTGTCCCACGAGCCACCCGACAGAAACAAGTCCGAAAGTCTGTGATAAGATGGTCAGAGAATTCAGAAATAGAATAGAGACAAGAACCAACCCCATGCCACGTCGCAAAATGTCCATGTCCTAGGTTGAATTTATGAATCTCGATTGCTAGGATGCCCAAGGCGACGCATGGGAAGCCGACGGCAAGCATCGTTCTCTGGTGTCGTTGTAGACCAGCTGCTTTAGTTTTGGGGTGTGCGGTTGGTTGGAGTGTCAGGATCCCTATAGACAAGTACTGAAGTGAGCTTCAGTTATACTTGAGTGCCAACGGTCGAATACTCACCATAGGTGAAGCAGCCGATACCTAAACTCAGGAGAAGCGGGTGGATGGGGAACCACCCCGTTGATGTAGGGTTATTGGTGAACACGATGAACCAAGTGGTGCATACGAAGATCTTCAAGAAATTCACTCAGGGGTCAACTTTTCGCATGATACAAGCCTCACCAGCACGGAAACCTGTCATGGGGCAAAAATGAGTGACGAGAACAGCGCACGAAGATATGCACGTACTAGCGCTCCATATGCAGCGAGTTTGTCTCCCCGGCGTTCCTCAGATTTGTTGGCGCTGTCAGAGCCCATGGTTGATGTCGGAAAAGGCAGTTCATCCTCCATCGAGGTTTCTGGATGACCGCTGGCATCTAGTAGTCTATACTGTTCTTCAGGTTCCGTCAGTTCGTTGGAAGTATGTTCTGGCATGATGGAGGGTGAAACGCGTAGTTTCTATGTATATTGCGCTCTAGACACTTAAAAGCGTGGTGCTGTTATCTAGGCGCTGGACGGTTGCAACCACTTCCAGTCTAGTAGTACTACTTGTAGTCTTCAATAGTGCCACGTAACTGCGGTTGGCGCCGATCGTACTGTGGCACGTCTCAAGACCAGTTCATGGTATGTTCAACCGAATCCCCGACTCCCAGGGGGGCTCTGTCGGCATCATGATACTGTCGAACACCGACATATCCACGTAGATTTCCGTCCGTAAGTCCGTCACGGTGTGCAAAGTTATGCTCCGGCTTTCTCCCCAACTTTCTCAAGTTGGACGTCTCCTTAAGCATGCCACTTCAAATACTTTCGACACATGTTAGGACCATCTGTCGGGGTGTGCTGGTTGCAAACGTTTGTCTCATTGACGCGCTCGTCATCGTCAAGACAGCCAGGTACCCAACTCCCTGCCAATTCCACCTTTCGTTCGAAGAAGGACGGAGTCCTCAGATATGTGTATCATTTCCAAGTGAGTTCCTTAAGTTAATTTGCACTGTCGTCGCGTCTTACTAGAAGCAGCCAATGCTTTGTCCACGCCTGTTGGCACTCGACCAGAAGTGCATACCTTCTTCGGTGCATTTATTCTATCGTCTGAGCGACATCCGAGCAGCAAACTTTGGGGCACTGGCACAAAAACGAGCCAAGCTGATACGGCTATCGATGCTTCACTTGATACGACCCGGTGAGTGTGATTGTGAAAGCTATTCGTTGAACTGATGTTTTGCAGGCGATGAAGTGTAGTTCGCAAGACACAAGATCCGATCCCTCAATGCTCGTCTTGAAGGCGGTCTGGAATGCACGGACCCAAATATCAGATATTAGTCAGATTATAGTCGCGTTTTCCTGGATCGAGAATCTATACCTGAGGCTGGGTGGAGTATTGGTCAAGATCTCTTCCGGTGATATAACGAGGTACTTGCTCTTTCTCCCCGTCTTGCAGCGTTTATAATACTTCTCCAAGATACAGAACTCGTAGATGGGGCGTTTCGTCTGCTCGTTAAGCACTGCGATAAGTTCCAGGTGGGCCCTTTTTTATACCATTCCCAACCACATGCTGAATCGTCCCCCACTGCAGAGATTGCAAATGATGCACGATACAACCACCTTTTGGGGGCTTCTCACTTGCTTTCCTGACTTCGGTTTCTCAAGGCTTCTGCACCAAACCTTAGTTTCATTTCGGGCACATTTGAAAAATAGTTTCTCAATACGAAGAGAATTATTAATGACGCATTGTGCTTGCAAAGCCTCCATCAGCTTCTGGAGATCACTCTCCCAATATTAAACCATCCCAATGTCCAAGTTGGAAAGTAACCTATCGCAGGGACTTGTCTATGATGTTCGTCTCCTGAAAAACTTTACATATGGTTTCCTGATGGAACATTGCAGAAAAACAGTTTGTGTCATACATCTGCAGTCGTGTCGTCGCTGGTAGAGACTGCTGCGCTGCCAGTGATGTATGCTATTCTCTTCGACAGGCGACTAGCATATCATCCCCACAGACGTGAAGGCAGCTGGGAGGACATTGCAATGATCGCTGACCACTTGAACTGGTGGAAATGTTCTCGATTGGGACAACATTCATCGATCTGTGCTGCAGCTTCTCGACTGGTTTGTCAAATAAGGTGAGGATCATGTTGACGCCTTGATCACACGAAGCAATATGTGATTCTAGGACAAGCGTACAGTTTTTGCGAGGCGAAACGTAAATCGGAGGTCAAGTACCGGATGAAGACCTAGCAGCATTCGATGCATGTATGTAACGGCTTGCTCAATCGTATGGTGCCTGCTTATTCCGTGCTGACATCTTGTCCATCCAGCATACTTAACCAATGTCGATGAGGATGACTTCATCGTTTGTCACAGCACCTTTTACGTCGATCCCGCTTATGGGGTATGCTAAGCTTGTGGAACAAACTACAAGGACGCGAAGGTGTGGTATGGTTATGAGCGTGGGCCTGGAGAGTGATGTCCTGAAACAGCTTGCTAGTGGGTTGTGGGAGATCATCGATGGGTACGGGAAAGACGGGATGGACATATGAAGGGAGACTGAGAAACATTATCCTATTCGAAGACAGTAGTCCACGGTAACCCGAGTAGTTCCGTCGTCCTGCGGTGTTTCGAAAAGCTGCCAAGGAAAATCATCAAAAAGGTGTCAAGCATGGGACACCTGGGCGTCACAGGTCCTAACGGAAGTTGTCGGAGTCGGGGACTCGGTGCGCAACCACCGTTATGATCATGTAAGGTCTAGTGTGTCAAACCGCCGTTTCTAGTCTAGTCATCAATTCATCGATCAGCTGCCCGCAGCTCTAAGCTAGAACGGTGTAAAAAATGACCAACCAATTTAAGCTGCCACTCATGACAAATTGAAAAGCTTCGATCGAGTTACAACACGTTATTATTCCATTATTGACCACAGTATTAGTACGTATAGCAAACAAACAAAATGCAACGAATATGAACAGTGACATGACGGGTGAACGCAGTGCGTAAGGAACATGGATACGACTATAGAATGCAGAGAAGGTTAACAACAAAAAACATTCCAGGCTAGGATCACAACAAAGCAACTTATCAAATAAATGCACAACACCGACGGTTGTTCATGGAATAGTCTAACGACCTTCGAGTGCTGGCCAGGAGCCCTCCGCTTTCCACTTGTCCACCACTTCGCGAAGCGCGTCGTGTGTGAACTGCGGACGTATAAGCTTGTATCCAATGACTTTCTTGATTTTGTTATTGCTGTAGGAAAGTTTGCGTCGTGATAGAGCCCACTGGTCCATATAGGCATCGAGTGGGGTCTGGCCAATCGGAGGGTTGGACGTCTGAAGCATTTCAGTCCAGGTACCCACGTGGTGCTCGTTGATTTCTTCGACGACATCGTCGAGTTTAAGCTTCAAGATGTTAGCAAAGCTTTGGTAATATAGTGTAACACAAGCGCACCTTTGCCAAGGCATTTTCAAAGAACGAGTAAAACTCAAACGTCGTGCCGAAGAATTCCGTGATCATTGACCCGCCCTTAGCCATAGTCATCTCTGAGTCGTCAACCTGCGAAAAACATGAGAAAATATAAACCCCCAAAGCAGGACCTTGCGCACCAAGTTAAAGACAGGCGCTATGGGTTGTGCATCAGGTATGCACGTGCCCTCGATATCCTTGACCTTGGATTTGTCATTATGGAAATAAATTTTCTCTCCTGCAATTAAAATTGCCTGTTGACGGCCAAGTGAAGCCATCCATTCTGCACATGCCCATAGACCGCCCGAAACATCATCTATGTGAACTGTATTGACGCCGTCTTTTCCCGGGCCCCATCTGAAACGGGGATGAGAGGGATTTGAGCGGAAGAAGAGGTCTGGACCCACGGTGTTTTCATTGGTTTATTCATGTAACCGTAGATGGACGCAACGGTGATCACTAGCGGATCTATCAAGAACGTTAATCCCATGTCGTCGGAAAAAAATGAGGAAGATAAATTACAGAGTCCGAACTCGACGTAAGGGCCATATACAAATCCAATTCGCAGGATGACGAGAGGAAGGCTGAATAGCAAGTCAGAAATGATACCTTGAGTAACGATTCGGGAACCTACTCATCGATAGAAGCTAGCATTCGAAGCGTCTCATGCCACCAGACATCTAATGGTCGTACAGGCTTGACATCTTCCTTCTCGTCATGCGGACCCTTGTCTGATGTTTCATACACAGGTTGCTGTAGTCGTACGTAAGCATTGACTTTTCTACGGGCAGCCTCCAGACCGATGATGCGAGCAACGGTGAAAGTCAATTTGATCGCAATCTAGAATGGCGATGAGAAGATTGGTCTATTTTAAGAGTAGAAACAGGTCATACAACTTCACTGCGGTCATGATTGGTCTCACCAGTGAGATCGAAGACGTATGAGTAGGGTGCCTTGCCTGACGGGGGATCAAAAGCAGATGCGACCGCAGCTTGAAAGAGGTGATAAATATTGAAGTGGAATGTAACAGGAGTACATACAAGGAACAGTTAAATTGGCTTGCCGATATTCAACATCGGGTTGAGCCAGGACCTTTGGGAATTCTGCACCCAGATATCTAACAAATCGCCGATCAAAATGAGATGGAAGCAAATGAGATAAAATTTACGCACGTTGTGGGTGGATAAACAGAGAATCTATCGACAATACGAAGGTGCTAATAGTGCGATGAGTTATCGATGAGAACCAATCGGAGAGATCTGACGTACCGAAACGAGTCTCTCCCCCTCGGGTGGGACTAGCAATGCTGCGAGTGCTCGTGAACATGTATTTAGACCACCTGTGCGGGTGAATTTGAAAAAAGTAATTGTGAGCGTCTTGGGATCGTGGCCAATAGCGATGTCAGTTACCGAAAATGATAGCGCTTGGCTTTTGAGACATGTAGTGGGCGCTGTTGATGACGGTGAGGAGGAGAGGAGGAGAAAGGGGAGGATGTGGCGTGAAGGGATTGGAGGGCTGATTAGTATCACTGACAGCGATTTCGAGATTAGGGTGATTTATACGCCAAAGTTTTATACTATGTTAGTACTGTACCCGACCGCGTCGCGGAGGCAACCTCGAGAGAAAGAAGCTCCCTTGCTCAATTACGTAATCTATAAACTTTCATCCGAAGAACCATAAATTTAAAAAAGGAACCGCGCCCCGGAATATTTTAGTCATCATCATCGGATTCCATGGAGGCTCATGCTAGCGCTTTAGTAGCCGTTAGCTCGGTATATGCAGACATTTTCACGGAAACATAACAGGGCTTGAATCACAGGAAAACATATTGCCCCACTTGAGTATATGTTTTTTGTCTCATATTAAAATATCAGGGTCACTAACTTATACATTGGGCGCGTATGGGACCCCTTGACATTATTACTAACTTGAATTAACTCCAGTTTCAGACATCGCCGCGATCGATTGACTCGGACCCACCAATTCATTCGGACCAATTTTCGTGTCCCTATCTTATGTATAATCAATGATTACGTATTCTTGTTGCCGCCGGAAAGCACTCACCTAATGGAACCTAATCGAGTTTATGAATTACTTGAGTTGTAGGCACAAGTAAAACCCTCGTCTTGCGGTGCAGGGCCAGTAAACGTTTATTCTCTACATTCTGCGCAGAACGGATATAATCACATGGTATCAACGCCATCGATAAGTCCGCATGGTCCAAAATTTAATCCTCTCGTCTCATTTGTTTCAGGCGCTCGTACACAGAAGAGAAGTCCTTTTGTGCCAGATCCGGTCGATGCCTCAACGTTTCGGCATAGAAATTCTGCGCAGACTTCCCTAGCGGTAATGGGCTGTCGGTAGAGGCCGCAACATCCGTCGCAAGAAGCATATCCTATACGACATTGAGACAGCACATCTTCGCCGCCGGGAGTCTAACTTACCTTTAACATCAAAGCAGTAGCAAATCCGCCCTCGTAATTACGTTCGCATGGAGGAGACTTGTCAGCGAGCGAATACGGTACCGGATTATTGACCGACGAAGCCCAGCAACCACCGGTGGAACTGTTAATGACCCCTGCAAGTATGCGCGGATCCAGACCCAGTTTCTGCCCGAGCAGCATTGCTTCGCCAACGACAATCTGTTGTACTCCAAGAACAAGGTTGTTACATATCTTGGCGCCAAGACCAGCGCCTGATGGGCCACAATGGATAATGCGATTGCCCATGCGGGTGAGGATCGGCTGCGACAACTCAAAAGAATCCTCGGTCCCGCCAACAAGAAAAGCCAGCGTGCCCGCTTTAGCACCTGTTACACCTGTTTGGATAAGGTTAATATTATTATACGTGTAAGTAGGGATGCGGGGGGCAGTGCACAACAATAGTACGTACCGCCCGATACGGGTGCGTCCACCATTTGCGCCCCTGCAGAGATAACCTCCTCCGCGACACTTCGGGCAATTCCAACATCTAGCGTTGTAGAGTCAATGAAAAGAGAGCGCGCCAACTCCGCGGCGCTGAGAGACTCCAGTGCAGAGATGACCCCGTTTGCTTCAGAATAAACGGTCTTGACCTGAGGCGAGGATGGAAGCATTGTCAATACTGTTTGAGAAGCATGCACTGCCCTAGATTCCAAGTGACGATGTCGTAAAGGGGGGAGCCACACAGTTCGAATGCAGGAATGGGCTTACTCTTTGGGGGTGAGAACAATATCAATGTGAGCCCCAGGGAACTGGGCTACAAAGTTTTGACGGAAGGCAATCGCACTGGTTGGGAGCGCGTCGCAGACGACAAAGTGGGCATCAGGTGATTCTGCGAATGTCTTCGAGAAGAAGTTAAAGGCCATTTCTGAGCCCATTCGACCAAGGCCAATGAATGCAGTGCTCTTGGCACGCACAGCTTGTCGCTCGAGGGACTGGAGTACTCTGGCAGTATGTCTCATGGTGGGATTTGCTAGAGTAACGTTCAGGAAAGCCTGAGAGTGTTCATGTCAAGGTCCGACTCGGACGAGTACCCTCGTGATCATTTCAAATCATATGGGGAAGCATGCCGGATGTGGCACGTGATTATCACGTGCTGAGCTATCATTATGTCAGCTACACGTCCGTCGTCTCATTATTTGGACACTTACTTCGTGAATCGTCTGGTACTGGTCTGGGTTATTATTACCTGAGTCCTCAGGGACGACAACTGACTCTGATCCATCAATCCAAGATGCTTGCAGCCGCGACTTCGTTTTTCTCCCGAACAGCCATATCTCAGTCGTATAATATTGCCTCGTCATATGGCAGCAGGCCCTCCACGCCAGGTCCACCGGGATCTTCAAATCCGCTTCCATCTCCAATGTTACCATCCGTTAAAGTTGGTCTCTGGAGAGTTCAGGGTGCATCCCACAAAGTCACGAGTAAGAAAGTCTCCATTTGGACCCTTGACAAACGCGCCGAAATGGAAGGACTGGGTCCTGTATCTAGAGAGCGGGTCTTGGAGGTTTTGAAGGCAGAGGTATATTTACAACATTAATGAACCCACCGCTTTCTGCTCAGTTGTTGTCCTTTAGGCGGCAGCACTAAGCAGATTGCGCCATCCTTCTATCTTGGGTAGGGCATATAAAACTCCCACTACGTACACATTTTGAGCTTACTGTTCACAAAGAAATGGTTGAACCCCTTGAAGAAACAAGGACCGAACTGATATTTGCAACCGAACCTGTCCTTTCGTCACTTGATCTCTCAATATCACGTGGGTCTCGCCATACTCCTCTCGTTGAGCTGGACGAAATCGAAGTCCGTCTGCTTCTTTTGATGCGGAATGCCATTAATGAGTTCAATTCTACCCAGATTCAGAAAGGCATACTGCAGCTGTGCAAAGGCTTGTCTTTTCTGCATACTTCCGCGAGGCTGATTCACACCAATTTGAAACCCGAATGTGTAATTATCAACGACGTGGTGAGTGTTTCCCGTTCCTGATGGCCACCCATGTGGCTACATTCTAGTCGCCGCTTTTTAGGGTGATTGGAAAATTTCTGGCCTTGGCCTTACCATCCCCCTCGTTGGGTCGGATGGATCTCCGACCCGTTGGGAATTTCCTGGTTTTGATGGTCGAGTGCCGTCATACATCCAGCGTTCTTTTGATTATATCGGTACGTGCAGTGCTGCTATCATAACATGTGCCATCTGACTCATTTCCACGGATCGACAGCTCCGGAATATGTACTGGATGAAGTCCTTATCACTGCATCAGACATGTATTCCCTCGGTTGTCTGATATATGCCGTACATTGTAAAGGCAGTCCGCCGTTTAGAAACCATGGAAATGTAGGCGGCCTTAGGGATAATGCTGGTCGTCCTGTCCCGGACATCGGGCAGCTCGACGCGGATTTGCAAGGTTCTTCCATTTCGCTTGAGATAATTATAGAGTCATTGAGGCACAACTCTATGTAGACCTCCTTCGATCGCTCATTACTCGTGGTTCGAATAGCCGACCGACTCCCTCAACGCTCCCTTCGCATTCGTTCTTCTCCTCACTACCGATCTCGACCCTTAACTTCCTAGACCGCTCGACCTTCACAGCAAAGACGCGAGAGGAGAAAATTTCTTTCATGCGTGGCCTTACAGGGGTCTTAGATCGCTTCTCAGAAGGTCTGCGCACACGGAAAATCTTGCCATCCTTGCTTGAAGAGGTACGGGTCCTATTCCTGTTCCCAATTCAAGCCGTAGAACTGACGGAACGTCGCTTCGTTGGCAGATGAAAGACACGCATTTGCTTCCGTACATCCTTCCGAATGTGTTTGCCATCTCCAACGTTCTTTCTGCGCCGCAGTTTGCTTCCCTTGTTCTGCCTAGTCTTAAGCCCCTGTTCACCGTCAAGGACCCGCCACAGAATATGTTGACGCTTCTGGACAATCTTCACATGTTGCAGAGTAAAACTGAAAAAGGCGTTTTTCGCGAACGTGAGCAACTGAATTGGCATTACGTTTCACACGGTTCAAATTATTTTCAGAGGTTCTCCCACTTGTGTATCATGCGCTGGAGTCTGAGCATGCCATGGTGAGTTTGTCAATGGACGACATGTCAAAGCGTGATCCGATAAGGTACAGGTACAAGAGCGTGCCCTTAAGGTGGTTCCAGATCTTTGTGAGACAATTGATTATGCCGAGGTCTCCGGCGTACTGTTCCCCAGAGTCGCTGTGAGTTGCAAATGCGTCGTCCATGAGAGGTGCTAAATTTTGCATCATGCAGCTGGTGTTCACAAAAACGAGAATATTGACCGTGAAGGTCGCTACGCTGGTAACGTTCCTCAGTTTGGTAAAAACCCTCGATCAGGTTTGCTATGCATCACCTTGAATTTTTTTAGACGCTTACATCTCCGATGTAGACAAATCTCACGCAAAAACTTGTACCACTGCTGTCAAAAATCCGCACAAAGGAGCCTGCTGTTATGGTGAGGTACATGTTCTTGTCACGGCTTTTATTTTCTGACAGCGTCTAGATGGCAACGCTCTCGGTACAAGAGGCCATGGGTGTGAAGGTTGACAGAGAAGCGGTAGCTACCCTCGTCCTACCGCAATTGTGGACAATGTCGATGGGTCCTTGTGCGTATCAACCCTTATTTCCCGGTGGTTTGACCTGAAAGCAATTATAGTATTGAACATTGAACAATATCAACGCTTCATGAGCGTTATCCGTAGGCTCGGTGACCGCGTGGAAAAGGAACACAATCAATTCCTCCGCGACTCGCAGAGGATTGAGGATCGTTCAGCAACAAATACCAGTGGTGTCACGTCGTCTGCCTTCAAATCCGGTGTCGATTTTGAAAGTTTGGTAGGGCGTGCAAACGGTGCTACTGTGAAGCCGGACACAGTGATCGATGGAGATAGCTCAAAGGGATGGGATGATGACGTGTGGGGGACCATCTTTAGCGGCACGCCCGAGGTAACTTGTTGGTATCTGTTGATGACACTCATGCTGAACGTCCCCATCAATCATCGCAGAGTCCACCTCCAGGCCCTGCTGTTTCTACGATCCAACCATCACTTACTCTATCAAGTCAGCCGCATTCGCTACCCTCGTCACCACGAATATCAACGATGCCACTAGTGTCTCGGCCACCACGATTAGGTGCTAAGCCTGTACCATCTACTACCTTCGATTCATCTGCTTTCACATCACCTACGTTACATCCCAGTCAGCCAAATCGTATCTCATCCCCATCAGCACAACCCCAGCGACTTGCAAGTTTCAGTATGCCACCGCCCCCACCTATACAAAAACCCAATTACAATGTCTCGTTATCCGACTTTGTGGCTATGTCTCCGAGCACAACTCCTTTTGTGCCGAATTATATCCCATCGGGTCATACCACATTACAGCCTACTTCTCCTGCATTTTCGATGTCATCACCTCCTCTACACGCATCACCACTTTCGATGGGGAGCATGTTAGCACCTACTCGACCGACAACGACTACAAGGCCAATCTCAAAGGACGACTGGGGAGACTTTGATCCTCTCAAGTGAAACGAAGTTGATTCGTATAAGCATGCCGGATGTCATTGTCAGCACTGGGGTCCCTGCGATCAGGTCCTTCATGTTGTTTCTCATCGCTTCTGCGCTGGTCAACGGTCATCTAGAGTTCCATCTTAACTACCTCATATAACCTTGCACGTGGTCGAAATTCTAGTAAACTGCACGATCGTTCCACCTGGATTGTGACTAATGGATTGACCCTACGGTGTTTCCTCTATCCAAGTCTTGTGATTTGTAGCCCAAATCGGTTTGCGTCCGACACCCATTATTTGGTTCGAAGCTCTATCACCGATCTCGACTGGCCATGTCATTGCCCCTCGATCTTTGTAAGCATGCAGGAGGCAGTATGAGTCTGTATGACTGATCGCACTTTGAACCACTATGCCAAAAACATATATTTGTTTAAAACACTACACTAGTGACTAGATTGGCGTCTGGCTTATCGACCTTGCCTTGGCGATTAGAGTCCCCGACTCCCAACATTAATGTTAGTAGAGGGCTTAGTTAAAATGGACCTCCAAACAAATATACACCGCAAAAATGTTGTCAGTAGGTTTCGAACCAACCCCAAGAAAAACAGATTTTGACTCTGTTGAAGTGACCACCTGGCTAAGACCAGTTACATGGACCTCCGAGGATGAGTGAATTTCAAGGTGTTCCAATAGAAACAAAACCTGTCATTCAGCTAGTTTCAAACCTCCAAAAGAATCTGATGCCGATTCTGTTCTTGGCCACTTGGCAAAAACCAGTCGAGGTGTGCCTCCGAGGAAGCCATGAGTGAATATCAAGATGTGTTCCAATGTGAAAAAACGTATCTCGTTATTCACTCATGGTTTCGAACCTGCGCAGGCCAAGAGAAACAGATTTTGATTCTGCTGTGGTAACCGCTTGGCTAAGATCAGTTAAGATGGACCTTCGACGAAAACATCCATAAGGGAATGTCGAGATGTGTTCCGATAGAAAAAAAACCATGTATCGACAGGTTTCGAACCTGCGCAGTCTAAGAGAAACAGATTTCGATTCTCTTACGATAACCACTTCATGAGAATGCTCCAAAGTTGACCTCCGAAGAACTGTTCAAGTGTCAAGGTATGATAAGAGGGAAAACCAATTAATTGTCGGCAAGTTTCAAATCCGCACTACCCAACAGAGCAGGTTTGTATCTGTTCTAGTGCCATTCCTCCTTGGAGGATCCATCATGAATGAATGTTCAAAGCGTGGTAAAAGGAAAAAGGTTGTTGAGCAGCGTTCGAACCTGCAACGGATTTCTGTCCTGTCACGCTGGAACGGTGCTTACGAGACGAGAGGCATCGGACGCAGCGGCAAACCAAAAAAAAAGGCAAAACAATCGTGGAATGGGTGCTGAACCTATGCGAGAACATATTGGAGCATATACATAATTTGATGGACACAAAACATGCCAGGAATAAGCGAATCGGGGGCTGGCACATTGGAACTTAATTTAAGCTGGTTCCACTTGGACGCCGTCCAATGGTCGAATATACGTCGCTTCAACGATAGTCTCGAATCCTTGCGAACCGAATTGCGTGGCAACACCATTGGCATCAATGTCAAGGTTCAGTAATGCCTTTAGAATCAGGAGCGCCCCGATCTTTGAGGCAACGACATTTCCTTTCGAGCAAGTAGCACTGTGAATGCCTGGTCAAAATGATCAGTAACGAGGATGAATCTTTAGAGATAGACTTGCATTTGTCACAACCATCCTTGCATGGACAGGTTTCCACTGTATCATGTGCCTGTCGCAAAACTTCGCCGCCTGGGACATTAATATGAAAACTAAAGTGACTCATGAGGATAACATGCTCACTGTGATCAAATGCCTGGGCAGACACGCTTCCTTTCCGAGATGCATCATAAAATATTAGTCTATACTCTGACGTGAGTGAACTGATGGCACTCAGTAATGAGCAAGCAGACATACCTAGCGGGACGCTTCCGCTGCGACTCCTCTTTATTATATTCTTTCTCTGCCGCCTTGCATTCTGTCCGCAAGTCGGGAGAAAGAGAAAAACGATTCATCCATGCATGCGATGCAGAATGGATGGCTTCTGCAAGGTTAAAACATTTTTTCTTCATCAATCCAAGTAAATCTTTGGGCACATCGAACCAGAATCCGGTGACTTGTCTTTCGTACGGCGGCGTATCGACATCAACGACGTCTAGTACCTTGTTACCCCTAAAGAGCAACTTCAAGATCGACGGACTATCAGCTAGTGTCCACACGCACCTGATTTTCCTGAAGCCTGCGGAACAGAATATCAAGCAACTAGCTTTTCACGTCATGGGATTAAACATACCAAACACCACAGTCGTCACATCGACCCCTGTGCGCAGGCAATGAATGATTGTTATTATCCCTAAGGTGATTCACTCACTTCCGAAATGTGCTCTATGTGGAGACCTCGCAATCTCTTTGATTCGATGAGTTTGCATGGCGTCCACATTCCTGTTAGTCCAGTCAAGGTGGTGGATGATATAACGAGGAAGAACTTACGTGTAGTCTCTGCCGTTTGCCTTCGTGAATTGCTATGACAGGAAAATGGAATATGAACGCACCTCGGCTTAGTGATCCAGTTGACATCCGCCCTCACAAGTCTAGCCACTTTGGTATCATGACTGACTTCTTTAACCTATGCGACAGTCAGGGGTGACTGTGATACATCATCAGCGGTGCTTACAATAAACGTCAGTCCTTGATGCATGAACTGAAGACAATTATCAGTGTGTGATCTCAGAAAATAAGATGGGATTGGTGACGAACCACTCCACCCTCATATAGCTCGAAAATAGCCCTTGAAAGCTCAATCTCTTCTATGATTCTTGGTACTCCATTTGGTAGCCCGACTTTCGTCACATCAATGATGGTGTACTTATCGTCATCCGCACCACGAATCGAGACATGCTTGGCTGGATAAGGGAGAAACTTGGGGTGCGGGTGATACCTATCCGAGGTTAGCACTACGCCCAGATACGAAGCCGAAACCTACCATCCGTCTTTGTCTTTCCGTAGCTTCGAATCACACAACTCGCCTAGCGATGCACCGAAGTAAAAAATATCATCCTTGGACAAAGGCATTTCATGAGCAGCACATTGCAAATGAGCCTCGATGATGACTTTGCTCTCAATGTCGACGGTCAGGTCATCTATAGACTGGTCGTAAAGTTTGTCCGGGAATTTGACATAGTTTCTGTCTATGGGGAGGTCTTCAGCTACCAATACAGCCAATGAATCACGGGATCTTCGCCCAGCCCGACCAGCCTGCTGCCGCTATAAAATCCAATAGATTAGCATGATGATCGCGAACATCTCTGAGAGGCGCTGACAAAGTTGGCAATGCCAAATGGGAAACCAAGCATGATGACAGCGTCCAAAACACCAATGTCTACACCAAGCTCAAGAGCATTAGTTGCAACAATACCGAGTAAGTGTCCCGAAAAAGCTTCATGTTCAATGCGGCGCCGATCCTGGAGTCCCTAAGAACTACGTCGCCTGGAGTACACAACACTGACCTCCTGAGAGTATCCTAATTATGGAGTGTGATAAGTTGTATCAATCAGATGCCTAAAACAAAAACTGACCTCCTCTGTAAGGCATAACCTTCGCAAGAACGTCTAAGCGTCCCTCGGCGCTAAGTCGTTGGCGCAGAGCTTTCATCGCCTTTGGTCAACATCAATCCTAGGTCAATTCAAGGTTAAGTGTCATTCTGCTCACCAACTCGCATGCTCTTCGAATCTGAATTCACCTAAGCCACTGAAGCACAATTAAGCCTGGATTATGGTACGGACCTTGCAGAACAAGATGACCCGAACACCGCGCATCATCAAGAATATCATGAGGTTAATGGCCTCATACATTGGCCCCGATTGTCCGAGTTTTGCAAGCCCAGGATCCATATCTTTAACACTAGGATCCCAGACTAAGTAGTCCTTCTTTCCAGATGGAGCTCCATCCTCAACAATTTCCTCCACGTCCTGCAAGAGATTGTTAAAGGAGACACAACAAGAAGCATAATAACATACCTCAACCCCGAAGAGACGTTTCATATGCTGACTTGGCTTCGATATGGTGGCACTGCATGATACAAAGATAACTCGCTGGTCTGGCAAAGATTTGGTCAACAAAAAAACATGAAAGAGGTGCCATGCAAACTGGAACATACTCCCTACAGCTGTACAGATCCTTCGGAAACGGCGGATGATCTGAGCAACATGACTTGGAAGCTTATGAGACTGGAATGAAATGGCGCAGCCATGAATCTCACCTCCCAAATAAATTGGAATAGTAATGCAGTTCATCGACCGCTACGAGTTTGAGATTCTTTATGAAGCTTAGAATATACGTCAATGTCAATGTCAATTAAAAACACAACGGCTCACGTCCGCCAAAGCTCCTCATGAGGCAAAATAGAGGCGTGCAACATGTCCTTAATGGCGTTATCAGAAAACTCGGCGACACTTGTTTACACATACGTACAAAGTTGGTGAAGATGACAGAGGCCGTCTCCCGAATGGCTGGAGAAATTACCAATTGTCACGCGCAGAATGCAATAGGCTTACTTCTCCGGTGATCCTGTGGGGTGTCTCCATCATACGTTGCTACCTTGATGTGCTGCAGTCCAGGGCAGGCCCACAGCAACTGTTCCAGCGCAGTACGCTGATCCTGAGCTAAAGCCTGAAAAAAGTATCATAAAATGCGAGCACCATTATTCAGTTGAGGACAAACCTTGGTGGGGTATATAAATATGGCTGTAGCACTAGAGTTCTCTTCTAGAAACTTTAGTAAAGGAACCTGAATCCAACTCTCTTCAGTTTGGAATATCCAGAAGCGGTTTCACAAAAAGTACCTGATAAATCACACTTTTACCTGATGCAGTACTAGTCGAAACAATGACATGCTTCCTCTGCGCAATAGCGTTGATGGCGGCTGCCTGATGGTAATATAATGACGTTATATTTCGCGACTCTTGCAATGCTTGTTGTATGGTATGTGAAAGAGGCTCAGCCAGTAATCCTGAGTACATGCTGTCAGAAATAAGAGGCACCCACGAATAACCTTGCTACCTTCAATAGCTACCTTCTCCTTGAATGTCCGCCGGTCAGCAATTTGATTTTTATACCATTGTTGTTTTTGGACTTCAAGTAGTATGTCGTCAATAGAGGGCCGGTCTTTGGGTTCGGGTATTATCAGATTTTGGGAGTCGTTGGCAGGTAGGGCCCTGTTCGCGGAAGGGTTTACGGGGATGTGGTCTCTTGCTGCTGCTTGAAGCAGATCTATGGACACCTCTCCCTCTGGAGTAGCCTTCATAAGCCTATATTTCGGGGTCAAAAACAGCAAAAACAATGCGCGTATGCATACTCGTCGACGGCTTCCTTAAAGCGCTGGTTTCGCTTATCAACCAAATTACTGGATTGTGTGAGCGTCATAATCCGTGGGAGAGAAAAGCAGGCTTTGCGTCAGTGTGCGTTCCATTACACCCAGACAACAAGTATCACCCTGGTTTGGTAGTTCTAAAGTTCTCCGCAAATTCTAGGACGAGGACGTGTTCTTCCTCTTCATGACCTGGGAGCCGAGAGCCCGATAGTGTGTCAATGGCAAGAGGTTGTGAATGTAGCGTGAAGTCGGGGCTGTTTGAACGCTTCTTCTGTTGAGAAACCGTCTCCCCATGTATTCGGAGGTCACTGTGAGGAATGTAAGCGAATTCGACGACATCCGGAAGAAGGGCTCTGTAGAATATGACTGTGATTATCCTGTTGAATTATAGTCGTGCCCACTCACTTGAGTTCGGCTACTTTAGACAGTTCGAGTGGTCTGCAGTCGTGTTTGCTTAACGATCACGACTGTTCGGGAGCAAACGAACCTTTTCAGAAGACCTTCAGCGGAGGAACGAATCATAGGAAATGTGGTTGCAAGATGTCTGCGGGAGGATACAAACGCAAGAACTGTATTCAATGCCTAATGCCTCACATGAGTGTACTTCAGACATGTGGCACATGATGTAACTCGCCTTGAAGATCTGGAGTGACATGAAGACTCAGGACGAGTCAGAAGAAACGGGTTGGTTCGATTGGCATACCTTGAACAACTTCAGGTTGCGTTCCACAATTATTCAGTGCTAGGAGAATTCATTTATACAGGTACTCGACTCACATCATGGTAATACTCAGGCCATTCTAATGTTTCCTTCTCCTTGTCGTGGTTCCTAGTACTACTTGTCACATTTGAAACCTTCTGCCTTTTTGATGCTCTTTTGGTGGAGCTCGTGGAACGCTTCATACTTGCAAGAGCCGGCAATTATACGATGTTCGGATGTTGAACTACAACTTGAAATTGTTGGTCTGCCTGGTACTAAGACAAGTTTCTGTCACAAAGCGCGCCCCTAATCGCGTAACATCACAAATTGCCTGTCACGCTCAGATTCTCCAAGTCACGCTCGCTTTTCTGCGGCAAGCAGCAAGTAAGTTTAAAGTAAGTCGGAATTTCTACACTGAATGGAACTAACAATTTAACTGTGCCAGATGTCCGCCATACCGCGTACTCTCCGAGTCATTCCAAAGACTTCTCTAAAGCCGGGGAGTAAAATTCTCCCACCACCGCTCACAAACCAGAATGAGCGTGCATTCAAAGAGCCTCTGCTCCAGATTATGGCTCGCAAGCAACAAGAAGCAGGCGATGTGTGGCCACCAAATTTGCGCATAGAGCCGCATGTCACGAAGACAGCTATTGGCAAAGCACCGGAGGAGATGCGCGTTCAGCTGAAGAGATTGTTGAAGGAACGGTGAACACGGCATGGGTGTATCATGTAAGTATTATAAGTTTTTCCTTTAAGTTGCCTCGCCTTACACCTGGATTGTTATTAGAGACACCCTGTGTTGTTCCTTCTACCTTCGCAGGACCTGCTGCTCGATGTATTTATGAACACCATTTTAATAGTGCCTCACGGTTTTATCATGTGGCTGCATTCTGCAAATTTCATCCTGAAAGAACATGCGAATGTAGCTTCTCCAGCATTCAGCCTCATTCTTTGACACCATCCTCGACATCCTGCGATATTAGACAAATACAGAGAAGGTTCTAGTCAAGTCGGGTATTGTCCAACGACACGATTGGACCGGTGACCAGCACTGATGCCAAGAATACCTCCAGTTTCATGCATGTAGACTGGCCGGATGGTATGCAAGTAAACTGGTCCTAAGGGAAATATAGGTATACGTATTATCCACATGTAGTAACACAGTACGACAACAATTCAATTCGTGTCTACACTTGCAACCGCAACTAACAGCCTCCCTTCTTCAAATGTCTTCTCTAGGAGCTCCATGAACCTCGTCTTCCACTGCGCCGTAATTCCATGGCCCGTCCCTTCCCACCAATGAAACTCGGCCTCAGGCATATGACGATGTAGATGGCGACTGTTAGAACTACGTATTACCTGATCCTGGTCGCCTGTCAGGATAAGAACCTTAGGTATTGATGAGGATATCTTGCGCAACCGTGCAGGTGAGACATGATGGGTGAGCCCCGCATACATCTGTGACAAAGCACCCAAAGGTGTTTGGGGTCGGGTGATCTTCAGACGCCGATGGTAAAACTTGAGGGAAATGGAGTCAGTCCCTGACGCGCCATAAATGTATCACCGTACTGACAGCAGATTGAACTTCTAAGTTGGTCCTTCCCTCTGGGTCATCTTTAGCTTTCTCCGCCAGCCATAGCTGGGGGTACAGCATATTCATTACAATGGGAACCTTTACGTCAGGATCTCCTGTCAATAATAGCCTACACATGAAAGGAATTAGCATGTAGACGTAGAGGGCGTATCATATCTAACCTTGTCAGTGCCGTAGAACCTTTCCACTAGAAGAACTCAGTACGGAGTTCACTGGTTACGGATAAAAAAGACCTACAGGTGGCACGTTCTGCCAGAATTGACCACCTGCTGTGGTGACAATCAGGCTTAGGGAAGTTATTCTATCGGGTATACGATCCGCGAGCTCTTGGGATACGTTGTAAGAACCACAAATCAATTTGAAAGACAACAATGACACCTTGTGCTATCATTCCGCCCATCGAGATGCCTACAACATGAACGCTACGTTCCTCGGTCCACTTCAGATAGTCGAGTAATGCTATGACGTCCTCAGCCATGCCACTCGTTCTATAATTCGAAAAGGATCAATACGCATATCCACTAGAATCAAACTGGAAACACACGTGTATGGACCTCTCGGAGTACCACTCATTCCTACACCACGATTGTCGAAAACTAGTACCGAGTACTGGGGAAGTCTCCCGAAGTGCTCGACCTGAGATAACCATCCGAAGGATGTGCTATTAACACTACAAGTATCCTGGTAAACCTACAGTAAAGCCTTCAAACAGTAGACTTTACCCCATGATAAAGATGATCTTCTCAGGTCCAGTGCCATGCTGCTCATAGTACAAAGAGTGGCTCTCGAGCGGACCTTCCTGGCTGGATATTTGTGTTACAGGACAAAGGCCTCTACGAGTGCATGTATCTGGGTCGAAAATTGTCTGATATTCGGGGCCCAAAACCTGGTCGTGCGCTGCTGACATCGTTGTTCGGGAAGAAAGCTAGTGTCATGATGGTACCTGTTACTTTTTATAAGTTGGATTTGAGCAAAGAAAGTATATTAGGCTCACGGACTGAAAAATTCCCGTATACATGATGCTACCGCGTCCTGCCAATCCAGCTTATAAGTCAATTGAAAGGGCAATTACTTACTAATCTGCTCGTGCGTGTTCAAACAAAGCCCATCAACGTTGTCCACACCAGGCGTCGATCCTCACTGGCAGCCAGTAGCGAGCCGTTCTCTCTACTTTTACCAAGGTGCATACAAGACATATCATCCTCACATAGCCTTTGGAGACTCTTTCAGCTTCCCCAATGACTCCACGACTCTCAGCGTCTATCTCTGGGGGTAAGTCGTATACTTACTACTAGATCCGCCCGGTACTAAGCAGCACTTTTTAGTTCCAGCCAAGATGCTTGCTGTGTTCCCATTTCTCACAGTCGCAGCGGCTTACATAGTTATGGTCCGGTGTCTCTACGGGAATGGCCTGGTCCCAAAGTTACACACAGTATGTGGCGCATCAGTAGAGGGGGAATCGTTCCCAACGCGCATTGCATACACCAATATTCCCGCTCTCGACCTCAACATCTGCACCATCGTTACGTTTTATCATGGCTTGATGAACACAACCTACCGACCGCTTCTGATCCTTATGTGCACCACGCTTTCCGCAATCGCCATCATCCCTTTCGCAGAAGCCACTCGCGAATATCACTCTAAGCCGCTCAAGATGCCTGCGACTATTTGCATGATTTTCCAGCTCTGCAGCTGTGCGGTGGTCATGCCGATTTATTGGTTTGCCTTTGCGCTTACTGGTGGCACGACCCGTCGCAGCGACAGAATCACTCAAGGGAACGCAGAAGCACTTTTATTTGCCCTTGTTGTTGGCTATGCTATCCCTACCGTTTGCATGGTGGTTTTTGAAGACCCGGTGGTGACTGCGATATGGCAGTTCTTCCCATTGTTCATGAAAAGCGCCCAGTGGGCACACTCCAAAATCCGACCGCCTTCGCATCACACTGGATCGGGATACGGCACTGTTCAAGCCATGTACATGCTTGTATACGTCAGTTCTGCTTATTTGCACGTTGCGCACGTCTGGCCTCTCTTCAACGATCCGGCGCTCGTCCAAATGCTTATAGTACCCCCTACGGCACCTTTGGATCCATCAGCAATTTCTGTTGCTGAAGGTGTGGCAGCGTTCCTGAAGTGGGATATGGCATTCGCAGCGGGCTCGACTATTTTGATGACACTGTGGTTCGCCAGAAGTCTAACAAGCTTTACGGTGCTAATCCTGTGGCATGTGTCGGCTACTTTCATAGTGGGGCCTGCGGCTGCAATCGCCGGAGTGATGATGTGGAGAGAAGCGACAATAGATGCACAGGCCATTTCCAAGGCAGAGAAAGCTCAATGATGCTTGTCACTGGGAGCCCACACTTTGTATATACACTTCAATAATCTTGAGTAGTTTTTTGAAAAATGTTTGTAGAATGGGGAGCAGATTTGAAAGACTTATGGACGGGTTCACTGCAAAGGATGTAGATGAAATTGCGCGAGAATATACAATACAAGATTACTGTCCAGAGGGCTGGTCTGCCCGCGTTGCCATTGCTGCCTGACCAGCTGCAGTCGCCGCCAGCCTGGACCGTTTCCTCTCGGCCTCTGATTACAGTAATCAGTGATCTTTAGCATTCAAAGCCAGCATTCAGGATACATACCTGCTTCTTTCTCCCGCTCAATCTCGGCAACAATTGCTTCGATCTCAGGTAGCTCCAAATGCTATTAAGCAAGCTTGTCAGCGACCAGTGAATCATCATGAAATAAGATGAAATCGAACCGTGACTTTGCCATAACTTTCCATGACGCTGATCTCGATGTTTTTCGCTCCTGTCTGCACAACTTCGAGAAGACTTTTGACAGTCAGCTTTATGCTTTCTTCGCGAGTCATGCCATCTTTATGATTTTTCTCGAGGAACTCGCGGACTGTTTTCGACGATCGACCAATTGCATTGGCCTGCAAGAAATGTGGGCTGTGTCAACTGCGTACCGTACAGTGGAGAATGTGACCAACCTTCCATGCACTATAGATGCCACTCGGCTCAGTTTGGTATAGTCTTGGTCGCGAATCATGTGGATCAAATCCGATTATCAATGTTGAGATACCAAATGGTCGTACACCACCGGATTGTGTGTATTTCTGGGAGAGTGTAGGGATGAGGACAAATGTACATGCTAACAGCGACTACTGACCTGCTGTATACCAGCAATGTGTCTTGTTATATACTCTACTGTGACGGGATCCTCTACGGTCAGTCGATGGCTTTGACATTCTATCCGCGCTTTGTCGATGAGGACTCTGCCGTCCGCGGTTAAGCCTGCATGATACGAGATCAAATGATGTGGCCAACGGAGCATCTAGAAGCGTACCAGCAAATGCCAGGCAGATGTGGTCATCGAGCATCACAACCTTTCTAACAGTACGGGGGTCTTGGAGTTGCAGGACGGATTTCTTCTCAACGCCAAGGACGACCACATCATTACCCCGAACACCAACCTACCAGACGGACAATGAGCGCCACCATTAAGCTATATAACATCAAAGTCTTACAGCACATGTTCCCTTGCGAACAGCTTCGAGGGCATATTCGACCTATCGAATAGATGAAGCAAAGATCACAGTCATTGAGACGCGACTTCACTGACCTGGAACAAGTGACCATCCGGAGAGAAGACAGTAAGTGCTGTACATAGATCAGTAGCTGAACTTGCTAGCTTCTTTTGGTGTCAGAGACGCACCGCGATCGTATGACCTAGACATGGCTGCAAGCAAGTGGTGGATGTGATTTACAGAGATGATATGAAGTCTTACTTAGTGCTTGAACGCGCGTCGAGGCTGGCGTACGTTTGCTTAGTAAGCGCATCCATTTATGTCGAAAACGGATCCTTAACGTCAACCACTGACTGTGCTTAATTACTACTTACGACTTGCGCGACGCGGATGGACTTAGACGATGAAATAGAAATCATCGGTGAGAGCAGCTCACGACCGTCGTGAGTGAAGCCATTGAATCTATTACGCAAGCTTACTCCGGTTCTACCAAGCTGTGCTGGCCCAACACTGTGCCAGTTGTGTGACATGGACTTCGACTCCGAGAACCTCAGCGAACTTCAGCGCCACCAGCACTATGAAGCACACTTCAACTCCAGTTCTAGTAGTAGGCATCTACTGACATGTTTCATACTTCGCGTTCAAACTTCTCTGATAGAACAACCGTCTAGTAGTAAATTCAGGAAGCCAGCGATACCCAAAGACTTGTTCAAACCCTGCAGCTTCCAACTGCCACTAAGAAAGAAACCGGCAGATGAATTTTGGTATCCTACCCTGTCGAGGCCGCCACCTGACAACTACTGTCCAGGTATACTTGTTAGAATTCACATAGACTGCGTCCCCTGAGTATCAATACACCAGGCTTGATCCCGCTCCTGAAGTGTGCTCTGAAGAAATCTCATACCAAAGGAAGCACACGCAGGGCTGTTCTCTGCTATGAATCAGCTACGCATATTTGTGTCGAGGCATTTGACCGCCGGTGGGGATGCGGGTAGGTATAACACTAGTCACTGTCTCCATCCAACTGACGTGCTATCTCAGGTATCGCAATTTCCTCATGGCATGTGCTGCGCTCATGGATCAGCAAATCCAGAGCATATATTTCGCCTTACTAGATGATCCCTTTCCCCCTAGTGTTCGCAATCTGCAACGTTGGATAGAAGCTGCGTGGAAGGAAGGTGCAGCCGTTGGCATCTGCAAGACAATCAGAACACTGATTTACCTTTGGCAGGGTATGACCGTGAAGGTGCTAAAGACTTACGGAACCTCGTAGACACAAACAAATGGATTGGTACGGCAGGTACGACTAGAGCACTTCTCCTTAGGGTCTCGATTGATTCAAATGTGTGCTTTCAGAACTCTATACCGCATTCACATTTCGCGGAGTCCCGTACGTCATTCCTTCTTTGTAAGACAACGTTCTGAGTCTTCGTACAGCTCACAGCTCGTAGATTTTGATCTTTCAAAAAGCGAGAAAGGTGAATTTCAGTTTTACATTGGCGAGCATCAGACTTATCCCGCTTTCAGGGATTCAAGTTATGATAGACTGGATTGTCCAGTACTTTTCCCCGCCAAATTCAAAGCAAGGTACGGTGACTGATGTCCTCCGCGGCGCGTCACCTGTGATCGCAACGGACAAAATGCCTCTGGTTCTGCAGTTCAATGGCCATTCTCAAACAATTATTGGATACGAGATTTCAAAGAATGGGGACACGAATCTTCTCGTATTTGACCCTTCAAGGTAATTTTTACTTGCTATTGTGAGTAGGTGGAGATACTGATGCGATGTCTCCAAGGCCCCCTAGACTGAGTATGCGCCGAGCTGCAATAGCCGGAACTTCTGTTGTATGGGAACAGTCTCGGACAAATCAAGTGCTACAGTCTGTCATGCACCCAGCGTCTAACGGACGCTCCTCGAAATTGAAACGTCCTTCGTCATCTTCTGATATACAGCAACACAAACGAACCAAATCATCTGAGTCAGACGATGAGATCATAATCGTGGAAGACTTTAATGAGCCCAAGAATGGTCAGAGATCGAGCGTTTCTGCAGGTCAAACGCAGCCATCGACGCTTGACCCTGGCCACGTCGTGAATCACTTTCGGCTTGGCATGTCTAAATTGAAGTGCGTATACTTTTGCTGGACGGACCATGCTGACTCCTTGACCCTTTCTCAGGCGCAAGCAAAATTACCAGATACTGTACTTTCCCATGACCGATCCATGGTCTATTGAAGAACGTGACAAGCGAAAGGTTGTAACGAGCATCTCATGCTGTTGATTTTTTGATCTGACCTAACATTCATGTTTCCCATTTTTTTGATGTCACATCTCGTAATTTGATATGTTTTTGATCACACATTCGTACAGGATATGTGGATGGTGGAGCATGACCAGGTAAATGGCGAGATGAACATTTAACGTCCGACGAGGGACGCGGTGCCTTCTCCAAGCTTTTGTTCAACCAGTCCTGACAAAACACATTTTTTGCTCAGCTGAAGTGTGAGATACTAGTACCATAACATCGAACCAATGTCTCGGATTCTTTTCGTCCCCTCAATCTATTGGGGTACATTTACGTGGGGTCCGCTTACGCATTTGCTCTTGCCGCAAAATTTCGTTGGGCGTAGCCATGCTGACGAGCTGATCAACAGAACTGCTGAGTTCTGCCTCCTTCAGCCTTCAGGACATACCTCCTAGCGCATCCCAGTCAGAGATTCTCCCTGGCGGATTCCATATAATCTCGCACAAACAATGCGTTTTCCTTTCCTTTGCGTTGTTGCCACCTTGACAGTATCTATGTCTGTCAGTGCATATGCGCCCTGATTCTCGTCTTGCAGCACATCATACGATTGTTGTCCTGACCTTCTTTGTATGAAAGACATGGATGTGAGCACAAGCAGTCTGCTTTTTTGCATTCGTCCCTTAATTCATTGTTTTCCTTGTGGTACCAATAGCCCACCAGTGGTTACTGCGACTATACTACTTCTCATTGAGCTGGGCAGTCTGAATGACACGTTGTGACAGTAAGTCACAGTTCTGAGGATGCTATTGGTGCTGTGATTAATGGCACAATATGTATTTCTTCACCAAGTCGATCAATACAGTTGTTTTGGGTCTGGGTAAATGTCCCTGATGTTCGGGGATCTGAGTAGAGGAATATATCAAACAGATGTGATACAAATGCCTAGAGGAATTATTGCATGTAGGTCTTGTCAAGCTATGCATGGAAATGTGTCAGAGTTCATGGTCCTTCCAGATGTATAACTACAATATTTCTAGTGTCCTGGTGTCCTTCATCTGTGTGATGATATTGTCATCTGATGCGATTCTCTCGTGCTTCCCACCATCAGTCGGAAAGCAGCAGCAGGTGGACCCGTGGCGTGTCTTAGAACTCTCTGGGTCATCCACTCCCCGGTCGGAACTACAGGACCAGGACTTTACTTTAGCAATGTGCACAGGGAAGCAAACTAGGACATTTGTAGGCCACGATTCTTGTGACGATGGTCACTCTATAAATTTAGGCCCCGAGATTGCGTCGAACAAGATGACATGAACCCTCTTGCAGCATTCTTCGCCGAGCCACTGCCGTTCCCTTTGACCAAAAAGAGATGCTCCTACCTGACTTGATGATTTTTCGCAAGCCACCTAGCTTACACAGATACTGCGCTGCCTTTCATGCAGAATATCGACACGGCGATTGGTTTTGAAGTGTAGCCTTCTGTGCTACTGACAATAAATGGCGCAGGAGTCGAGTAAATATGTAAGAGCGGTTGACAAGGGGTGACGAGGTGTTTTTCTGGGATGCAGTGTTAGAATTGCCATAGTCGACCTGATGCGGAACAAACGCAGCAATCGAATTTCAGGTGGATGTTACGACACTGTCAGTCCGTCCAGGTGATGGTTTCAGACCTGAAAGAGGTACTAAATCCAACCCAGCAACAGCACATCTGAGGGCTCTGTCCCAAGCTTCCTCGACCCGATATCCTCCTGCTCTCATGATTCCTTCACGATCCTTCCTCACCGCGTCGCTGTACATATCGTCGTACTGATCCCGGATCGTGTAGAGATCCTCGTAAGCATACCAATCGTCCTGCAAGGGGACATGTGGTGGATCTGGAACAACAGTACTTTGGGCAGCGCGTGCACGCAGGAGCTGGGCATTGCTTCTTAGAACCGTGGTGGTGGTAGAACGAGCGGATGATCTCTTCATGGCTTCGGCACGAGATTTCGCGATGACCTTGGCAGCACTCTTTGTGCTAGTCTCGAGGCGATCGATGATCTCGCGTTGGGCTGTTTCTCGTTCCTCACGCTCTATTTCCTGTTCTCTTCGCAGCTCGAGTGCACGCTGTTCTTTCTCCTGGCGTTCTAGTTCTTCTTGTTCCTTTAAAGCTTGCACGTATTGTTCTTCCCGCTGAACGTTGAGTTCTATAAGAGCTGCGTTTTCTTGCCGATGAGCGAGTATCCGGGCCTCAGTCTGGGGAATGTCGACGTCATTGATAAGGTTGAAAGCTTAATAGTATGAGCATGGCATAGCACCGTCAAAGATAAAGCACTCACTGATATCTTCCACCTCTTCAAGATAATCATTGTAGGAGCGAAGATCGATGAAGTCTTCGCGTCGTTTGTTGAACCTGGCCGTTTGTAATAAAGTTCAGTCCTTGATACAAATATGGGATGACTCACTCCTTGGCTATTCGTCTGCGCACGGCGATTTCTTTTTCCACAGTAAGGTCCTCAAAAGTCTGTGGGGTGAATGCAAGTTTTCTTAGGACCTTTTGGCAGATAGGACACGGGGCGGGTCCTAAAGTGAACAAGCGGTCGATGCAAGATTCGCACCTATAGCATATTTGCATCAGCTTGTGTTTTTTATGCGAACTGGGATGCACACATTTTATGGTAACAGGAGCTGACCAGAAGACGGAGCTTGGGGTTCAAGTACCGATCAGATTTGCACACAGGGCATTGGTCGTCCATGGACTTGTAATTCCGTGGCATGTTAGTGAGTGGGTTCAATGGACAGAGACCACGACATACGAAATATTCGGTGGTTCGACCAGATGCATCTTTAACGCCCCCACTGAAAAGGGTGGAGGATGTACTCTGAACTTGAGGTGTGCTGGAGCGAGCGGTGTGTGCATTGGATGTTATGCCACCTTTCCGGACGGTCTTCCCTTTCAACCAACCACCTACGCTCGCACGATTTGACATGGTTTATAGACAAGAAAACAAGTTTTTGATACCAGGGTCGTGCCAGGGTGGAAGTTCAGTACAAAGTGTGGATTGAGGTGATGCTGTGCAGTTTATCATGTCAAACACGTGTATTTCATAATACACAGGGGTCCACTATCGGTAGTACAAAAGGTCCTCAGTTCGACTTAACCTCCTCTCAGACAACCACAGTCACAACTACTACATCATACACACCTAGACACTAAATATTGTATAGTCCTTCTTGTTAGACTCTTCCGTTGGACAGGTTGACATCCCCCTGCATAGAATTTCAAAGGCTTCGCCTGTACCAGAAAGGGTTACCTTGGCCCTAATAGCAAGAGCCAGGCAGTTGGCCACCTATGAGAAGGCTGCTGTTCGTTCATTATGCATTATGAATCAGGGCTCTAACCAAAGCGCTAACGCCATCGTACAGCACCGTACAATTATGAATTATAAGACTTTTGCGATGGCATCGGACAGACATATATGTGATGTGGTAAAAGAGAAAAAGAGTCGGATGAGTCGAATAAGTCGGACGTTCAGTGTTTTCGTTTCGCTCGGTCAAGGTGAGCTAGCATGTGGCACAAGCGCCCAAGGACCCAAAAAGGCTAAAAGTAATATAAACCAGAATGAAGCCGAGCTCTCGCTCGGTTACACGTCACGGGGCAACCGCCGGGGCAACGCTTGTCAGGATATTCGAGTTCTGTGAACTTCTGTCTCAGCAACCGTCGTATCCTACTTAGAACCGCACTCACGCTCAACTTATCCTCCTTCCTCTCTCTTCACATCCAGTCCATTGCTTTACCAGTAATACGACGCCTACCCTGGCCTATCTGAAGTTCTACGCCTTTGACTTCGCTAAGCCTCTCCTCTCAACATTCATTTAGTGTATTCTCGCATCGATTCTCTCTGCCAAACTTTCGCGATTACACCCCGGCAGGGTGGATGAGAAAATCAATCTTTTTTATGTTCGTCATTTTTGTATCGTCCTGCTCTACTATGACACCATAACATTTAACCTCCAGTCCTTCATATCTTGGTTCAGTGAAAGAATGCTCAATTGTGAAACACAATCCTCCCGTTTGACCTCATTCGCCGCTTCAGGTGGTGCAACTGGCAACTCAGTCGATGTCCCATTTTTCCGTGAATCACAGGCCATGATTGGCCAAGGACCTATCACCCCTCCCATCTCTCCTGGCCATAGCGAAGATAAACAAGAATCCGAACCCACGAATTATCTCCCAGAACAAGTCCAACACTCTACCTTTACCATCAATACTTCTACTCCAATGTGGCAGCAGCCACAGGTTCCCGTGGTAGCTCCGCAGCCTAAATCTCCCGCAAGACCTCCCGCAAGGTTGTTGGAGGATGAAGCAGTTCACGTCGAGAGACGGGGTGTGCTTAGGCTGCTTGATTTCGAAGTCAAAGGCGCCCTCGGTTTGTGTCCGTGCCTTCCCAAAATCAACACTTCCTTATGTTAATTTGACAGGTACTGGTACTTTTGGGAGAGTGCTTTTAGTCCGCCTCAAAACAGCAAATTCAGGGTCTCAAAATATTTTTGCAATGAAAGTCTTGCGCAAAACCGAAATCGTACGCCTGCGCCAAGTTGAACACGTCAACGCAGAGCGCTATATTCTCTCACGTGTGCGGCATCCATTCGTAGTGGACCTGTTTGCAACCTTTCAAGACAGTCTCAACATTTACATGTTGATGTCTTATATTCCTGGCGGTGAACTGTTTACCCATCTCCGACGGGCGGGCCGTTTCACTCCTGATGTCACTCGATTCTATCTCGCTAACATTATCCTCGCCCTCCAGTATTTACACTCCTTTAACATCATATATCGTGACCTCAAGCCCGAAAATCTACTCCTTGACTCTCGAGGCTATCTCCGACTCACTGATTTTGGTTTTGCGAAGATTGTCGACGACCGTACCTGGACCCTTTGTGGTACACCTGAGTACCTTGCCCCAGAAATTATCCAGTCAGATGGTCACGGAAAAGCCGCGGATTGGTGGGCGTGCGGCGTCTTGTGTTACGAGATGCTGGTCGGCTACCCACCATTCTTTGATGAGACCGCCTACGGTATCTACGAGAAAATTCTACGAGGCAATATTAATTGGCCACGCACCATGGATCGACTCTCTAAAGAACTGATCAAAGCGTTCTTACATCCTGACCGAAGTAAACGTCTTGGTAATATGATAGGTGGACCGCAAGACATTCTCCACCATCCTTGGTTCCGAGGTGTTGACTGGGAAGCTTTGGAACGATGTGAAATCAAGGTGAGGGGCATCGTTAACTACCTTAAACCTTAATTTTACCTCCACCGATTAAAGGCACCGATCATCCCACACACGACGTCACTGGACGACACTCGTCATTTCTTGAACCTTCCTCACCCAACCCTCGAAGATATGCCCGGACTTGTCATGGAAGAATCCCCTCCTCCTCTCCATCGGCGCTTTGACCCTATAACGTATCAGTTCCTTGAATTCTAATCCGAAAACCCAGATTATTTATCGCTGCTCGACTTCAGCTGATCTATAGCATAAACATTTCTCCATCTGACTCCACCTGTTTTTTTGCCTCTCTTTCACAACCTCCTTCTGTGTCCTTAGTTACCCTTGCATCGGATATTATCGGTGAGCCACCCAGCCGATCCCTTCTGTTTTATCGTTCTGCTGCCCGTCTCATATGTAGCTTTGGTCTGCCATATGCTGTATCATTCTTGTCGTGTTTGTATTGAGCCACCGAACATTTTGAAACTATTTATTTAATCTTTAAAATTGACCTGTAGATGCACTGTGCTCCTTCCGCATATCTTACATGTAATAAGAGCTTCCAGGTCTATCGACTTTGTTTTATTCTTGTGAATTGGTTGTTTGTCTTTGTTGAATCTTAAAGGCGTTGTCAAATAGAACCAAACAGCCGCCTTTAGGTTGTGACCTTACTGAAAGGAAAAAGTTTCCTAAAATCACAATGGCTCGTAGACGCAAAAATCGCACACATTTGAAGGGTGCAGGAGCAACTGCACAGCACGCGAACGACGGTGCACCAAAGTCGTTCATCATAAAACATGGACAAGTGGGTTCTTCTGTCACGCAGCTCGTTCGCGATCTGCGAAAAGTGATGGAACCAAATACGGCGAGCCGTCTGAAGGTGAGCTCGATCAATCTTGTGTTCCGACCGTCTTTGAGCATCTGAATGCAGGAACGTAACCGTAACAAATTAAAAGACTACCTGACTATGGCTCCTACGCTGGGGGTCACACATTTACTGGCTCTTACTGTCACAGACGTCGCACCGTCACTGCGCATGGTTCGACTTCCTGCGGGACCTACTCTTAGCTTCCGTGTGGAACGATACAGCTTGATGAAAGACATCTTGAAAACTTCTCGATCCTCACGAAGCATGGGGATGGAGTATCTCACTGCCCCACTGGTAAGTAACATATTGTAGCATCGACCATCAGTTTTATACAACCATGATAACTTCGTAGGTCGTCCTCGCTTCCTTCCCTCCACCCTCTCCCGAAACACCCCCTACATCTTCCACTGCTCATGAAATCCTTTCAATCTCTTTTCCCTCCATTATCCCCCAACTCAATGTCACTCTCCAACTGCCGTCGGATCGTCCTGATAGCATACAACCCCGACATAGGAACCGTCGACTTCAGACACTATGTTATCACTGTAAAACCATACGGCATCTCGAAGCGCGTCCGACGCGTGCTCGAAGGCGCCCCCAAAAAATCATCTGCCAACCTCTCGAGTGGGTTCTTGGACCTTGGAAACGAGAAGGACGTCGCGGACTTCTTGCTTAGAAAAAGAGGGAGCCTAGCCCAGGGAGCGACGGGTATGAGTCAGCGGCATCATCAGCTTCGAGTGCTGCTGGCGATGACGGGGATGCGGTGTCGTTGGCAGATGATTATGTTGGGCGGAATAACAAGAAAGGGCAAAAGAAGGCTGTCCGACTGAGTGAAGTTGGCCCGAGGATGGAGCTCAGACTGATTAAAATTTCCGAGGGCGTTCCAGGGAAGGAAGGCGCTGTGCTGTATCATGAATTTGGTGCGTTGCAAATCAATCATTTGATAATACAAGGGTAGACTGATCGTTTTATCATATAGTCAAGAAATCAAAGGCCGAAGCTGCTGCACTTAAGGCTTCTCATGTCGCTAAGGAGAGATTGCGAAAGCAAAGAAGGGAGGAACAAGAAAGAAATGTGCAACGGAAGAAAGTAGAAAAAGAACAAGGGTCGGGAAGGAATCAAGAGGATTCTGATGAGGAAGCCAGTGACGCTGAGGCTGACGAATCTGGCCAGGAGGCTCATGATGAATGGGATGAAGACGAGGACATAAGTGAAGTAGGTGGCAGCGATGACGAACATAGCGATGAACCTGGGAGCGATGAAGAGGAAAGTGAGGATGAGCCCGAAGAGAGGCCGCCTACCAAGAAAGTTCGAATACGAGGGAAACGGTGAATTATGAAGTATGCTTCTCATGTTGGAGTATATTCACGATGATTCAACCCTGAGTGGAGGATATAAAATGTATGGCGATTGGATAACAGCATTTCATCCTCTTCTGCTCGTGGCAGAGCGATCTTTCGATATGATCACCACTGCCTTAAACTTGGTTCAGATGCTCCAGAGTATCTCGTACGTCTTCAGAACATATGCAAGAAGATCGTATTCAAAACGTACAGGGTTGAGTTATGCGTACATGAAAATAAATGGGAAAAATACATATCAATAAATTCAATCAATGTAGATTACAGAGTCTGTAATTAAATTAAGTAGTCCATGATCGTACTAATGAAGGGGAAAATAAATCGAAGCAATCCGTAGTTTGTACAGTGGAGGAAACCAGAAGGGATCTAGTCTAAGTATGAGACGTACTAGTATGTGCAGGACTTGGACTGTGGGCGGTGGCCTTCAACTTCTTGGGAATAACTCCAGGTCGTAGGGGACAATGAAGGAGGCCGTTGTCGTTTGATGCGTTGTCGAGATGTGGTCGTAGGGGACCTCTGGCTCATCGAAGAGCTGATGTGTTGGCGCGTAGTATGTGCGGGCCTTCAACCTCGTGGATGACTCCATGCCGTAGGGGACAACGAGGGAGGCCATTAGGCGTCGGGTCGTAGGGGACCTCTGACACCAAGGACGTGTTGGAAGCGATGCGCGTCATTGGATTTCTAACACCGAAATATCAGCAAGTGAGGTAAGAGTATGAGTGGCCAATCACTTTTCGTAGATGTCGTGTGGAGTTCAGCTGGTAGGACGTCGATACCGTGGTCGTGCTAGTAGGGTGTTGTGGCTGACGTTTTGGTAACTGCGAGGGACTATTGTCCAGAATAGGAGGTTGTATGCTTCGAAGTATGGTGTCGATAGCATCGTTGTGTAAGGTGAGTCGTAGTTGAAATTCCGAGGATGGACAATCTCGAGACTTCGAAGTAAGGTGTCGGTGGTGTGCAAGTGCCGGCGACTGGGACTGTCATTAATGTTATCATGTAGCATGCGTTTCGGTAGCTGAGAGGCATCGTCGTCAAGAATATGAGCGTCTGATTTGTGCAGTAGAGCGTCAATAGCGTCGTCGTCGAGAGAAAGCGCTTCAAATTTGTGCAGTAAAGCGTCGACAGCGTAGTTGTCGTCAAGAGCAGGAGCGTTGATAGCGGGGTTTTCGTTGAGAGCAAGAGCCTCTGATTTTTGCAGTAGAGCAGTCAGTAGCGTGGCCGTCGTCCAGAGTAAGCGCTTCAAATTTGTGCAGTGAAGCATCGACAGCGTAGTTGTTGTTGAGAGCAGGAGCGTTGATAGTGGAGTTTTCGTCGAGAGCAAGAGCCTCTGACTTTTGCAGTAGAGCGTCAGTAGCGTGGTCGTCGTCGACAGTAAGAGACTCTGATTTGTGCAGTAGAACATCGATAGCGTGGTTGCCGTCGAGAGTAAGAACCTCTGGCTTTTGGGGTAGAGCATCGAAGGCATGGTCGTGCAGAGAAAGAGCTACCATTTTTTGAATTAGGTCGTCGATAACGTGGTCGTGTACTGCAGTGGGTTGAGGCTGACATTTCGATGACTGAGGGGAACCATTGTCGAGAGGAGATAAATGATAAGGTACATCGTCAAGAGAGATAGTTGAAATGTGAGAGGGTACATTGTCGAGAGAGATAGATGAAATGGGAGAAGGTACGTCGTCGAGAGGGAGAGTTGAAATATGAGGGGGTACGTCATCGAGAGGGAGAGTTGAAATATGAGGGGGTACATCGTCGAGAGGGAAAGTTGGAATGGGAGAGGGCACATTATCGAGAGGGAGGGTTGAAATATGAGGGGGTACATTTTCGAGAGAAATAGTTGAAGCGTAAGAGGCTACATCGTCGAGAGAGATAGTTAAGATGTGAGAGAGTACATTGTCGAGAGAAATAGTCGAAATGGGAGAAGGTACATCGTCGAGAGAGTGTGTTGAAATGGGAGGAGGTACATTGTCGAGAGAAAGACTTAATAAATGAGACGGTACATCATCGAGAGAAAGAGTCGATATTCTTTGGATTAGATTGTTGATAGTCTGAGAGTCATATTCGGCGTGCAAAGTGTGTTCCGGTTCGTCGTCTGTGAGGCACTGTGCTGTAGCCTGACAGTCGTCCTATAAACCCAAACATTAGTTGACGAAAGTCAGAAAGAAACGCGCTACTCACCTCATAGAAAGCGCTTTCGTCAGCAAGCGACTCCGAGTCAAGGTCTGTGGTGTCTGAGACGCGATCAGAGAAAACGTCCTCAGCCAAGTCTTCGTCGCAGGCTACGAGTGTCGTGTCAGAATCAATTGTTGATAAGCCTTCGGTAGGACCGTCAAAGGCAGATTCAATCAATTCAATCACTGCATGCGACGAGGGTAGCTGAGCTGGTGCTCCGGAAGCCTTGGTTGAGATAGCATCCGCAACTTTGCCGCCAGCAAAACGTGCGTTGGGTTCAGCGGTATCGTCGACATCCTTATGAGCGGGAACGCGTTGGAAGTCATCGCTGAGGAATTGTTGAGCAGCTTTGGTGGTGGCTATGAGAAGAACGGCTGTCGAGGAGCAGACAGTGGATGTGACAAGGCTAATGGAGACCTTCTCTGATCTGGACACGACCTGAATAGTGCGGTCGACGACGATTTTTTTGAAGAAAGCGACTGTAAGATAGCCTTGGAAGGCAACACGGGCGGCGCGAGTCAGGGTAGTAGTAGAGATCATATTGGCGAATGAATGGAGGATCGTAAAGATAAGCTGGCGAGTGTAAAATGACGATAATGGCGGGACTGACTGAGGGATATCAGTGCGACGACAAACACAAGGTATTTATACTCCAGGTTTGAACCTTATTTGCACCAAACTTGCACGCCGATAAACAAAGCCGATCGCGACGCGTAGGTCACGTGTTTGGAAAATCAACACATATATAAGTTCGGGGCACTCGACGATAAATACCATAAGTTATCCCCCAGCATAGCACCGTAGGATTTGACTACATACCAAAGGCGAGGTAGGCTTGATTTTGCAGGTTTAGTCCTTTATCAAGGGCAAGCTGGATCGATATATGACGACTGAGAACGTATCCGAGTCGCCGTTCCACATATCGTGGCTATAAGTAAGTCCTAAATACATTCACAATTAGTAAACCAAGAGTAGGGGATAAATTACGTATGAGGCTCGGAGGAGTGAATATACGTCTACAGAGACTACTCATGACTGAGGCGGGGTGCTGCTACTGCGAACACTTCTAAACCAGTCCTGCCAAATATTCTCGGCTCTCATCCTCACCCCTTCCCAGCTGTCTAAGGCGGGCCGAACATCGAGATAAAAAGAGACATTATTTGACGAAGGTCCTGCTCCCCGTCCGGTATAGAAGTCGATCACGTATCTGATCCGGGTTCCGCATCGTTCGACCACCCAGTCGTGACGATCGAAGGGAGCAGAGTACCTGCAAAACAAAATCAGCGTTTCTCGGATGGAATGTAGGCTGAGGCACGTACCCGAGCAACGTCATGAGTCGAGCTTTTGGGGTCAAGTCATTAGGCCTGCCCTTGAAGGTTACAAGCTTTACACCCCCGCACTTTTCACCACCTCTCCCAGATTCCCATTTCATCAGCTCCGACCAAGCACGTTCGTTAACGGCATTGTGAATAGGAATGATGGTCTTCATATCCGGAGCATGCGGATTGTGGTTTTTGCGCGCCATGGCAGCAAAAAACTGAGCCTCCGACGGGTATACCCAATTACCATTATCTGTCCGAGGTATCGAAGAAACCTCCCGTTCCGTCGAGAGTGAAGGTGAGTTGATTGAATGTGCAGAGCTGGTCCCTGGTAAGACAGAGTCCCATATTGTACGAGATTTGTGGTCGACAGGACAGGTCTGGTCTGAAGAATGACTACCATGGTCGACTGGACATTTGTCTGCCATGGCGGAAATAAAGATAGCTTTGATGAGTCATCAAGTTCAGTCAGATTTCGCACGTGATTAGGCTAGACGTGGTACTACTTAGCCGGGTGAGTTGTTCCCGCAGTGGTATCCTGGCGGCTGATTGCAGCATGGCTGCGACGTGGAAGAGGTTCTCATTTGGTTCTTATCCTCATACTTCAGTCATGCCGTCCTCGCAGCCAGTGTTCTCGACGCCTCTGACGCGCCTCTTCAAGATTGATCATCCCGTCATGCTTGCAGGTGACTTGAAACTTTACTATGTTACAGTTCCCACACCGACATTCATATGCGTGCAGGCATGAACGTCGCCGCAGGGCCTAAACTGGCTGCAGCAGTGACCAATGCTGGCGGTATTGGTGTTATTGGCGGAGTTCGCCAGAGCCCCAAGATGCTCCAGGAATCCATTAACGAACTCAAGAGCCATCTGGAAGATAAGACCGCACCATTCGGCGTAGACCTCTTGCTTCCTCAAGTGGGTGGCAGTGCTCGCAAGACAAATGTAAATGCCCCCTTTTCTATTCAGAGACATGTCTAACACCGATCCCTAGTATGATTATACGGGTGGTCAACTTGACGTACTTTTGGACATCATTATAAACAGCGGGGCTGCACTTTTTGTTTCTGCTGTAGGGGTGCCGCCCAAGCAAGCCGTTGACAAGCTTCATGCTGCCGGAATCCCGGTCATGAAGTATGTGTGTCACACTTGGAAGTTGCAATTGACTAAATCCACCTTAGTATGATCGGTCATCCAAAGGTAATGCGCTTCCCAATGAGATTTAGCCTGCATGCGTCTAAATTGATATTATTAGCATGCTAAGAAGGCCCTCGAGCAAGGTGCGAAGCTCGCTTAGCTTCACTCCTGCTCATTGACCGTCTCCAACATTCTTCTAGGTGTCGACATTATCTGTGCACAAGGTGGTGAAGGAGGTGGCCACACTGGCGAAACACCATTTTCCATTCTGGTACCTACCACTGTTGATCTTTGCAAGAATGCCAAAAGCCCCTTTACAGGTGGGCCGGTCATCGTCGTCGCTGCCGGGGGTATCGCGGATGGCCGTGGTCTTGCTGCCGCACTTTCGTGAGTACTTCTCACACGTACGCTTCCCTCACTAGTGACATTTTTGGACCAAGGTATGGTGCATCCGGTGTTTGGGTCGGCACGCGCTTTGTAGCTAGTACCGAAGCAGGTGCTCCTCCAAAACACAAGGAACTAGTTATCTCAGCTGGTCATGACGATATTGTCCGCACCCTGGTGTACAGTGGTCGTCCGATGAATGTGCGGAAGACTCCTTATGTTGCAGAATGGGAAACCCAACGACAAGGAGAAATTGCAAAGCTTGTTGCACAAGGCCACATCCCGCACGAAGTCGAACTAGAGAATCATCCCGAGAAATCCCTAGAAGGTCGAATGTGTAAGGAAGGCTCGTTTGGACCGTTTTGCTCGGTCTCACATGTCCATATATGCAGGGTTAATGGGCAAAGTAGCAGGATCCATCAATGTACGTCAGGTGACCGTAGTGAAATGCGATTGCTAATGGATCTTCACAGGATATCAAGCCAGCGAAGGAGATGTATGGTGGCCTGTTTCTGTCCTGAATTCTACTGACATCTTTACTTATGTAGTGTCGATGAGCTGGTTGCAACAGCAGCTGCGAGCTTGAAAACAGCTTCGGCTCTTATGACAAGCAAAGCAAAGTTATGAGTGACGATTTCCCTGAACACTAGTGGTAATGGAAGGCTAGCAGAGATTACTGTCTGCGCGACCTCACTGGAATATGAATCTATTGTATTTTTATTGCAGTTGTATATGCCGCTGTAGGATCTTCATCTTATACCTCAAACACAAATTTGATTGCTAGGGTGCCAAGTAGGATGCTAGGATATCAGTCCACAAGAAATAGTCCTTGAATTGTACATGGTTGCACGGCTGCAATTTATGGCCGTAGCATTTTCATCAGTTCTGGTCTTCCACGAGGCTCTTGGTCGCCCTCAAATCCGCATTCACCATCTCTTTTACAAGGGAATCGAAGTCGACCTTGCGCTTCCATCCAAGAACACGCTCGGCTTTGGCAGGGTTACCGAGAAGAAGGCTGTATACCAGCATGAGAATTTGCAGGAAGAAGCGCAATGAATAAAACGTACTCGACTTCTGCGGGACGGAAGTACTGTGGATCGACTTTGACTACCACTCGTCCGTTCTGAGCATCGCAGCCCTCTTCTTGCACACCAGAATTACGCCACCTACGTGAAATCAAGGACATGTTAGATGTGGTATAAGTCAGGACGGGATGCGTACATTATCGTAACCCCGACAACCGCAAAGGCTTTCTCGACGAACTCTCGCACAGGGTGAGTCTCTCCGGTGGCAAGAACAAAATCATCGGGTGTAGGCTGCTGAAGCATACGCCACATGCCCTCGACGTAGTCCCTAGCTGTGAGAAACATGGTTAACTAGAGGCGATGGAACTCGACAGGCGGAATCTTACCATGTCCCCAATCTCTCTTCGCATCGATGTTACCGAGGTACAAGCAATGCTGCTTGCCGACACTAATATCTGCAACTGCCCTGGAGATCTTCCTCGTGACAAACGTCCTCCCTCGCCTCGGGCTCTCGTGATTGAAAAGGATACCGTTGCACGCATACATGCCGTATGCCTCACGGTAGTTCACCGTGATCCAGTATGCGTACAACTTGGCGACACCATACGGACTGCGAGGGTAGAACGGCGTGGTCTCGCTCTGTGGTGTCTCGACGACCTTTCCGTAGAGTTCTGAAGTCGAAGCCTGGTAGAACCGCGTGTGCTTTTCGAGGCCGACGGTGCGGATGGCGTCAAGGAGGCGCAGGGTGCCGACGCCATCGACATCGGCGGTGTATTCTGACATCTCGAAGGACACCTTGACGTGCGATTGAGCACCAAGGTTATAGATCTCTGAGGGGAGGACCTGAGCGAGGATGTAGACAAGGTTGGTGCTATCGGAGAGATCACCATAGTGCAGCTTGAATTTGTTGGGTCCTGGAGAGAATGATCAATGTGCAAGTCATACGATCCTATATGGACGCGTACGCTCATGCTGATCCGCATAGAGAGATTCTAGACGACCGGTGTTGAAGCTGGACGAGCGACGGATTATACCATGCACTTCATATCCCTTCTCCAGCAGAAGCTCTGCCCTATTGCAGAAAGGTCGAGATGTAAGTAGCGACTGGCTGTACGAGAGATATGCTCACAAGTACGATCCATCTTGACCAGTTATTCCTACACAGCTTCAAATTAGTATACATGTAACATCACGACAAGCTAGCAAGTGAATGTGCAGTATAGGAACAGGTGAAGCAATGACACGATCGCCTGTTTGATTGATTGAACTGCGTATCATCCGGACCACACTGAAGTCTGGATGCTTCGAGAGGCAAAAGGAAAGCTGATGAAGATGAAACGAACCAGAGATTAGCGCGACTTTCCTCTTCCTGAACTCCTCAGGAGACGGAAGATCGATTTTCATCAATGGGGAACGAGCAGCGTCAGAGGCCATTTCTGAATGGACTTGAAGTACTGTACTGACGGTTGTGGATGATGAGTCCAAAGTACAGTTTTATATCTCAGAACAGCTGAGTATTAAGTATATAAATGGAGACAAAATGGAGATACCGTAATATTGTATGTAGTGGGTCGGGGACTGTAGGGGAGTACTTATAGTTAAAGTTCACTATAGTACTGCATCGTTCACTGCTGCAGTGCAAACTCTTCAAGCCTTCGAGCCCTGAATATGGTGTTTCAAAGATACGAGTATGCACATGCTTTATGCATATCACCCTCAATTGGAACGAGCGCAGATGTATATCATTCGACCCCAACTCGATCGACATTACAACTTTCGCAACACTGGGACTCCTCATCTCGCGTCTGAGAGCGGGTATGGAATTCCCTTCTGCAGCACGAAGAACGAAGTTGATCTCTTTCAGCAGGAAGTTATACAACGGCCACTAGGATGTCATCTGACAGTATCTGTTAAGTTTCTTTCAAGTTGGAAGTTAAGATCTACCGACAGGGAGAGCAATCAGCATGACGATAGTAATTCAGCAGAGCTTGTTTGACTCACATCTTCGCTGCTAAAAAGTGCAGTTTGGCATAGATTTCGCTCTTCGGTGCAATCGAGCCCAGCTCCAGGCACACGAGTGGATCACTATGGATGATTGCTCAACATTCTTACTCGCGGGCTTTGCCGCGCGTTATTACCATTTTAAGAACAAGCAGATAACAGGGTCTCATGGTCGCGTCTTATCATGGGTATCAAGTATACATATACTCACCCTATATATGATATGTCAATTCGAATCGCCTCGAAGTTACTAGTGTCCCACAGCCATGACAAGCACACAAAATGTTGCAGGAATCGTAGTTGTCGCGGTTGCTCTTGCTGCCGTGTGTTACAGCAAGGATGCTTCTCCACGCAGCTTTTGGAAGTTCCTGCGACGAAAAACCGCTCTCGTGGCTGGTAGAGGACTACCGGACTTTGCTCAGTTGACAGGCTTCCCTCATCCAAAGCCGGTACACGGTTTTAACATAGCTCACGCTCGTCCTCGTCCATACCGGCCTTTCAGGTGGGAATATCATCAGAACATGTGTATGTGGGCTGTATCACGGTTAATATGCTTCGCTTATCCATGTTTTCTATAGCCCTCAAGAAACTAGAACCAGACTATTGGCTAGAGCTGGAGAGTACATATCGCGATCGCATTGCGCAACGGCAGCAAATCTATGCCCTCCATGGCAAACGTATCATAGATGAGCTGCCCGGTAGCGAACCAGCTTCAAAGGAGTTGATGGAAATGGTCATCCAGTACCTCTGCCTGAGATACCCCCAACAGTTTGAGTTTGATGAATGGACTTTGACGTTCCACAACCACATCCTCGGCACGACGGCTAACATCTCAACGGTGCATCCACTGGTTTTCTTACTTGAGAATGTCCCGAGGACTTCCTCATCACCCAGGAAGACCCTGATACTGGGCTCTACACCCTACGAGCTGCCGTCTCGACATCAGCAGTTGGCTGGAATATCAGTCAGAAGATAGGCAAACCACTGCACGACATTCATGGCCCTGTTCCCGATTATAAGGAGAAGATGGCGTTCTCAATGGACAGGCAAGTAATGTGGTTAGCATATCAGGTTCACTTATAAGAGCGCCGTAATGGATTTACAGGTACTTTTCTAAGATGCCTTGTAATAAGCCCATTCAGCGAGGGTCTTGGGGCCTTGAAATTGGGGAGCCTCTCTATCTTCAGACGGATGAACCAGAGTGGAGTCATCGTCAACATCAGAATCCGGACCTTCCTCTCTCCGACATTCACATGCGTGTTGACTGGCAAACATTACGCCGCCTGCCAAAATCCCGCGCCATCGTGTTCAACTTCAAGGCCTTATTCACGCCGGTGACAGATTTCCGCGAGGAGCCATTTATTCCAAGGTTGCTTCTGAAGGTTTTACTTGAAGGAAAGAAGGCGATCATGGAGTACAAAGGAACATGGTCCGTCGAGCACAAGGTTATACCTGCATTACGAGAGTGGGCAAAGGAGCAGGAGGATAAGGGATGGGTCCCAAAAGATTGGCAAGAGAAGACATTGAACGAGGACCCCTTTTATCCCGGGTGGGAGAAGCACTACCTGATTGCTACTTAAGTATGTGTCTCAGTCTTCCTCCATGAGCTCTGCGAGTTCTCTCTCTTCCTCTTCCGTGATCTCAACCTGATCCTTCGCATCACCACTGGGTTGGGGAGTGGGAGCAATAACTGTAGCTTTCGACTGTCCAGCAGGGTTGTCTGGCTTCGAATCATGGAGTTCTACATAAATTATTTGGATGTATCTCAATACCCACCATGTAGACTTACCACTAAATCGCCATCTGCGAATGGTGCCATCCAGACTGGTACTGATTATCCATGGCTCGATGCGTGTTCTTCCGTCGTCTGTACGACTTCTCTGAATCCATAATCTCAGCGCAGTGACATCGTGCCAATGCGCGTCAATTTCCCCTAGAACCTCAGGTTCGGATGGTGTCGAGACATCATACAGGCGGATGACATCGCCATATCCAGTCACGATGTACGGCTCTTCGAGATCGGAGAGTGCCAGTGGAAGAATTGCTCGCACAGGCAGTGGGTGCGTGAGGGGTGGGATGAATTTCTGGTCCGAAGATCCTGGTGGGTAAGGAACGACTTGTACTGTTTCATCGGATGACGCTAAAGTAAGGAGTGAGCTAAATAATGGCATGACACGGTGAGCGATCGTTTACCTGTCCAGATGTAACCTGCATCATAAATGATTTCAGTGATGCGCGTTCGATGGTTGTTGAGAGTATCTTGAAGAGTGCTTCGCCACCGAGGCCGCGGCCCACCCTCTCTTTCTAGCTTCCACACCTTCAATACTCCCATGGTGTCAGCGGTGAAGAGGGTCACCGAGCCATCGGCATTGGCAATTCCAGCAATACACTCTACCGGGCGACTATGAGCCGAGACTGACCCGGCAGGCTGCGGAGGCTTCTCAAGAACGTCGGTCAGATCCCTAAGCGCAGATATTAGGTCCGCCAGTATGGGGGGAGTTCGTTTTTACCAGAATTTGACAATCTTATCGGAGCTACTGCTGACTAGGAGCTTCGCAGATGGCACGACAAGTAGAGTTTTGACAAAATCATCGTGAGCGGCAGTTGTTGAGATAAGGCCCTTTGTCTGCAAGAGACGGTCTGCGTTCAGTACCTCCAAGGATATGAAACGCGTCCAGGTGCTTACATTAGTATCCCATATTTTAATGGTCTAGCGGAAGGACTCCGTTAGTATCACTTGAGCGGCTGTAAATACTATCCCTTACCTTGTCCCAAGACCCAGTTATCAGAAGCTTTTCATCACCTGAATTCGGGGTTCTGTCATAAAAGGCGAGACAGGTCACCGGCGCGTGGTGACCTCTGTATATCTGTAAAGTCTTTCCTGTCTGCAAAACGCGTGATCTCCTAAGTTGTGTAATGCAGATCGTCGAAACGTACCCCTAGATCAATTTTCTTCGCGACATGCGAACTCTCAGCAATCCATGCATAGTTGCCACGAATCTGAATGTCGATCGCGTTGCCGGTAAGCTGGATTGGAGACCCAAGAGATTTCGTTCTCTCCGCCTTTTGTCTGCGAGCCTGCCATCGATCTGAGCGCCGAACAGCTAAAGCGATTTGAAGGACAAACTTCTGTTAGTTCAAGTTCAGCTGCTGATCTCAACAGATATGAATGATCCGCGGTAATTTCAGACATCGTCGATATCGGTAAATGCAACCCATTCACGTTGATTCAGTGGAATGACTGTGACGTTATTTACTGTTTGGTAAAGGCTTCCGAAATAAACACATCCGTCTTAGGCTGCATCAATCTTGATGAGCAAGCGTCTAGCATCATTTCATGGCCCTTCTACGCCAACATCATCCCCCGCATCACAAGTAAAGAAGCCAGTTACGCCAGCATCGCCATCCAGGGCTTCCGATGCATCTATTCATCGGAAATTTAGAACGTTGCTCCACGAGTTACGCTCGATCGCAAATACATGGGATGACATCGTCCTCGTCGACGGCTTAAAAACTGCGCGAACTCTAGTCGATTCTCGCACCGAATTGGAGTGTGTGCTTCATCTCTCGTCCTTTAGCGGTTGGTGATTATGGAGCTCTTCAGCAATGCACTTGCCATAGTTCCTGCCGGTACGCAGCCTGGGTCGCTCATGGTTAGTCCGAAGCTCGAAGTGATGGATGAATGTATTACTCTGCTCGATTCTGTTCTTATGAAGCTCGTAAGATGGTGCTTGTCTTGTGATTCAATAATAACGAATATTTGTCAGTCGAAGCTATTGCGGAGAATGAGTACTGTGCTTGATAATATGGAGACTCTGATGTTTGAAGCGGAGAGGTTGAAGGGCTTTCAATGGTGTCATGAGGAACCTCTGTGGGTTTCATGGTCCATCGAGAAATTTGGTAGGCTAAGATCGCTCTTGTCGTCACTTTCTGACGGAGATTTGCAGTGCTGTCTCTGTCTGAGCTGACAACCCCGTATCATCGGTCTCTCGCACTTCACGAAGAACTAGTTGACACCTTGCGCAGTCATACAGTGTCATTCGAAGATTCTCGGAAGTCTATCAATCAATGGGTCGAGCAGCCTTTCCTAAGAGATGACGGTTGGGACGCAAAATGGGAGGACCTTTGTGAGGCAGAGGTTGAAAAATGGGACACAAGATAATACAGATAACTAGAGAAAGTAACAACACTCCTAATGTAATGTAACAATAACATATCACCATTTATGAGTCTTCCTCGTCGGATATATGAATCTCTTCAGCGTTATCCGCCTGTTGTGGCGCCAAGTCTGGCGCAGGCGAAGCTTGGTCCTCATCTGCTCTTGGAAGAGCCGTCTTCTTGGCCGCAACGAATGCGGGACCTCTTGCTTGCTGCTCTGCAGCAGCCATCGGGTCTGCTGGTTGAGCAGCGGATGGTTGCTCTGAGGTACCATTTTGTTTCGCCGACAATGTCTGGGCAGCGAGATATGATGCTTCGGTATTGAACTGGGCTTGAACACTCCGCTTGATACGAAGCATTTCTCGGAATGTATCTTCCGAACCCGTCTCGATTTCGAAACTGTTCCACTCCTGCCAGAACTTGGGATTGACGCGTGGGTCGCAAAATTGGGAAGCATGTGCATAAATAGCGCGAGCCCGGTCGATTTCGCCAAGTTTGCGTTCCAATGCTGCAAAGCGTAGGCACATTTCAGCGGTTTGCTTGTCGGGAAGAACCTCGAGTGCGCGCTCGAAGATTGGGCGGGTGGCTGGTAGGCCATAATTAGCTGTGGCCTTCGCGATGTATATAGTGTACATCTGTCGTCATGAGGTCAACGAAGCTCCTTATAAAATGCAACTGGGTGCAGTACCTCAAATTTGTTCTCATCGGCGACAACCTGAGTTGCACGCTCATAAATAGACATGGCCCGCTTCGCTAGACCATAATCCTCTTCCAATTGACCATACATCAGGAACAAGGGCTTGCATGACTTTGGTGGACATTTTTCTAGTGCTTGTTCAAACAGGTCACGAGCTCGCTCCAGCTTAGATCCTCCCTGAAAGATGTCAACAAGAAGGGACAGATAACAGTTAAGCACGAGAACACGCACATATCGCTTCACGAACTTCGACAAATAAATGTTCCATATTTCAAAGGATATGGGGAAAGTGAAGACCTCTGTGCCGCGCTCGTACACCTGGTTGTAAACATGTTTAAGAATTAGCCAGAAAGACAGTGATCAAATGAGCCGCACCTTGAAGCTGTCCTCCCAATATTTATTTTCTTCAAGGAAAGCAGCATAGTTGACAATAACCTGGGCATTGGCAATTTTCAGATCCATGATCTTGTCATAGACGGCCTTTGTCGATTCAACGGTCCCTATTGACTCCTCAAGGTCAACGTAGAATGACCAGAGCTTCAAGGATTTGAATAATCTGGCTTGGACGGGCAGTGACTGTCGCAAATCAGCAAATTTGAAAAGTAGTCCGCTGAAACGGGCTCACATGGTCATGATAATTGATCTTGATATTTTTAGGAATGGCAGCAGCGCGTTGCATGACTCTGATAGCCTCGTCATAGTTTCTGAGAGCAGACAGTCAGTCAATCAAGTAGAAACCTAAATGACATTCCTCACTCGTGTCGAAGCTCCATCTCTGACCATTCACACCAAATGTCCGCGAGGTCCTCGACCGCCTTGAAATTTATCTTAGTGGCTTTCTCGAGGATTTTACGGGCGCTGTCCAAGTCAAGCTCTGCCGAGCCCGTGGATCCGCCTTCCTCGTAGAACTTGGCGAAGTTAACGTAAAGTCTATGGAGGTTGGCAGTAGCCTTGCGGGGATTGATAGTCTCCAATGCTTTGGTGTACGTGTCAGCCACCTGTGCACGCGTCAGACGAGCCAATTTCAGCCTTCAGACTAATGCTTACTTTTTCATCATCTTCGCCCCAAAGAGCAACTCTCTTTTCCCATTCCTGGACGTCGTTTGGGTTTCTTCGGAGCAAAACGTCGTTGACTAGGAACGGTCTTCTGTCGATAAGAGCTTCGAACTCCTTCATCTTGATGTCCATCTCTCGTTCAGTCTCCTTCGTGTTTTCGTCGTCGTCATCTTCTTCTGGGTTCTCGAGACTTTCCATCATTGCATTGATTAATGACTCGCAAAACTCTGCATATGCGTCAAAAATCTGTGTGAAGTCCCTGATCGTCAATACCGTTGCGATGCCCGCTTCAAAGGTGCTTATCGCCCGATCGAACTCGCCACGTTTGATCCAGTAGGTTGCGAGCCCAGTCCAGAGACGGCCAGCTTGGTCTTTATAAACTTCAAGGCCGTCCTTGTGGACAATGCGTTCTATGTTGAGCTTCCGTGGGCTGAGAGGATCTTCATCCTCATCGTATGCTCCACCAGCTCCAACCGGAACAGGGGGTCCGTCCATACGTACGAGCTGCCCATCCATAGAGGTTGGCTGCCCATCCGTTCGCGAAGCTTCCGCGTCAGCTTTCGCATTTGCTTTGTTGGACTCAATTGTGGCATCCACGTCAAACCCAACTTCATCAGAGAATCGCTCGACAATATCAAGGAAATCTCCAAGAAGCTGATATGGGCTCTT